GGGGGACAAAACGCTACTAATGCACCAACAAGGCGCCACAGAACAAAACGAAGCGTGCGTTATACTGAGATGAGTTGCTTTGGAGTGTCGGTTCAAGCGGTCGAGAGCGGAAACGACTCTCCTAGGAAAAAGGAAGTTAGAATCCCCACTCGAGTTCGGAATGGCCCGGGGGAAGAAATTCAATATTGACGGTGGAGATGTGTTAACCGCTACAAGGGCGCGACGTGTTTTGTAAATTACTTTTTCACGCGGAGAGGCTAACGCGATGCACTTGCGCACCCGATATGGGCCCGTTCAGTTTGGGGCCGATCGCGTTGCAAAAATTACTTCTCCAAACTTGCACTCCAGGTGAAACTTCAGAGGGATTTTGTAAATAAACAATAACACCGTTGAGAAATGGAACAATTTGCCCCTGCGGTTCAGACTACATCTTGAGCTCGTCTCAGATCTTCATGAAAGCAAGACAGTAACTATGTTAGCGATGATTAAATTGCTCTATACAAACAAGTGACGGACAAGCATCATGGTCACAAAGTTGAGTTTTTCCTGTACAAGTATTTTTTTTCATGGGGTGGAGATCTAAACTTCAGTTTGCCGCTACAAGCAGTTTCAAGAATGGTATATATGTCGTACATTTTCCTGTTAGGTACACACTATTGACCTGCATTAGGCCTATGCGTAACAAATCGCATCTTTGTAATCGGTCGCAATTGGCGCCATTTTGAATCGATGGTTCCCGTCGTCATGGAACGTAGTTAAGTGTGCGTGCCATGACTGTCGGAACCATCGAGGTCGACGAGGTGTGTAGTTCGGCCGTCAATTTCCAAACCAATGATGCGAAACTGATTAGGACTGAATAAACAAAGGAATGATTATAATTGAATGGGAGAATTATGGCAGGTCAGAGTAGTGCATCGGGACCAAGTACCAAACCGCCGATGTCAGGAACCGGTTCCAGAATATGCATGAAATCGGGTAGGGCCTACCCGTTAACTTTACAAATTTCTTAGCAAGTTCACAGACAATGAAAAAGAAAGGTTTAGAATGTAATTTGTGGGCAATTTTCAAAATGAAAAGCAGGTTACATGGAAAGATTAGATGATGCTCCAGAGAGGTGCAGTTTACACCATAAAGCCTTCAGACAACTTCCGGGTTTTGAATTTAGGGGTTGGGTTTCTCATACGGGTACCCGTGTTTTACTTCATTTGGGTACCCGATTGCCGTACTACCCGTAAATGCACACCACTATACGTCAGAGACAAAAGTCATTTATATATGTTCCCGAATTAATATATCGCCAAATTTAGATGACATTTTACACCATGACATAGGTCTAAACAGACTTCACAATCGAGAGACAACTCAGAACTGGATGCATTAATATATACCAATGTTTGTTTTGTCATAAAACATTACAACCGTATGGTTGTATATGCCACGTCATGTAACATGTTATTGTTATTGCAATGACACATCAGGCGAGACGAACATGCATTCAAGGTTAATTAATCACCGAATGAGCTAAATATTTCAAAGACCACAATCACAGGATTAACAAAAAATAGCTAAGCATATCTGGACCATGACACCAACCCATCAGAAAGCATCTGCAAGCTTGGTATTCGGGCAAAGGCTACGTGATAAAGTTCCTTGGCCAAATGCTAAGTACAATTTTGTTGGCCACAGAAACCAAAAGGAGAAATCCAAAATCACAGCAGCTTGTACATACTTGGTACATACTTAGTATAGAAGTCTATATCTTAACAAGGATGCCCAACTTTGACCGAAGTTTCTTACCGTCCGTGGTTTCTCAAGTTATTTAAGGTTTTTCTAAAAGGTAATCTTATCATTAGGCCTATATCGGTACATCGTGACTTCAGTGACCATTGAAGGGATTCCGCAAACTCATCCGATTCCCATAAAGATTTGAACAATCACCTACACCTCGGTTGTAGTCACGATCTCCATAAGGCTTAAATTTCCCCTGTTTCTGCCTAATTCCTGATTATCGATCCTTGGGGCCGTCCCGTGCACCGATCTAGGTAATTTCACTTGCTAATCCGAGTGTCTTTCGTCGTCCAATTTCCTCATTTTAATGACACCAGAATTGCTCCACTGCATGCATTGGGCGAATTGCACGCGCGCCGTGCTTATACCAAACTCCGTCCTCGACAATTCTGCGCCTGAATGGCCCGAAGCGTTCGGTTGTGATTTCCCCTGAATTATCAATGCCTAGAGTACCCCGTCTCTTAGCTGGATTTTGTCTTGAATGTGTGGTACTTGCATATTTATAATTTACTCTGACTATTTGTGACTAGTCCAGGCTAGTGTACCCGCGAGTCAGGTGTTTCAATACGCGCGTAAAATGACTCAGGCGTTATAATTGCATGCATGGACAGCCTGCGAGTAGGTCGACTAATTAACGCTTGTAATCTATCACAACATCTACGAACAGATACCAGTTAATCAAGATTGCTTTAATGGAACTGGTATTCAAACATGAATATTGATATTTCGGGAAAGAACGTAAACAGGTTGGATTGTTGGAATGGTTCGGAGCTGAGCAAGCTGGGCCCAAGAATTGTAAACATTGATTTAGACTTAGTCTCAAGCACTCTCTCGAGACTCAAACACAGGATAAGAACAACACGACCCAGAAACAAGATTGATGCGTTGAACAAGATCCTTCACGGTGTGGTGTCTCAGTTGGTTAGTCAGCTGTCTCCAATTGGGTTTATTATGGACGCTCGGGATTTTTCCTCGAAAAAATCACTGAGGAATAACGAATTGCCAAGAAATGCAAAATGGGTTCCGATAGGTATTCTGTGAAGTGAGTCATCTAATACTGGTAGCCGGTCTTTTATGGTTGCCTTCGTTAATTTCTTTTTTACATCTTCGTTAGTAAAACTAAATTATGTGTTAAGAAACCGACTGGACATTGCCCCGACCATTTGGCCTACGTTTGGTTCCATAGTGGTACACACACATCATGCAAGTACAATGGCATTTGCAGATCATGAAAAAAGGCACTTTCCACTTATGATATTGAAACAAATCCGATTTTTAGAATTCTACAACTCCAAAATGATATTCATTCCAGAAGCTTTGTCTTCTCTGGCGACCCCCACCTCGTTTTGGTATTCTGGATCCGCCCCTTAAATATCACACCTCCCATCGTATTATGCTGAGTTCAATCATATTGCGTGTGTCCTTACGGGCTGCCATCTTTAGTCTCTATCATGTCAAATGTATTATTCAGTGTTACCACGAGCACCGATCAATGCTCACCACCGCGCCCAAGCAATACGCTCCAGGTACAAGGTTGACAGTGACGCGTCGTGCTTCGCTCCCCGCGTTGGCCTTATGGTACGTGCAGAGCTCGCCTGAAATCATAGAGCTGTGCCTGAAATGCTACAGTCTATGTCCCGCGAGGCGTACCAAATCAACCCCTCAGCGCACCTGCCGATTAAGCCCCTGATTTCCCGCCAAAAAATCGATCCTGATGTTTTCTGAGTGTTTGTTTGGTCTGTGTTTTGAGGTGTCTGAGTCGTGGCAGATTTCACACCGCCACTTTCCCACTGGGGACGGATGAATATCGGTTGACAAACATGCATATTGGGTTATTAATATTTTTGCATGGTTGATCAGAAGTAGATAAACAACTGTCGTTATACCAAATGTAAAACACCTATTGCGAATTATGACAATTTTTTTTTTACAATGACAATATTTATAGCAAAAGCTTGAAATTGTAGGCCTACTAATTGTTAATGACGTTCTGGACCAAATTGAGAAAAGATCAGCTATAAGTGGATCATTGTACATCGCACAACAAAAATCCACTCTATTTTGCCAAATATACGAGTCTGAAAGATGCCATACTTGGTCAACATCTTACCAACATTCTCAGAATTGTTTTGGATTACAGCTCGGGGATAGCTCTGGATCTACATGAGATGTATAACACGGATGTAATTGGAAGAGACAAGGCGGGGAGTAATGCTCCGAGTAACATGACAAGGCGAAATAAAAACCTAGTCCATCTGGACGAAATCTCGGGTATTACCGAGGCAATCTTTTCTCCATCAAACTCACTCTGCCGTCTCAGTCTAAGATTTCTCAAATCAAAGTGGCTTTCTAGAAACCTTCCTTTGAAACGAAAGGTATTAGATAGATGTACAATCTTGTTTGCTTCAAGATAATTGATAAAAAAACGGTTTGGGGAATTTAGGACTCAACTTCTGTGTTTGCACAACTTACAAGAAATCTGCACGCACCGCTATTTAGGTTATAATTCCAGTAAATCAACGCCCCAAACGGATCACATTGTGACCAGATTTAATCCTCACAAATCAAATTTTCGAATTTTGTTGAATGCATTTTTGGTACTATTTTTCATTCTCATAATAAACAATATATGATTGGGTGGCTTCAATTGTCGTGTTGTGCCTGAAATAAATAAAAAGGACTGTAAAGCAAACATGACGTGTCTCCAATTTGACACGCCGCGATGTTAACCCTTGTCACTGACTGATGCACTGACAAGATTCAGAGCATGTTATAAAGGTAAATCAAAATAGGCCCCAAGGCACGCGGCCTCGTTCTCTTAACATTATTGATTGAGGGAATAAAGTGCCTAGAACGAGCCTGTCCAAAGTGCAAAACGCGGTGACGACGACGCTTGGCAGATAGACAAGCTTTTTCTAAATTGATGCATGTATGAAGGGTGCGTTTTTAATTTGCTTTGGCCGTTTAAAGACAGCAATTATGTGTCTTCGTGATAAATGAACCTTTCGGGATTTGGGAAAATCTCTTTGACGAAATTTGAACGCCTCCGGCTCCGTATAAGGGAGAGTTTGAATTGACATGTCAGAACGCATTGAACAGCATAATTGTTTTAAAATGAATGAAACGACAGGGGATCGGCAAATATTTATGAAAATATGAAAGTGCTGTTAGTAAAAACAATAGATTTTGCGATTAATATTTATACTACTCACCTATCGTACTGATGACAGTCGCAGAGAAGAACAGGGCACCGAAGTAATTCCACATGGGCTTCCCTTCCGAGTCCAGGTTTCTGAATTTCTTCACCAAAATCTCAAACTTTTTGAGCTCCTCATCAATCTTGGTGAAATTCACCCCGGCCAGGGCTGACGACACACCAGGGGTCGCCGTGGTGAGATTGAGGGTGACGTTAGGCGTGGTGGGTGGGGTTAAGTCCCCGTTGTCAGATGCCTCGATGCTACCGTTGGCAGCTGCCTCGATGCTCGCGTTGATTAGGCTCAGGAATTCATTTCTCGTCTCTGTCAACTGTTTGAAGTTTTTCATTTCATTCTCCGCTTCCAAATACACGAAAACGGCCGCTCCGATGAATGCGTACCCCAGTAGAGCCACCACCACAGCAATGCAGAACAGCCACGGTTGTATACGGCGGAAGTACCGATAGGAACGACTGTCCATCCGACGGTAGTCTCGCGGTTCTAGGGAGGGGGTCATATTGACCGTCACAGCGGTGGCTGTCGTCGTTGTGGACTTGATTGTCCCGGGTCGCGCGGCCGTAGCAGCAGAGGCGCCCATAGTCTGCCTGAAGCTAAGCCACAAATTTATATAAATATCCCTAATTTGTAACTATGGAAACACGCTAACGTCTTTCTTCCCGTACGTTATTTCACTAGCGTCTTCAACAGCCGACCACGTGACTAAAAGTATAAAAATAGAAGATCCAGTCACTGTTTAGAAATCGCAACTTGGCAACTGGCTCGCAGATCGCACGCATAAGACGTCGGTGAAATTAAAGCAGGATATCCCAGGTTAAGGCCACAGGTCTGGACCGAGTTCAGTCCTCATCGATCGAACGTCTTGCAGTTTTATTTCTCAAATGCTCACAGGCCAAGACTCAAACCAAAATTGTTTTTCACAACTGGCTGCGAGTGTCATAATAACTTGGACAGGGTTCAATGTCCGATGCGGAAAACAATCTCCCACGCTTGGTCCTAGCGCAATAATTGCTCTTGAAAACAGAGGTGCGCTCCTTCACATACCACGCCGCTCCAGTGTTATCAAGTGTGACTGCGCCGATGTCTCAGTGATGTAGCTAGATCATTGAGCTATGTGAGCAAAATGCACCAGCATCCCCCACGTCAAATCCTCACGTGGTTGTGGCGGCGATGACTGCGCGCAGTGCTCCTCATGCCAGGCACGTCTCATCACGCACAGATCTCATCGTATGAAACCACCGCATCTCACCGCTGTCTAAATGACTAGAAATCTCCCAGATTGCCCGTTCATCTCCGTGTGACATCTCCAGTTACGCGCTGATCGTCCGGAGCTGTAATTATCCGTGCCGCGCGCGTGTACGAGATGCAAGCGATCCCGTTCGTCAGCGAATAATCATATGATTTGTTGCACTACACAAAATTACCAGCCAAATAATGAGGAATTATTTTCTGTTTTGTCCCGTGCGATTGTTTCAGCTGACTGTCAGTAAATCTCTAGCTCCGTTCACGATCGTGGAGTGATTTTAATTATTGATTACCCTTCCAGCGCTCCGTAGATGGTTTGGAATCACTTTCTGTTCCTTGCTCTTCGCACCAACCGGGTCTAGCTGCATGTGGCCGTGGCCGCTCCGTTGAAATTAAAGCAAAGTGCACGATACGGTCACTGACATCCTGCGAAATTCGTGTAATATTTGAGGCCATGGAGATTCACAAACAGCCAATTATATAATCCTGTGGATTGCTGCTGAAAATGCTGGTCCATCGATCGCACAAAGAATGACACAGCAATATTGCTTTTAGTGTAGCAGACCCTGTAAAAACATACCCGCATGTAATTCTGAATGCATGCGAACCACTCCAGGCAATTTACATGTATGGAAGTCCATAAACATTAACAAACAAACTGTTTGTAATTGTTGCGCACACAAAACATGCAATGATCAGTACACAACGCATACATCTGTGCAGGTGGTGATTATAATACACAGGGGCGGTATTATAATTTGCAGTGCGTCCGTTTTCTCTATTCCTATCGATTTTGTCACATTTGTTTCACAGTTGGGCTGATGGCTAACGAGGCTAGCCTGGCTTATTCATAAGTGTGTTTCTTTGAATACAAATGTACACTGACAAAAGCTAATTAGCGAGAACTTGCGTGTTTTGACATTATTATCATCGATTCCGGGTAATTTCGTTTCTTAAAGGAAGGTTGCCATGGGGACACTCGACCCCACACGTTTGTTAGAAGTTGTTCGAAAAGTCCTCGTGGGCCCTATTGTCAACAAGTGCACATAAGTCATGATTATCAGTAAAAAGAACCTTACTGGGAAAAAAAACACCTCGGTACTAAAAGTACGAATTACTGTTTAAAGTGGTCATAATCTAGATAGAATTAGTTGTTAATAGTATAGTCTAGTCCGGAAATTTGGGACTCTCAATACTGTGTATGAGAGTCCCAAAACTTAAGGTAGTAAAAACATGCAATACGAGAAAATAGACTGGCGCATGAAACAACTAGTCCAACACCCCTTTAACTGCATCAATCCAACTACATGTAGGTCAAAAGAAACACGCAGTCTCTATTTGTACACATTTCCACATTCATGCCACCAGATTACTGAAGGGTCTGTCTCCTCAAAAAGTTGGACATGTACCGGTAGTCTCAGGCTTCAAATTGAAATCACTCGAAGTCTCTCAGCCTGAAAATGCTAACGAAAAGTCTGCTTTAAAAATTGAATTGAGACCTCAAACTTGGTTGGTGAAATACTGAGTACCTTGTCTTTGCCTGAGGAAAATGCTGGAGAATTTTGTTGAATATAGAGTGAGTAAAGTGGGCCTGATTTTGTTTTTTGCATGGTTTCCTGCACTGAGTCAAGGTCCCTGTCTGAGCAGCTTCCTTTTTGATTGTATGGAAGTTTGTTCTGGTTTGAAAATGTTGATCTCAGATTAATGAAAACGCTTTCATTGTTTCGATAGGCCTACATTATTACAATACGATATATCTCAAGTGTCCATTTTAACGAATGTGACAGATATTTCATATCATTTCTGTTACTGTTAATAATAACCCCCCTTCTTGAATTGCCAAACCCCGCCCATCTTTGCGCACTCTATGCCAGCCGTCTGGTCCCGTACGTGCCAAATTTAGGCCTTAACAAAACACAATACATGAAGGGTACCGTACAACTTCCTTACAAACTGGTACCCTTCGTGGGCGTATCTAATGTACATAATTCTGCATAGGGTACCAGTGGCCGGTCTTCGTATGCAAAAGTGACGTGGCCACACGCGAAACCTATGTGTGGAGGCGCATTTTCGGGGAAAATGTTGTGATTTCTTACTGAAGTAAGTCTCAATTGTTGGTGTTTTTCTGTTAAAATTAGGCAGTATGAGGTGTTTGTGACTCTTTGTATTTTACATTTGACTGATTTATCCGCAGGTTTATCTTTGAGTACATGAATATTAACCATCTGTTTGCTGTTGGAAAGTTTGGTCTGTGTTTGACATGTTTGAATCTAATTCGTGAGATTTTTTTTTGGGGGGGGAGGAGTTGGCAAAAGATTTGAGATTGAAAGGCCCTGTCTTTTTGTGACAGATTTTTCTTTTTTGATTAGGCACAGGAAAGTACAAATGAAGCACATTCCCCTCTGTTAGCTGTTAATTATATCTGAATTTGTTTGAACAAAGTTTTACAAAACATTTCTCGAATCATGATTTTTAGGCTAAACTTTTTTTTTACAGCCTAGGCCTAGACCTCATTGCAAGTTCAAGGAAGGAATTATCGTCACACAGGTTACACATTTACTGCGTGAAATGGCTTCAAAAGATGGTTGCGTCCGTCATGTCTGTTATTTTTTTAGTTTCCTGCAAACTATAGTATACTTAACATAAATTATTAGACATGACAGTAGGCCTATCATATTAAAATAAAGTCATTGCAACATCCATTTGAACTCAGATATTTTTGCCTTTGTATAAACTTCCAGTTTCATCTGTCTTGAAAGTTGAAGAGAAAGAAGAAAGAAAAGAATGCTGACCAAGTTTGAAACCAAATCAGCCAGGGTGAAAGGTGAGTGGATGTTGCTACTGATGACAAATCAACTTTGAAAAAGAGAAAAAGTAAATAGTGAAAATCTATTCAATAAGAAGGAAAGCGAGAATTGTTCTCATGAAATGAAAAATATCATGTTTGAACGCAGAAATTTTAATCATGTTGTGATCAGGGCATTTTCAGAAACTGTTAGTGTTACATATTTTTCTGTGATTGGAAATAATTGCATTTTGTTGTTATTTACTGGAACATCGCAAATATTTATAAACAGTGGTTAAATTATAGACGTTGGTACATAACATAAACAAATGTAAGAAACCATTTTTAATGGATTGTTTATGTTTGTCTGATTCCTGCCAGGCCTGTGCTTTCACCCGAATCGTCCCTGGATCCTGACAAGTCTCCATAATGGAACCATCCAACTCTGGGATTACCGCATGTGCACCATGCTGGAGAAATTTGACGAACATGACGGTAAACAAAAATAAAATAATAATCATTAGATTTGATAAATACATCTTTACAACGACTTCATGACAGTGATTTCTTTTTCATATACCAATGAGGATGGGTACTGTTCCCCTCTTTTGTTCCTATTGTCTAGGCTAACTTTTCTTGCCTTGCCCTGTGAAAATTGTACATTGAAAGTACCAAGGACTGTGGCTCAGGATCTGTGCCCTTGGATCATTATTACAACACTTTGTCCAAGTCCTCTGTCGTGAAGGATAACCTGTATATGTACTCCACATTAACTCATACTCTTCCTGATCCTTCACTATCAACATGGAACTTGATGCCCCTTGAAAGTTTCAGAAGTTTCAGCAAAGTTCTGAGCAAAATTACAAAGGGAGCAAGGATTTAATCCGATCATTTCAAATCCACCTAAGTCTGAGTCACAAATTCTACCCAATTGCAACGTTTCCTTGTTTCTACAGGTCCGGTTCGTGGGATAGGATTCCATCAGCAGCAACCTCTCTTCGTCTCGGGCGGGGATGACTACAAGATCAAAGTCTGGAACTACAAGCTCAAGAGATGCCTGTTCACGCTCCTTGGCCATTTGGATTACATCCGCACTGCCTCCTTCCATCATGTAGGTTGAGAAAGAAACAGAGTCTGAACAAAAAAAACCCCAAAAAACCCCAAAACAACAACAACAACAACAAAGTCACAATTGTGTTGATAATTTAAACCTTGTCTTAGTTATGCAGTTTTTATTTATCGATGATGCATGTATATATTTGATGGAAGTTGGTTCATCAAAATTGCATTTTAATTTGAAAGTGGAAGAAAGAAATTGACTGCAGCGGGGTTTGAACCTGTGACCTCAGGATTTCCGTTCCGGTGCTCTACCAACTGAGCTATCCAGCCCTACATTGGCGGTTCCACATAATGTCAATATCTTTGTTCGTGGGACACTAGCCAGAAGCCATTTCGATAAACCCTCAACAGGTGGTGAAAACAGTATTCAGTTTCTTCAGGACAGTTTAACTTCCAGCAAACTTTCGTCCTAATGAAGATTACCTCTGAGCATTTTCTTGCATTTTCTTGTGTCTTTTCAGGAATATCCATGGATACTGAGTGCATCCGATGACCAGACCATACGAATCTGGAACTGGCAATCCAGAAACTGCATCCAGTATGTCATCTTAGAACATTTCAAGTTTTTTTCTACATTTGTTTGAATGGCATTTATAAAGAATAACTTGTTCTCGACACCACAACAGTTGTAGAAAGTTAGGCTGACATTTTGAGAGTCAGCTTTTAAGAAATTTGAAATTCTACCTTGTTTTCTGTGATTTAAGGATTCAGTTTTGTAGAGCCTAGCCACCATGTCTATTCACCGTCCTAGCTTACTGAAGTAACAAGAATACATACCCATTTTTACTGCATAGTGCTTGATATTAGACATTTCCCTAAGTTTCCCTAATATTTCTTAGAGTTTTGGGTTAAAAGTGGCGGTTTTGCTTTGCATCTAGCCTATCCACTCAAAGCTGTCACCAAAATTCTGTAAACTAAGTAATCAGGAAATTCACTTCTTGTTTGTGCATTTATCAACAGCGTCCTGACAGGTCACAACCATTACGTCATGTGCGCCAACTTCCACCCAAGCGAAGACCTGGTTGTTTCTGCCTCACTGGATCAAACCGTTAGAGTCTGGGATATTGGAGGTCAGAGGATTTCCAAAATCATATTTAATTTTTAAAACTTTTTTTTAAAACTGTTATGGGTATAATTCTGTATGAGCCTAAATGCAAATTTTGTTGGGACGTCTAATTTTTTTGAAAGGACATAAAATTTGCTGTGATATAAAATATCTACAAGGATTTGTTAGGTAACGTTACGTAAAGCTTATTCAATGGATGCGAGAAATAATGACCGCACACTTTGTTTACACGTGCGCTTTCTTATGAGAGCCAGGTGGGGAGGAGAGCCACTGAGCTCTCATTTAGAAAAGGCACATGTAAACAAAGAGTGATGTCATTATGTCGTTGGTTTAGAGAAGAAAGTTTAAGTTAGACCACCTGTCCTTCCAGGGCAAATGGCATGGAGATACTAAGCTCCAAAATTTGCTCAGATCAGATATGTTTGCTAAGCAAAAACCGACTACCAGCCAATATGCCATGCTTTGTTTATTGACTCTGACTGGTTACCAGCTGTTTTTTTCTTCGCTGAGCATGTAAAGGAAATAGGCTATGTCAATACACAACAGCATACTTTTGATTTTAAATGGTTAGCTTACTCTGCATTGTAGTATCTTGCATTTTATTGGTTTTTGTACACTCTTTCTGAAAACACATCTTGATGGTAAATATCTGGTAGGCTTTGAGTAGTTCAATATTGTTGAATATCCTCGCAGTTCATCAAACCTTCGCTTAATCTCCTGTTTTTTTTTCTCCAGGTCTGCGTAAGAAGAACGTTGCCCCAGGACCAGGCGGAATAGAGGACCACGTCAAGTCTACCATGACCCCTGACCTCTTTGGAACTGCTGATGCTGTCGTCAAGCACGTCTTGGAGGTAAGTCTTATTTACACGGCTTTTGCGTCTTGGTTTTAACCCCAAGACCTTGGAGTGATTTGAGTTTTTAAGCTTCAGTAGCAAGTCGTGTTCCGAATTCATAACTTTATTGGGTATCTGAACCACGTGTTTCTTTTTGGTGTGCTCCCTAACAGGGTCACGATCGTGGCGTCAACTGGGCCTGTTTCCATCCCACAATGCCCCTGATTGTATCAGCTGCTGACGACCGTTACGTCAAACTTTGGAGAATGAATGGTAGGTATCGCGAAATAGCAAAAAGCCATGCTCATTCAAAATCAGTTTCCCTTGGTAGAAAACTCACAATATTCATCGGTAAACATTTTTTTGGTTGTTACATCCTAGTCAGCTAAGCCTCAGTTTATTTATCCATGAACTTTTTTTGTGTCCAACCTAACAAAATGAGTCTTAAGTTGTCGGAGCTACTTTTTAGTTACAAAAGTAGAAATTTTTCATCAATGTAATGTCCGTTTTTATTGAATGATATATCAAAATGAAGAAGTGGGCGTGCTGTTTGTAACACAACTGAAAACTATTTGAACGGACTTTCTTATGACTCATTTGGTTGAATTCGGTCACATATGTTGTTGTTTACATTTGTTGTTTACATTTGTTGTTGTTTACATTTGTTGTTGTTTACATTTGTTGTTGTTTACATTTGTTGTTGTTTACATTTGTTGTTGTTTACATTCCAGATGCAAAGGCCTGGGAGGTTGACACCTGCCGAGGTCACTACAACAATGTGTCCTGCGTGACCTTTCACCCTCGGCAAGAGCTGATCCTGAGCAACTCGGAAGACAAGAGCATTCGCGTCTGGGACATGTCCAAGAGGTTAGCAAAACAGCAACTCTTAGCATATGTTTTTTAATTGAAGGAATTGGAATACAAGCATGGGAATGTGTTGTTGTAACCTTTGTTGCTACCAGTATTTGGTTCTTGTTGTGTCAGGCTAGGTTTTATTAAGTCTGATCTGCTATCGTATCTGTTGTCTTTCCTCTATTGTTTAGGACCTGCTTGCAAACATTCCGTCGTGATCATGATCGTTTCTGGGTCATCACTCCCCACCCAACCCTCAACCTGTTTGCTGCTGGTAAGTATTACGCTTGGCTACTTGTTATCCCTCAACCTCGAAACCCTTCAAAATCTTTCATAATCCTTCAAAATCTTACATAATCCTACACCTGATTTGTAGGGTTATGAAGGGTTCAACACTGCAGGCAAAAAGGATTTGTTACTGGTATATTCAGCATCATATATTCTTGTAGGACCCAGGAATCTGGAATAGGTTTAACCCTAAAAAGCTGGGGATTAATATATTTTGTTTTATATCATCATTGTCTCATTGTATTTCGTGCATGGGCTTTAAACTGATGTCTTGTGGACGCTTTGACACCACCAATTTTTGCAAAAGTCAGACGTAATGTTAGTGGAAAGGTCAAATTTACAATGTTGGTTACTGTAAATAATTTCTTTGTTTTCATTGACTGTGTATAAGAAACCCACACATACTTGAGGAATATGACCATTATTACAGTTTCACTTAGAGATATTCTGAACATGAATCTATCTTTTAGCATATTCAATTAAAAACAAAATGGGTCATTGTATTTTCGAGATCTGAATGAACCCACCACCCCCCCCTCCCAGTTCCTGTGGCTGTAAGATGGCCAGAAACTCTGCCTCTTTTAGGGTAAATAACTTAATCCAGTGTTCACTCAGAGACACCTCATGCTCTCAACTTCAGGTCATGACAGCGGCATGATCGTCTTCAAGTTGGAGCGAGAGCGGCCAGCCTATGCAGTCCACGGCAACCTCCTGTTCTACGTCAAGGAGCGCTACCTGCGTCGACTGGACTTCAACACGTCCAAGGACGTTGCCATCATGCAGCTACGCGGAGGCAGCAAGAGCCCAGTCTACAGCATGGCCTACAATCCTGCCGAGAACGCCGTTCTCATCTGCACTGTAAGTACCCAGAGAGACCAGATAAGATTGGAAGCTTTGCGTAGTAAGAGAGCGCCGTAGTCAAAGTATCCAACTCTTGTGTGGTGGTTCGCAGCTTTGAACCCTGACGGGAACATGGTGTTTGTGTTCCTGGGCAGGACTCTTTACCATAAGTGCCCCTCTCCATCTCGGAGTAAAAGTGGGTATCTCTGTGGGTAGAGACCAGATTGCACTGATCTGGAGCTGATGCTGAACTTGATGATTTATCTAATCCCTTTTTGTCACAGCGTGCCAACAACATTGACAACAGCACCTATGATCTGTACCAGGTTCCGAAGGATGTCGACAAGCAGAACCCTGATGGTAACTACCTGTCACTGTATTTCCACTAGAGTTGTGTCAATATTTATAAGTAATTCTTCCTTTCCAAAAACACCTTTCTAAGCTAAACGCTCTTGGTGTTAGGGAAAGAATGCTGCATCCTGACTCCACTTTTTTCATCATATTAAGACATGAATCACAGACTGAGAGACATTTCCAATTTTGTAAGAAAACACTTTGAAAATGCACTCGACTCTCCGTAGACTGTGCACACAACCAAAGAAATTGGCGTCTGGATGCTACATTTTTTCCGGCATTAAAAAGAAATGTGTCTTACAACAAAGCAGTTATTTTGTTGGAATAAAACAAGTACAGAAATTGAGAAACTAAGTCAGTTGTATTTCAAAGTTCACATGTGACAGTTATAGGTTACAGAAGTTAGAGTATTTCAGACAAAATATAACAATATTTTTATTTTGGGAAATATGTTTGTGTCCTGTCCAGCTTGATTGTTAAAGATGAGTGAGATTACAGTATTTTTTTCAGCAGTTTGGAGATAAATTATTTTTCTGTTTTGTTCAGCGCCTGAAGGCAAGAGATCTTCAGGTCTCACTGCTACCTGGGTCGCCAGGAACCGATTTGCTGTTATGGATAGGACCCATGCTGTAAGTACATGGCAACTAAGTTGTATAAAATGTTCCGCTGCCAACTGGAAACTTTATCAACACTTGGAGCAATAACGACAACTTCTGTTTTACATCTGTGTTTTTGACCAATACAGCTATTAATATTTACCACTTTCATTTGCCTTTTGTGTAAAGACACTTGGCTTTATGGAGTTATGAAGCAAATTCAGAAAAAAAATCCCTCCTATTTAAGTTTCAAATGATACACAAAATTATTGTTACATACTAAAATGATTAACATTACAATATTAAATTATTATTCTATAAAGAACATCATGAAACTTAAAGGAATTTAAATGTCCTTATTAGGTTCAAAGATGAGTGTTTTCTTAAGCACGTCTTAGAAGGAAGAAATCCAATACAGGAAAGCAAGCATACACCAGCTTCAGAGTCGCTCATAGCTGAATAGATTTACTGCAAATTGTAATCTATTTATTCATTTTCTGGTAAAAATAACTTCCATCAGGTCATCATAAAAAATCTGAAGAATGAAGTGACTAAGAAAGTCCAGACGCCAACTTGCGACGAGATCATGTACGCCGGCACCGGCATGCTGCTTCTGCGAGACAACGACACCGTCACCATGTTTGACGTGCAGCAGAAACGCTCAGTGGGCTCGGTGCGCATATCCAAAGTGCGGTATGCGGTCTGGTCCACCGACATGTCGCATGTGGCTCTGCTTGGAAAACACAGTAAGTCATAGACTCCTATGGGCCATGAGTTATACTTTCTCTTTGAAATCAGATACAAAATATGGCATGGATAAAGCGAACTTGCACTCAAGGGTTAACCCTAACTGCCCTGAATCCTTCAAAATCCTCTTTGCCAAAGTGGAGGAATTTGGAGGATTGAGGTTACATGGCAAAAGTGCGTTTCCGATTTCGTAGGATGCACTTTGTCAAGGTCTTGGGCCGGACCTTGTGTCTCAGCCATGCATAAATGTAGGCCTGGGTTATGCTTGAAATCCTCCGTACTGCTCCAGGATGTCACTGGCCAGGCCTCAACATATTGACAGTCACTGCCGCAGGATTTTGCAGGATTCAGGCAGTGGTCACCCCTCCATGGACCATATTCAAGAAATAATAGAAGAATTTGCAGGATTGAGGCTGTATGCTATTTTTTCCATGAGGCCAATTGGAGGATTTTGCAGGATTGAGGCTACATCCTAGCAAAAAGGCCTAGGGAGTTAAGGTTAATAATTATTTTGGACAATTTTAATAAAATACACGGTTGCTCATACTAGGTTGTCTTGCACCTTTTCTCCCCGTCTCATTTCCAGCTCTTGGCATCTGCAACCGTAAGCTGGACAGCCTGTGCACCATCCACGAGAACATCCGCGTCAAGAGCGGAGCTTGGGACGAGAGCGGCGTCTTCATCTACACGACAAGCAACCACATCAAATATGCCATCAGCAACGGGTAGGTCATGTGACTTCACATCAGGTGCTACAGAAAGGCTAGCTATGGCCATTTTCCAAATATTGGTCTCAAGTCCAGCTTTGGCTCCTCCTCAAGTTCTGAAACAATTTGAAGCATTGCTGTCAAAACAGAATAGCAAAAACTCCAAAATTTGTCCCAAAATTAGACAAGGTGATATTTCTGTATCAGAAAGTTGAATTATTGGGTTGGCTAACACTAACACTGCAATTTTTTCCCTCTTTTGGACATTTAACAAATGTGGCAAATATTGAGAAATTTAATGGGTCCAACAAATTCTCAATAACATCTCTCCGACATTCAATTTGTTTTCCTGAAATGAAAATAATTTTTATTTTCATCAGTTGGACCCAAGGCAAATTATCCCTCAGTAATATTTTAATATTTCAGTGTTTTCAATTTGTTGCATGCTTTACCCATTTTCCCATAAAATTCATCTGTATTCATTTGTTCACTTCCCTTCCAACCAATCAGAGACCACGGCATCATCCGCACCCTGGACGTCCCCATCTACATCACCCGTGTCAAAGGTCAAAACGTCTACTGCCTGGACCGCGACTGTCGCCCTCGTATCCTGAACATCGACCCGACCGAGTACAAGTTCAAACTGGCGTTGATCCACCGCAAGTATGACGAAGTGCTGCATATGGTGCGCACCGCTAAGCTAGTTGGCCAGTCTATCATTGCCTACCTACAGAAGAAGGGATACCCAGAGGTACGGCTTCGGAAATCAGTCAAACAATCTTTAAAGGACGCATGCAATGTAATTTTTTTAATGCAAACCTTGAAAATGCACCTTTGTGTCCCGTTAAAGTTTAAACTGCAAATGCGTGCCGTGCTGATCAAAAGTTGCTTGCAAAGCGTGCTGGTGAAAATTTGCATGCGGCGCGGCGATATTATCGGCCACTGGAGTGTGTTTTACAGTTAGTATATAGCTGTCAAGGGCTTTAGCGTCTGACGTCAAAGTGGCGTCTGACGATAAAGTGCCGCAACTTTACAATTAAAATAACATCACAGTTGTGTGTGTACATGTTTTTTGTTGTTGAATATTCGAACCGGTAAAAATCATTGAAATATTCAGTGGTGATCGAATATTTGAATATTCGGTTTATTCGAGACAGTCCTAAGCCCTTTTCATACTAGACAAATCTCGGGGTTGACACAGGGTTGAAAACATGCATCGTTTCACACTTGAAGAATTTCAACCCTGCGTCGACCCTGCGTCAACTCCGAGATTGATTTCGCCCCAAGTTGAACTCGACCCTGCTCTAGACCAGGGTTGAGATTTTCAACCTGGGTTGAAATTCTTGCCAGGGTTCAAAACAGTAGTAACTGAGCATGATAAGCTTGATTTGCACGAAACATGTGTGAAATGATGCGGGGTTGAACGCGGGGTTGAAAAATAAAAAACTCAACCCGGGGCGGCCTTGGTTGCGCCCGGGGTTGAGTTCAACCCGGGTTGAAAGGCTCTAGTGTGAAAAGGGCTCTAGCTTGGATAAGTGAGAGAAGGATCCCATGTCAATCTGTCAATCGGCAAAGCCTGTAAGGATGCAACAAGCATTTGACTCCTTTCTAGTCAAATACTGCCTCCAAGTTGCACTCTTCACCACTTCTAAAAACACGTCGCAACTTTCTTATCTTCCAGGTTGCCTTGCACTTTGTTAAGGACGAGAAGACGCGCTTTGCCCTGGCCCTGGAGTGCGGCAACATCGAGGTGGCCTTGGAGGCCGCCAGAGCCCTGGACGACAAGAATTGCTGGGAGAAGCTTGGCGAGGCGGCGCTCTTACAGGGCAACCACCAGGTGGTGGAGATGGCTTACCAACGCACCAAGAACTTTGACAAGCTGGCGTTCCTGTATCTCATCACCGGCAACCTGGAGAAACTACGCAAGATGATGAAGATTGGTCAGTCTTTGTTTACCTCGTACAAAAAGGAAATATAACTGCTTCATCTAGTCTTTAAAGAATTGTTTCAGACTTGTTATCAATTTTTAAATTTGTTTTGTTCTCCACAGCTGAGATTCGTAAGGACACCAGTGGTCAGTACCAGTGTGCCATGTATCTCGGTGACGTCCAGGAACGGGTCAAGATTCTCAGAGCTTGCGGACAGAGTAAGCTTGTAAAAATGGATAATTCCTCCATGCTGACAAATGATAAACCACTGTAGAAATCTACGCACTGCACAGGAAATAAAAATCATTTTAACTTCCCACCCTTACAGAAAAGTACCCTTTACTTTTTAAAAGGCAAAGTTTTAAATTTTCCCCACCCTGGATGAAAATCCTGTTGAGGCAACTTCTTATGCACTTCGCACAGTATGTTTGCAAAATTTCTCCCAAGTCGTTCTGTCAATCCTGCAAAGCGACAAAGCATATTTCAGACTTAACATAAGAATTATCCGTTGTCCGTTATCCAGAGGCCCTTGCCTATCTGACTGCAGCGACCCACGGATTGACTGAGGAAGCTGAGGAACTGAAGGAAGGATTTGATGAGAACGAAAAGGTAACCATTGCTCGGAACTCTGATGGTTTCTGTCAAAGTGATGTTGCTCTCTGCTTGAACCAGTACATTATATGTGTACACATATGTTTCACTATCTGTGTATATATCCACCACAATCAAGCATTATAAAAAGCCGACCAGCAGATAAAATTTAATTGGATGACATTATATGGGAAGTTTGAAGAGTTTGTACAAATAGCTTCTTTTTTTTTTCTTCTGAGCTTAAACTCTGGTTTATGTTATGTTTAGCCAAATCCATCTCAAGTCAAATCACAAGTCAAATCACAGCTCCAGTCACAAGTCAATCACAAGTTAAATAACAAGTCCGTCACAAGTCAATTCACAAGTCCAGTCACAAGTAACAGGGGATGAACAGTGACAGAAATCCCTTTTCCGCTATTTAGCTTATGATTTGACTTGAGACTGAATGACTTGCGATTGAGTCGTTGGGACTCCACTTCAATTCACAATTTTTGTCTCGGTTTGGTCAGGTTCCGGAGGTGAACCCCAACGCGGCCCTCCTGCAGCCCCCGCCCCCCATCATGCAGTCAGAAGACAACTGGCCCCTACTGACCATGTCCAAGGGGTTCTTTGAAGGGGCCATGTCCAGGGGGAAGGGCGGGGCTTCCATGGTTGCCGAGGTGGAAATGGAGGCGGAAGAAGACGGCGGATGGGGCGAGGATGCCGAACTCGTCTTGGATGGTAGGTCTTATCAGCCTTGTGCATATACCATTGAGGGTGCTATTGTGTATTTTGTATACAGTATAACGTTGCTGTGTACCGAACACAATTTTTTTGGTCCTATCTTGCAGGCGGTGATGAGTTTGGGGATGAGGTTGCAATTGGTGGTGGCGATGACGAGGATGGAGGTTGGGACGTCGGAGACGATGACCTGGAGCTTCCTGCTGACCTGGTGAGTTGACCTTTGACCCCTTAACTGACCTTGATGAATATTCACTTCAGTATCATCCTGTGGCGTGTATGAGAGCTGTGGTCTGCAGCTTTAACACGTTTTAGGAAAGAAATAGTCTATTTTTGGGGTGTTTTTTTCTCCAGGAGATATCTGGAGGACCAATGGCAGGAGCAGGGGAGGATGGGTATTTCCTGCCTCCAACCAAGGGCACCAGCCAAGCCACGGTCTGGTGCAACAACTCTTCCCTACCGGTGGACCACATACTCGCTGGCTCCTTTGAGACTGCTACAAGGGTAGGATGATTTAACTTATCCCAAACCACTCGACCACTGAGCTTGCTGGAGCAGATATAGCAACCTTAAGACGTCTGCATTAGTAAACAAGAGGTCTTGGGTTCGAGTCCCACCCGAATAAACTTGTGAATTTTATTCTCTACAAGCCCTTGGACAACACTGAGCATGCAGTGTTTATGAAATTGTGTCGGTAAAGGGCCAAACCAACATGAAATCTAAATCTCCCAGGTGCAAAATTCCTTCATAAAATAGTTAATTAATTTTCATTTGTCTTGCAGCTCTTGCATGAGCAAGTTGGTGTGGTAGACTTTACCCCATACAAGCAACTGTTCATGCAGACCCACGCCAGGGCGCGGACGTCTTATCTTGGCCTGCCTGCCCTCCCACCCCTCATGGGCTACCCTCATCGCAACTGGTAAGTTGACACATTGTCTGCTCTCAAACAAATACCTCACAATTGCCCCAGGGACCATAAGTAGGAACCATTTAGCCATACACCTGTCGCTCATGGGAAGTTGGGTTCATGCATGTTCTGAACAAAATTCATTGTGCGTAGGTGCCACACAATTTACTGTCCATGTTATGAATCCCGTTTGTTGCCCCCGTCTTTAACCCCACTGTTTGATTTTGATCATTGACAGGAGGGAAGCCGGGGCCCGTGCTGGTCAGGCCGCGGTCGGCATGAAGCTCAGTCATCTCGTCCAGAGACTACAGGCAGCCTATCAGCTGACCATGCAGGGCAAGTTTGCTCCGGCCGCTGAACGCTTCAGGACCATTCTACTCAGCGTCCCGCTACTGGTGGTGGACAACAAGCAGGAAATTGCTGAGGTAATCACAGATCAATCTCAAGTCAATCACAAATCAGTCGCAAGTCAGTCAAATGTCAGTCACAAGTCAATCACAAGTCAATCACATTCAACCACATGTCAATCACAAGTCAATCACAAGCCAGTCGCAAGTCAATCGCAAGTCAATCACAAGCCAGTCGCACGTCCATCCCAAGTCAACCACAAGTCAACCACAAGTCATTCACAAGTCAATCACAAGTCAATCACAAGTCAATCACAAGTCAATCACAAGTCAATCACAAGTCAGTCACATGTCAGTCATAAGTCAGTCACAAGACAGGACACAAGTAACGAGGGATGAACTATAACAAGACCCACCCGAACAAGTTTGTGATTTGTTTCTTGTAAAGTCTTGTACAGCACCTTGTGTACCGTGCTTATAAAAAAAATGTTTACAAAGAGCAAATCTCATATTTAATTCCTTCAAAATCTTCCAAAAACCATCTTGTGGATTTTGAAGGATTGGGGGAGTTAGGAATCAGAAACAACACCGCAGATCCTAGATTAATAATTCCCATCTTGGATTTATCCCACTAGGCTCAGCAACTGATCAGCATCTGTCGTGAGTACATCCTGGGTCTCTCCATGGAGATCTTCCGCAAGGAGCAACCCAAGAGCTCCCTGGAGGAACAGAAGAGAAACTGCGAGGTAAACTTGAATTTTCGTAAAAACAAAAATCTGTTTGCAGGAACAAAGACATTGGGGGGAAATTCACTCAAAAGGGGACAAAATCTAACACTGATAGGAAGTGAAAGACTTTCATGTTCTTTCCCTTAATTAACTCATTGATTCAGCCCCAAGTAAGTAATTTTTCCTTCTTTTTTTTCTGTTGTCCTTCCAGCTGGCAGCCTACTTCACTCACTGCAACCTGCAGCCTATCCATCAAGTCTTGACGCTGCGTACCGCTCTCAACCTCTTCTTCAAGCTCAAGAACTTCAAGACGGCCGCATCCTTCGCTCGCCGACTACTGGAACTTGGACCCAAGCCAGAGGTTGCCGCTCAGGTGAGTTGAAGTCTCAACACTTAGAGATGTACTGTCGGTGCTTGTCAACAAAAATGATTTTTTTTTTCTGACGTGTTTTATTTTAACAAAAGTTCTTTGTCTGTGCTTTATGCTTCAGCATTGGCTGAAGAATGTGTCATTCAAGTGTGCATGCATTGTGCAGTAATAAACATAAAAGCTGTCTTGAATTTGGGCATTTAGAAAATGAAATGTAGAGTCACAACTGATATTCCAGGTACAAAGTCAACAAAAGCGAGGCATGCACTGTTTGCTAATATTCCTATTTTATCACTGTCGTTTCATTGTAGACACGAAAGATCCTCATTGCTTGCGAGAAGAACCTGACCGACGCCCACAAGCTGAACTACGATGAACACAACCCATTTGACATATGCGGGGCCACTTACAAGCCAATCTACAGGTGACTGTCTGTCTGTCTCACTGTTAGGCTATCTGTCTGATTTACCCTTCTTGTTACAAGTTCATTGAAACTTATCCTTTTATTTCCATAACTCTTTGACAGAATCAAAAACAATGCATGACGATGTTCAAAAGTGGCACTGGCAACTGATTTAATATCTCTTATTCTGCCATTCTTTTCTGGTGGGTAGGGGGGCACAACATGGATAAGTGCCCACTGAGTGGCACCTGTTACTTTAATTGCCTTTCCCAGTCCAGGGGAGCACAGATCTCTTCCGGGATTCCTTTTCCAGGGGAAGTCTAGTAGAGAAGGGCCCACTGACTGGCACCTGTTACCTTAATTGCCCTTCTCACCCCAGGGAACCCCGATTCATCTTGTCCTGCCATTCTCTTTCCAGGGGAAAGCCAGTTGAGAAGTGCCCGCTGAGCGGCACCTGCTACCTGCCGGAGTTCAAGGGGTCAATCTGTCGCATCACCCAGGTCACGGAGATCGGGAAAGATTGTCTAGGGCTCAGGATAAGCCCAATACAATTCCGTTGAGTAGTCAAGAAGAATTACCGATACAGCAACACAAGAATTGTGACGTCAAGAAGCGCTTGTAATTTCTCTAGTAGCCATTTTGTGCTTGTTGAATATTTACGGTCGTGAACTTCACATTTTATTGCCCATAGTTATTGCTTACTGAGCCACATTGTGCAGTACCCAGCGTCACTTAAGACTTTTAACGCTATTCAAGAAAATGATGAGTCAAATAATACATGTATTTTGAAGAGGGGTATTTTTTTTCTGGTTCTGTTTGAATTCTTGTTTTAAGTTTACAACAACAAGGTACTGTAATGACCTTTAATTAAATTGAACATTAAAATAAAAAACAGCGAACTCCACATTTTTGAAGTGTACATGTATTAAGTAAGGGTCAAGTCAGAAAACTTGTCATTTAAATAAAAAAAACCTTGAATTAGACTTTTAGCAAATAATCCTGTAGCTTGAAATATATGTAGTATGGCAGATAGGTGATGGGATTGTGCCTTTGATGATACAAGCATGGAATTTGGCACATGGTCGGAGTATGTCATGAGAAAGATATTTGGCTATAGGGCCATTGCAGATTTGTCCTTTGAAAAAATATAGTTAGAATACCAAGCAAAGGCAGCCATTTTGAAAATATTGTTATTCTACCTATATTTTTTTCAGATGACAAATCTGCGATGGCCCTATAGCCAAATATCTTTCTCATGACATACTCTGTGTGCCAAATGCCATGCTTGTATCATCTAAGGCAGAATTCCCCAAAATATTTCCCCTACCTGCCCCACACATGTAACTATTGTGCAACAAACGCCTTCATGATGATGTTCATTAACACTGCATTATGTTTCTGTAAACAATTTGTAATCTTTGTTATTTTTTCTTCTATGTTTGGTTTCATTATAGGTTTAAAGAGAATGGAATATTTAAAGACATGTCTTATTTTGAGCAAGGGGGAGGGGTTTTTCTATTTCCATAAAGGGATGAATCTGTGCTAGAGACATTCAGTAACTTTGCATGGCTGTGCATTAAAAAAAAACCTTTTTTTTTTGTCTTCTGTAATCTTAACTAAAAAGGGGCAATTCCCAATACTTGTGTTAAATTATTGGGGTAGTCAAATAAATCAAATGATAACATGTACTAAGAAAAAAAACCGATGTTATTTTCTTTTGTAACATGGTCTGGTGGTTTAATTCCCCCCCCCCAGCCCCCCCCCCCAGCCCCCCGAATCAATCTGGATGACTCACTCCTAATTAATTTTTTCCTGCAAAAATGAACAATGCCAACTGTACTGTTCCTTTGTGTTAAGTCTTTTTACGTCACTTCCATGGCAACAATGACAGGGTTTGTTTTTAAAATCAACGAACCATAGAAGAAATTACTGGCAAAATGCGGTTTCTTTTGTTGCTGCATTTGGATCTGTCTTTAGCAAAGTATTTGGCAGGAACAATGGAATTTAATTAATTTGTTTAAGGCGTGTTTGTGTTAGTGCCACCGTACTTAAAACTATTGTGCGACTGTTACGGAATTCGAGATTTGTTTGTCTTGTATTTAACTTTGAAGGTAATTCCCCGAAAAAAAGTCATCATCATTATGACTTTCTGGAGTGACTCGAATAAAAATCCCAAGTATTTCCAGTACATGCCAATTGATCTGTGGCGGATAACTGCTAACTGGATAATATAATTTAAAAAAAAAAGAATAGAAAATTCATAAGGATTAAATTGATATTTATCATTTTATTTTGACCGTTTAAATTTTTACAACGAAATAGTCCGCCTATTTATTTATTTCCTTGTTGATGGCACTGTGCCCCTTCTTGCCAACTTTTTCAGGAAAAAGGGATAAAATACCATAGATTTTAGTAATTTAAAAGACAAGGAAATGTTATTCACTTTGATGGCAGTGTGAGATGGTAAAATGTTTCATGTTTTGTGGGGAAAGCGGAAATAAAATTTTTTTTTTAGAGTTCAACTTCAAGTGCATAAAAGGCGAGGGTGCACATAACATGACGTCAACAGGCGTGGCGACAGTGAACCTGCACGAACTTTGATCGCTGGTCCCATCAGCATGACGTCGGTTCCAGGTGAGACTGGTGCCTTTACAAATTAACAACATCAGTCAATGCCCTTGTGACGTGGACTAAGACGACATTTACCTCGGCAATTACACGCTGAGGAACCGAAGGGAGGGAACCAGCGAAGTGTTTAGGTTTACTTTCCCCCAAAATGGCGAGCAGTCGGTGAAAGAAATACACGGAACTTGGCCTAGATAAGTGTCGCGTAGGCAGTCATCACCGTTCACAGGAAGTGGAGTGACATTGTCCAAACAGCCTGGAAATCGATGCAATTTGTGACGATTTGGGGAATAATATGCTGACAACCTGTTGTTTTCAGACAACTTCGGGAATCAGCCACGGACCTGCTGCTGTGATTTTCACGCTGAGTGGGCAGACACGACCGGCCAGCGAAGCGCCCTGAAAACCGTAGGCCGTATCAATCTCACTTTTTGCCCTCAAAATTTCTTTGATATTTGGCCCACGCAGTTGTCATCGCAAAGGTATCGCATCTTTGATCCATGATCGTTGCAAGGACTACAAATAATCAACATGACTTAGCCTAAGTAAATGTATTTTTGTACTGACTTGATTTTGACATGTTTGACAACAAAATTGTTGATTTTTCCCTGCACACTAAATACTGGCTGTGCTAGATTATTATTTTTTTCCAATTGAAGATATAATTTTCTGAGTGACTTATAAAACTGTAATCTGAGGCCGTTAGTGGATGGCTTATGTTGCATGACTTGCCAGGATTTTCTGAATCCAATTACATGTAATTGGATGAATATTTTCATCAAATTGGAGACCGAGTGAGTGATTATCCAAATCTGAGGATATTACTAAGGCAGCAACATGTCAATAACGGCGTTGAAGAGATTTTTCCGCTTCTCCACGGCTGATAAGAAGAAGGATGACAAGTTCCAGAATATCATCCGAGACAGAGATCCAGAGTCGGAGTGGGAAGTGCTCTCGGAACTTGGAGACGGTGCTTTCGGGAAAGTGTACAAGGTGAATTTTCTTGACTTCATGTCTACAAATCATGCAAATTGCTGTCGTTTTGGTTTGAAAAAAAAAATGTACAAAATGTAAACATGATGCCACTTTGGTGTTTATGACATTTATAATGCATGTAATGGGAATTAGCGAATCTTTCTTATGGACAAAATCAGAAATGTTTCTTAACATTAATCCCAAATACATTTTTTTAAAACATATTTCCAATGACTGACCACCATTGAGGTTATACATGTAGGCCTACATGATTAGAAAAACCCTGTTAATCCAATCAAACATTCCACATGACTACATTTCATCATGAAGTACTCATGAAAACCATGTAGTTGAGAGTAATGTTGAGTTGAACATGAGTTGATATTTGCTTGAAGATGAAACAATAATATTTGTAATGCATTTTTTTTGTTAAACAACAGGCCAAGAACAGACATACAGGCATCTTTGCGGCTGCAAAAGTCATTGAGATTAAAGACCAGGAGGAACTGGATGATTTCCTTGTGGAGATTCAAATCTTGGGCGAATGCAAGCATCAATACATCGTAGGATTGTACGAGACGTACCTCTATGCAAACAAGTTGTGGGTAAGTTTCATGTTGAATTCTGTTAGAGTCAAACAGACTGGTGTCTTTGCCATTGGATTAGTAAGTAAGTCAAGTCTGTCATGAGCCAATGTGGCCCATGAGGCCGGCGTTTATCTCTGGTTTCAGTAGCATGAAACGACTGAGAATATTTCTGTTCCCCCTGGATGGGATGCTAGTCCATCGCAGGTTACTCCCCAGCTAATGCCGGTACCCATTTATACTCCTGGGTGGAGAGAGGCAAGTTGGGGTGAAGTGGCTTGCCCAAGGACACAACATATGACCAGCAGCTGGATTCGAACCCCTGACCCTCTGGTAAATCAAGGTAAGATTTTGCTGGTCTCGGAGGGCAAGCTGTGTGTCCTCTTGTTTCCATCTCACTGATTGACTGCCTGACTGCATCACTCATGAACCGGGCAGTGCTATTGTATAGGAATACCCTGAAATGCCAATAAGTGGGCTAAATCTGACTCATGAAAAGACTTCCAATTAATAGCCATTCTGATTCAAATAAATAGATTTTTATGCACTCTGGACCAGCTTTACTTGGCTTGACTTTGTTTTTGATTTAATAATTAATTTTTTTGGGGGGGGATGGGGGTGGAGAGGGTAATCAAAGGAAAATGTTTGCCGACAGTTTCCGACAAGTTCGACCCCATTTTCCTTTCCAGATGCTCCTAGAGTTCTGCGAGGGGGGTGCCCTCGATGACATCATGCTTGACCTGGAGAAAGGTCTGACTGAGGACCAGATCAAAGTTGTCTGTAAGCAGATGCTGGAAGCGTTGGACTACCTTCACAGCAAGAAGGTTATCCACAGAGATCTGAAGGCTGGGAACATACTGCTGACCATGACTGGAGATATCAGACTTGGTAAGTGCTTTAATTTCTGTCATTCATTTTTGGGTACCAAAACCCAAGATTGGCTTAAGCCTCAACAACAAGCAAGTAGCATTGTTGTTGTTGACCACCTGTTTGTCATAAGTTGAGTTGAAAATAAATCATAAGTCAAATCCATTCACAAGTAACAGGAGTTGAGCAATAACAAAGGAGATTCTTGATTAAGTTTAGATTTGTAGAGGAGTAGTTTTGTAAAGCATAGCTTAGTCCGTGGGGCACCGGTAGAGCAGATAAGTGGTCTCAGTTTCATGTCCTGCCGAAGTGAAATTTCCTGATGAAAAAAAATATACAAGCCCATGTTCTTCTTTGCTTTACAGCCGACTTTGGAGTTTCAGCCAGGAACACCAAGACTAAACAGAAGAGAGATTCCTTCATCGGGACGCCATACTGGATGGCTCCTGAGGTGGTGATCTGCGAGACGCTGAAAGACAACCCTTACGACTACAAGGCAGACATCTGGTCCCTGGGGATCACTCTGATAGAGCTGGCACAGCAGGAACCCCCATACCATGACCTGCACCCCATGAGGGTGCTCATTAAGATCCCTAAGGCTGAACCTCCGACCCTCCTGGCACCCTCACGATGGTAAGTGTAAAGTAGACCTTCCCTACCCCTGTCCCTTCCTTGGGAATCACGTTGATAGAGCTGGCACAGCAGGAACCCCCATACCATGACCTGCACCCCATGAGGGTGCTCATTAAGATCCCTAAGGCTGAACCTCCGACCCTCCTGGCACCCTCACGATGGTAAGTGTAAAGTAGACCTTCCCTACCCCTGTCCCTTCCTTGGGGATCACGTTGATAGAGCTGGCACGGCAGGAACCCCCATACCATGACCTGCATCCCATGAGGGTGCTCATTAAGATCCCTAAGGCTGAACCTCCTACCCTCCTGGCACCCTCACGATGGTAAGTGTAAAAGGTAGACCTCCCCTAAACCTGCCCCTACCTTGGGGATCACGTTGGTAGAGCTGGCACGGCAGGAACCCTCATACCATGACCTCCACCCCATGAGGGTGCTCATTAAGATCCCTAAGGCTGAACCTCCGACCCTCCTGGCACCCTCACGATGGTAAGTGTAAAGTAGACCTTCCCTACCCCTGTCCCTTCCTTGGGAATCACGTTGATAGAGCTGGCACGGCAGGAACCCCCATACCATGACCTGCACCCCATGAGGGTGCTCATTAAGATCCGTAAGGCTGAACCTCCAACCCTCCTGGCACCCTCACGATGGTAAGTGTGAGGTAGACCTCCCCTACCCCTGTCCCTTCCATGGGGATCATGTTGGTAGAGCTGGCACCCCAGAAACCCCCATGGCACGACAGGAACCCCTCATACCATGACCTGCACGAAGACCTAGGAACGTTAGTTAAAAATCCCCAAGACTGACCCACCAACCCTTCTTGATATTAAGCAAGTTTTGTTTGTTTGTTTTTTTGCCTTTGAGAAAGTTCCTGCCTGGACCAAAACGTTAGACCCGCTTATTTTGTTGATTTGTACATTTCAGGTCAACCCAGCCAGCAAGCAATTTGCAGCAGTTTTATTCATTTTCATGTTGCGTTTTTTTTAACAGGACCAAGAATTTCAGCAGTTTCATTAAACTCTGTCTGGATAAAAACCCAGAATCCAGACCAACTGCACCAGAGATGTCCAAGGTAATAACATGTATTAGTGTTGTATCGAGTCCATCACAAGTCCTTTCATAAGCCAATCACAAGTAACTGGATGAACAATGACGAAGGATGCTTTTGTAACAGTTTATTTGCATAGCTAGTGACTTGACTTGAGACCGAAAGACTTGTGATGGACATGTAATGGACTTGTGATGGACTTGTGACGGACTTGTGATGGACTTGTGGTGGACTTGTGATGGACTTGTGATGGACTTGTGATGGACTTGTGACGGACTTGTGACGGACTTGTGACGGACTTGTGACGGACTTGTGACGGACTTGTGATGGACTTGTGATGGACTTGTGATGGACTTGTGATGGACTTACAGGGACTTGAATAAAACTCTGACAATTATTTCAGTTCAACCCTAACTCCCTAGCATGATTTGCTAGGGACCATACCCATCCTGGTGAATTCCAACACCATATGGGAAACTGCACACGCATATTTCTGACTTTGATTCTGGAGTTGTGCCAACCCAATGTAAAAGACTGTCAGTTTAGGGGTACTGTACCCATCCTGACAGATTCCATCAAAACATGCCGTTTGGCTTTGATGGGTTGAGTTCTGTTAAGGTAATAATCCGAGTGTTAGTCAGATGTTGTAATTGTGATTTGGCAAAGATGACGATTACTTGACATACAGCTGGTGTCAAAATTCAGGTCCTATTTTTCAATTTCGGTGTTTTTTTGAAGAGTTTCTCTTGCATCTAGTTACAAATATGACATGATGACCATTATGACATGATGACCACTATAAAGATTGGTTGTACTGTCACTGGATTCCTGTTGTGATTTAAGAAAAAAAGAAGATGGAACAAGTTGGAGAATCTTTGTGAACCAATGTGAGCTCAGTTTGTGTCTGTATCTAACGCTGTCTCTGATTGGTCCAAAGCACCCCTGGTTGGCTGAAGTGCACGACAACAAGCCAGTGAGGGACCTCCTCTGTGAAGCCAAGGCTGAAGTGACTGAGGAGCTGTTGGAGTTGCCTGATGACCAGGTGCCGGTACGTTTCCAATCAAATACATAGAAACAAAATAAGGGGGAAAACAAGCTACAAAACGGTTGTGAAACAATGAAGTTTCTATAAGATATAATGATTTTAGAGTATTTTTGTGTTTCAGTTATTGATTGAGACACGAGACAAAAACAGTTTTTTGTGCCTCTGCCCAGACACTTTAAAATGCCATTTTTGCAAATGAGTTGTCACTTTTTCCCTTTGATACCCCTTACCATAGGTTATATAGAAGCCTGTACACATTTTATTTTTCCATTAACCCTACATTTGTAACTCTCTAGGCCTTTTTGCTAGGATGTAGCCTCAATCCTGCAAAATCATCCAATTGGCCTCATGGAAAAATAGCATAGCCTCAATTCTGAAAATTCCTCCATTATTTCTTGAATATGGTCTGTGGAGGGGTGACCACTGCCTGAATCCTGCAAAATCCTGCGGCAGTGACTGTCAATATGTTGAGGCTTGGCCAGTGACATTCTGGAGCAGTACGGAGGATGTCGAGCATAATCCAGGCCTATATTTATGCATGGCTAAACAAAAGCAACACAAGGTCCGGCCCAAGACCTTGACAAAGTGCATCCTACAAAATCAGTAACGCACTTTTGCCATGTAACTTCAATCCTCCAAATTCCTCCACTTTGACAAAGAGGATTTTGAAGGATTCAAGGTGGTTAGGGTTAAAAAAAAAAAAGGAAAAGAATTGTACTTGGAAGTCTCAAAATGATTCATTGGTACGTAACTCACAAATTATTCTGTTTTTGTTCTGTAAAGTCTGATCGTCGTTCTTCCATCGGCGCTGACAGTACAGACAGCGCTGACATTCTGGCCTCGTTAGGCACGCCCAGCACACCCACCACCCCCTCCACCCCAGTCCAGCAACCGATCAGCCCACCCATCGGAAGTCAGGTGTGTAGGTCTGCTTGTCCTGCAGTTGACGTGGTCCGAGTTTGAACCCTGGTCTTGTGTACTGTTTTTAACCATAAAAGAGCAATACTGATGCCAAAGTAGCCCCATTTTGGAAAATGTGCCTCATCTGTCAAAGGTGCCTTACCAAGTTGATAATGTCAGTGAAATCAGTATGACTTTTTTTTTTCAATTGAGCTCGACTCAAAACCCAAAGTTAGGGATGATTAAAATTTGGTAATGAGTTCAGAAACTGTTAATTGCCCCCAAAACTCTGAAATTCTTTGCACAAAAAAATTAATAATTTAAAGGTATTCCAAAATTTCCATTTTCATTAGCTTATGCCATGAAAGGGCATGCTTGATTCAATTACAAAACAATCCTGCTTCTCTGGTCAAGCATTTAATGAGGCTTAATTTTTGTATTGTTTTTCCTCATCAGAACGGTGCAAACGGTCCACATATGAACCGGAAGATCAGCACGGTCTCCGAAGATGGGATAGAGCACGTGGTACGTGACACAGTAAATAATGACCTAGGGGATGGGGAACCAGACATTGAAGGCGGGGAACCCGATAGTGGGGAGGGGTTAGCAGTCCTAGGGGGCGGGAAACTTATATCAGACACTGCAGAGGACGAGTTAGAAACTAACAAAATCACTGACGTGCTGAGAGATGATGATGTAGAGGGCGTTGAACTCGTAAAGGAAAATAAAGATGAACCACTGCCTAATAGTCTAGGTATTCCTTTTGAAAATGACGCGGAGAAAATTGAAGAACCAACTCAACTAGATGGAGAAGTTCCGGATAAGGCTCCGGAAACTAATGAAGGGGAAGAATTGGGCATATTTGAAGGGGGTTTAGAGGGTGGGGTGGTGGTGGAATCGTCCGAGAAAGTCAAAAAGGAAGGAAGCGAGGATGAGATGCCGATCGAAAATGAAGATGTGTCTGGAGAACCAGCAGAGACACCCGAGATCGTCACGAAAACGGTCTCTGAGATGGTCAATGATCTGGTTTCTAAGATTGTCACCAATGCTACCTCTGAGTTCAAGGTGGAAGAGCCATCAAATCAAGAGGAGGATGAGCAGATTGTCACTGAAGCCATCTCGGAGGTTAACACCGACGAACCCGAGGACCACGATAACGAAGTCTTTCACAAGGATGAGGCCCCACCCAAGGAGGAAATCCTGGAGGAAGACCTCGTTGATCGCCCGATGCATAAACCTCTCAACAAACCCAAACTAGAAGGTTTGAAAGATGAGTTGGACAGCCTGAATAATGGCGGGCTCTTCAAGACTCCCGGCGGCATCAACAAGGGCAGCATCGCCAGTCGGGGATCCTCAGATGCAGGCAGCGAAGCCACCATCGACTTGGACAGAAGCATATCCAGCATCTCCAACAAAGAGGTTAGACAGATCTTTTGCACCTTACGCATCCATGCTTGACATCTTTTAAAAAAAAGTCACGTCATTGGGCCATCGCACGTCTTCCATACGTAATACACTGTTCTTTTGCTTCATAACGTTTCCATCTGTCTGCATGCAGTGCAAGTATTACTTTATCTTTTTTGTTCATTAAATTTTTTTTTTTGATGAATTTCTGTGATGAATTTGTTGTTACAATGATGGATTTCTCAATGTTGTTTTGGTTTTTAAGTTCCTTTTTTTTTTTGCCGTGCTGTTTTTATTTTGATTTGGTGAGAATGTTGTGTTGAATTGCCCCAAACTGCATCAAATTGAAGGAAGGATATATAAATATTCTTGTGAAAAATTGCGTTTGTTTAAAAGTGATTATTAACATTTATGACATGAAAAGATAAAAGAAAGCTGCCGGCAGAATTCACGTGCATTGGAGACTGAATAAACAAGACATTTTTAAGAGTTTTTGTTGACAAATATTTTGGAGTTTCCTTTGACAAGCTATACATAGAGAAAAGACATGTTGACGGCATGTGAATAAGTCAGTGGTCAAGTACATGTCTGTCTCATGTCATAAGGCATAACATATTTATCACTTGCTTTTTAGTAAACATTTGTTTCATTTCTATAAAATTGAAGTTGAACTTCTTTTTAATTTCATTAACAGTGCACCCTTGTGTTTAGATACGTAGTTGCAAAATACACATATGAGATTAGTTGACTGTTGATTTAGTTGTGCTTCGTTGGTTTCAGCTTTCACTTTCAGTTTAGATATGTTGTAAGCATATATGCTTTTGCTTGGACAATGAACAATGCTTGCGCCGGAGTAATTCTACTGCCGTGTTTCTGCACTATGTGTTTTCAGTAGAAAGATCAGTTGGCTTGCTGCGCTCCAATTGTAGCCATTCCTTGAGGGCCAGTTTAGTGCCTTCATGTATCTCGCTCGTTGACTAACTGTCATGTGTGTGTTGGGCAGTGCTATTGTATAGGATTACCCCATAATGCCAACGAATAAATCCAGCCTATAGACTTTATTCACCAGTCGGCCATGTTCAGTTGAAAGCGCGGTAAAGTCTTCATTTTTGGAACTTGCGAGTAGAAATGAAAGCCGTGAAATAGGAGCTCGTTACAAATTAATACCAGTCTGCTCTGTTGAATAATTTAAAATTTGTGATTTAATTTAACATACCCTAATGTTTAAGCCACATTCCAATGAGGCTTGAAACGCACTCCAATCGTAAAATAGTCTGGCACCATCCCATTCAACAGTTTACAATTTATAGAATAGATTCAGGGAACACTATCAAGATGGCTTCCTTGTGAATAAGGTCTATTGTGTAGACCGGATGCATTAAAGACTTCAGTGACTAGCCATTCCGAATCAGTTGAATAGAATTTGGTGTGCTATGCGACCGGCTTCTAGGCCTTGCTAGTCTTGTTATCACCGTGCGTTGTGAGTGTGAACTGTTTGGCCAGCACACCATCAGTAGAGACATTCCGACCTCTCAGTAAACTTCACCTAGTGATTGCATTTGTTTGCTTTTAGTTCCAACATCTGCACTGTCAGCCATACAAGTACATGTACAATACGGGTAGCGTATTATTCTCATGAACTGCACTGTATGCTGTGTCCGTACAGGTTCCATTGTGGACATAGCTACATACTGTACATGTACATGTAAATCTTGTTTGCACAAAGTTTTTTTTTTTTTTCCTATCAAAGCCATCTGTCATGTTCTTCACTTATCTGATGATTGAAGCTGCTGTAAAGCGTAAAAACAAATGTGTATTTACGGACATGTACCTGGATTTTTTAGGCCAAATTGCTGACCTCAAACTTTTTATAGCCACATTTGGCAAAAAAATTGAAATGGTGTAAATTTTGAAAATAAAGAAAGGTCTTTCGTATGCAACACACAAATTTGATGGACAGACCCAACAATTTTTTAAAAATAAACTTATATTCCTACGTGTACCTACCTACGTACCTACCTGGATAATTTTAGGGTGTTACTTTAAACACACAGGTTTTTTCCTCGGCCTAATTATACTGTAGATGTACAAATAAATACTTCTGTTTCTAGACTTCTACCGTTTTGCTGTCGGTATATAAAGAAAATATTAAGATATGTTAATAAAATAACATACAAACATGAAATTTGTCAGTATGATAAAAAGGGATTTTAGTTTTAATTTGTTTTTTCTCATTTGCAATGCTTTGTAAAACTGTATAGATTTGTTTTCTTTATGTGGATTTAAGTTTCAAAGGAATACTAATTATGCACGAATTCACAAGGACATTTTTGAAGTTAATTTGATTAATTTGATTGAATTGGACTGTGTCCAGTTGATTTACAATTTTCCTTTTTTCCCACTTCTGTTCTTTTTATTTAATAATTGAACTTTGATTTAGTTAACAAACAAAACTGTTGGTTGAAGGATTATTTGAGTTTCTTGGGACTAACATCTTAATCCCTTCTTGTAACAAACTTTGAATTTCGGAGCTCTTCAAATTTTTTTTGTAATTATATACAAAAAGTTGCATAAGGAACTATGTAACTTGATATTGAATGTAGATTTGGTAAATCTCATATCGCGGAAGGGACGGAAAAACAAGAATTTGAGAAGTATTGCAACACTATATGTACTGTACGCTTGGGTCAAAAATGACTAATATCGGTGTCATTTGCAGTTTAAACTCCAAATGAAAAGGGGAAATACATATTTGTGGCCAAGGCAGGATGATTGATTCCATTGCTTAGGTCAGCTTTGACCACACTTTTACTTCTAAAATTAACTGCCTTAATCATATCCTGAAAAAAACGGGGTCGTTTGGTTTGCGTCTTTCATTGACGTGATTGGCAAGATTCGGAAGTATAGTTTTATGTAAACACCGGTACACATGGCATTCATTCCATTCATTGCACAACATTTCATTTATGTCATTATTCAATCAAAATGTGAGTACATGTAAGTTCAGCACATCACCTACTTGTAGATGTACGATGTACAAGGCTAAGCTTTAATTTGGTCAACTTCAGTTGTAGGTTTTTAGCTTCAAAGTTGTACTCTCAAAAACTCCCATTTGACAAAGATAGCATTCGAACCATAGACCTTTCACATGATAGTTCAGACTCCATGGTAACAGAGGGGGTATTTCAACCACAGCACCTTATCTCAAAATAGAGATCTTGAAAATTTGGTAGCATAATGATAAACTTGGCACTGAAAACAGGGTGGTCCCGAAAAAAGTTTATACTTTTTCGAAGTCAGATTTCTCAAAATTGAAGAGACATTTGAAATTGTTTTAAGATATTCCTGAACTACCGTACAAGATCTTGGCCGTATATGGTGAAAATGGCATTGGAAATAAAGCTCAAAGTAAGAAATAGCGGCCATTTACAGAAAAATAGTCAAAAACTAGTTGGTTCTCATCTATGGCAGTCATGTAGACCAGATTACAATTATTGCAGTTATTTGTGTGTGCAGTGCTATTGTGTTGACCATCTGACCATATCTCATAGTCTTGCGTGTGGATGAATTGGTTTTTGACCATCTTTCTTTAAACCATCGCCATTTCTTAATTAAGGCTTTATTTTCAGCGCCGTTTTCACCATATACCACAAAGATGCTGTAGTTTAGGAATATCCTGACACAATTTTCACGTCTCCCCAATTCCAAGAAATCTGCGTCTAAAAAGGTGTAACGTTTTTTTGGACCATCCTGTAGAGGATCACTCGTCATGTTGTAGTTTGAGAAAACAAAACACTATATGTATAAACCCAGCAGAAGGAAATTTAAAAGAACACCACATTAAAACGTACATGGCGTTTTCATCGGGAAATCCCTAACAAGAGCCAAATGACAGTTTAATGTTCAGCAATACGTAAGACAAAAAGAAGAATGATAACCAACTGATGTTAAGGCTTTAGCACCTTATACATTTCGTAGTGCTGGGGCAGTTTTGCGTGTTACCGGAGCTAAAATTGGGTTTATTTGTTGCAAACTCAATACTTATCTGAATGTGATCTAACTTTAAAAAAAAAAAATTATTCTCAACATTTATATTCTTTTCGTAACTATACTCAGCAGGAGAAGCCCAACTATAAGACCCTGAAGAAGACCCGTAAGTTTGTCTTGGACGGCAAGGTGGTCACGTTGACAACGTCTAAGGTGGTGAGGGAAGGGTCTGAAGACAAATCCAAGCAGCAACATGAAAACAGGTGGGTGGGCAGAGAATTAATTAATGAAAATTAATTAATTAATTAATGCATCTCGAGGGGGGAGGAGGCCCATCCCCCCACGACCCCCCCAAAATAAAAAAATAACAAACAGAGAAATGGAGATGCCAGACAATCTTTGCTATTTGATTCAAATTTAATAGTAAATTTAACAGTAAAAAGTACCTTGACACCTAAAATGCAGCGGTGACGTAATACAGTGCAAAAATTCTAGATGCCCCCCCCCCCCACCCGTTTGAATTTTCACTGCAGACCCTGTCCAACAAATATTGGCTTACCCACTCCCTAGCTTGGTGGTGGAGTGGTTAATACAACTGCACTAGTAAGCAGGAGGTTGTAGGTTCGATTCCCACCCAAAGGAAACTTGTCAATGTTTGTCTCCCCAAGCCTGCGAGCAGCACCGAGTATACACTGCTTAACTTTTTTAATTGGCAAAACACCATTTTTACATTTCTGTCAGATCAGATTCTGTCATTTGCAAGCCTTTTTTTACCCCCCCCCTTTCTTGTTGCTCGAGTAGGAAGGCAGAGATGAGGCAGCTGAAGCTCCTTCACAAGGGAGAGACCAAGGAGAGTAACGACTTGGCAAGTCGCATCTTACAGCAATCGGAAATCCTCAAGACCAAGCACAAGAGTGAATTACAGGTCAGTGAACCAGTCGCATTTCAAGTTTAAAAGTGTAAAGTTCAAGTTTGAAGATTATTGCATTCTCTTCTTGTGCAAGAGCAAGATATATGTAACCATAAGTCTCCTGACGATGGGCAGAGCACACTGTCCAAAACGTTGAGTTTTCCTTGGTTCTGTTTAGAACTTCACAAACTCACTGAAGAGATTTGTTTCATGGTTCAACTATTGTCAAATGTTGAAAATTTTCTTAGACATTTTCCACAGCTAGAAGACCTGTCACCACGAAATGAGCTTAAATTTTGCAGTACAGTGGGGCTAAGCCAAAATTTGAAGGGGTGGTACATTTTTTGTTTTTCAGGTAAAACTCAATCTGTAAGTCCTGTTTTGTGTTTCTGCAGTTTTTTTGTTCTGTCAAACATGTTTAAAACCGATTTTATCATGTCTGTTATAAATTGACTGTTCATTTACTGTAACACAACTTCAGGATATTTCAATGTCAGTTTCTCACAAATCAGTTTTAAAAAACTTCAAGTAAGCTGGTGGTTTATATTTCCGTTACTGAACTCAGTACCCCTTAATGTTGTATACCATTGCAAAGCTCTTGTTCTGCAGAATCCAGATATATAAATATCTCAATTCTCAAAAATTGAGTAGCAATAGACACAATGGAAGTCTACTCATCAGGGGGGAGGGCCAGGCTCCCTTTAGTTTTGGTGTGCCCCCCTATTTTGTACCGTGGGCCCCCCTAAGGCCCAGAGCAATGGGGCTGCTACTCATACCTATCCCTGTGCAACGAAGCAGGTACCTCGGAGGTGGCAGTGTTTTCAACAACTTTCAAGACCATACGTGAAATGTTTCGCGCGTATATGTATATCGCAAAGTACTTACAACTAATTTTAGCCTGAATGTACACAAAACCATAGCATCTTCACATAAGCGTCATGCGTCGTCAGCAATGCATTCAAATTTGTCTCCAAGTGGTCTCCCCCAACTCTCCCTTTCTTACCGTTGAGGGGGTACTTGTGCACAGAGTTCAACGCCCAGATCTTAAGATTTGTCAAACATCAACTTTCCCCCTCCCTAAGGCTCTGACCAAGAAGTACGACGGCGAAGTGGAGATGCTGAACCGGCAGCAGAAACACGAGGTGGAGAAACTCGAGATGGCGCAATCCAACGAAGCCAAGTCTTTTGTCCGGACGCAGAAGCTGAAACAAGAGAAGGAACTGAGAAGCTTCCGAGAGAAACAGAAACGAGAGATGAAGGAGATGAAGTCCGTGAGAGCGAGCTCCAAGGAAGACCTGAAACGCAAGAAAGAGGAGTTTGATGTAAGAAAGATTTCTTTATTGGCCCAAACTCCATACATTAATTAATTTGCATTGATCCAAAAACTAACCCACTGGATTAGTATCCAAAAGCTCACTTAGATTAAAGATCGTACTTAAATTATTATTAGGTTCGGCAACAGCAGGAGGAGCATAAGTTTATGTCGGAGCAGTCTTCTCTACTGGAGAGTCAGACTACCGAGCTGGCCGAGCAGCATCGCAACAAAGTAGCCCTGCTGGAGAGGAAATTCCTCAACGATAAACACCAGAAACTCAGAGGTGAGACAAACTAAATGCCGCGTTTGTTTCGGTACGGATCCCAATCTGGATCCTCGGAACCAGTACCGGGCGTTAACAAACAAAACTGCATCTTGGGTACGTTTTTGTGGTCATAACCAAGAGTTGTTTCTTGTCAGTGAATTTCTTTGGGAGTATTAAATGGACGATAAGTTTGCACGATTATGCAATACTCAAATCCCCAGAACAATCAACTAAAGAGGAACAATTGAACCAGTTCTTGGTTAACGTTGGACATCATTTCATCAGTCGCAATTTTGAATATTAGGCTGATCCCTGAGATCCGTGATACAGATCAGGATCCGAGCAAAACAGACAGGCCTAAATTGTAAAATTTGTTGTGCGTACTTCAGGCCATAAGCATGCGAACCGTAACGATATGCGGTGTGTCTCGTCCACTGAAAGTGGTCAAAATCTGCCCTCTCTGTCCTGTCAAAAACAAATTATTTTCAGCCCACAACCCTAAGCAAACCTACTCCCTAAGAACACAAAAAAAGCTCCATTCAGAGGTGGTTTTCTTTGTGTTGACGATCTTTGACGTTTTCACTCCACAGCGAGAGAATCGGCTATCTGGGAACTCGAGGAGCGACATCTTAAGGAGATGCATCAAGCCACCAAGAACCAGATGAAGGACATGTTCTTCCTACAGAGACATCACCTTGTCGTCAGACAAGAAAAGGTCAGTCAAAGGTCATACTCGCACGGTTGTGGCAACCCAAAAATATTTAATCGTTTTCGCTACAAAATTTTGTTTTGTAAATTCTCTGACGTTATTGTTGCTTATACCTGTTTCAGTCAGAGTGATGTTTCGTAGTTGTTTCAAGCCAAATAGTATTACGAGCAACTCGGGTTGACTGAAGTAGATTGTGGTTTCAACAGTAGAACTTTATGTATTAATTTTCCATTGACTTTTAAGTCATTTTGAATGACTTTACAGTTGATCAGTGAAAAAAGTTCTTAAGACTCATTTTTTATATACACCTTTTCTATTAACAGGAAGTGCAAATCTTGAAGACAAGCCAAGAGAAAGAAGAGGAAGATATAAAACAGCGGCATAGCCAGGACAAACGGCGGTATCCACGGTCGCTACGGAACGACATGAGGACGCGGGCTAACATGTTCCGCAAGAGTATCCCCATCAAGAATCCTCACTGCACGGCCGAAGAGGAACGAGAGCTGATGAAAGGGGTGAGCAGCATCGTTTGTTGGTTGTTGATAGTCTGTGATTGTCTGTGGTTGTCAGTCTGTGTCAGTTGTGACGTCTTGTTAAGTGAGTAGTTTAACTTGTGATCTTTTGTCCTTTTTCAACCAATCCTGAGAAATAATTGTCTCCCTTCCTCTTTTTTTACATTTCTTTTATCCTGTCGATGTTGGCACAGAGAATTTTGTTTTGTTTTATTTTGTTTGTGTAATTATTATTTGATGTTTAATTTTTTTTTTTTTGAAAACTTTTTTTGAAAATGCCAAGTCTGAAATAGTTTTTGTTACATCCAATGAAAAGCTGCTTGTTTCTTTTTTCCAGTTTTTCTTTCTAAAACATCAATTTGGAAATCATTTAGGGAAGACATTTATGTAATGTTCTCATGCAATTAATCTTTTTTTTGGAAATCTGTGATATTAAAATGACAAATCAGTTTATCATCTTTCGACATTTAAAATATTGACAGTACAAACTTAACTAGCAAAACCAGTTTAGAAAAAAAATGCCAGTTTTCATTGAACGGTTCCGTATCTTATGAACAGTTCCAAGAGTCTGAGAATAAGCGTTACAAGGCGGACATTGAGAGACAGGAACGCAAGCAACGGCGCCAGTTCGAGAGCACCCGCCAAAATCATTATGCCGCTATGCAAGAGTTGCACACCATTCATGTAAGTTACTCTCGGGCGACCCTCCAAATATAAGACCGTTGTTTTTGATCAAGATAGTATTTGAAGGAGTGTTGTACGAGGTTGGTGAAACATTTCCGTAACCGTAACGATCCCCATCCAGCCACACTCCAACACAAAGGTTTGGTGGAGTTTAACTGTTTACGGTTTATAATGGTGTTGGAATTTGCAAGGGTGAAGAGGATTTCTAGTAAATCACCCTTTGGGGTTAGGGTTAATAATAAATCATGTAAACATGCCCTTTTTGACAATTTCTCCCTGCTCAAGCGCAGTCCGTACTTGTGGCTTTTTTTTTACGAAACCCAAAAATGTTAGCATGTAGTTGTATAGCACTTCCTTTCTGTTGAAAACCTGCAAATATTTTGCTCTTGTTGATTTTTTTATCCTTCCGTTCTCCCGTTCGACATGTCCTGTATGATATACTGTGAAATGAAGGAAAATCAAGCATGTTTTTTTTTCCGGCCATATATTGCACTGATTTCACCTGTTTCGATTGACAAAGTTAATTGTGTTTTTGGGTGGGTTTAGAATGAGAAACGGAAACAACTGATGGAGCAGGAAACCTCCAAACTGAAGACAAAGGAAGAGGAACACGTCAAAGAGATGAAACTGTGGAAGGATAACCTCAAACCACGTAAAAAGGTAAAAACCTAATCTCAGCCTCAAACACATCTCTCTCTTAAGACTGGTTTATACTCGGTGCAAAAGCAAACTTGAACACGAATCTGTGATGGCATGGTAAGTGTTGGCGCTGCAAATTTGCAAAAAGTGAACACTTTCCAACTGTGGCATATTTCGCAAGAAATGTTTTGTGACCTTCAAATTCAGGAAAACACAACTTTTCAGGAAGCACTCATCGGCGTGTGGCTCTAAATTTGGAGGAAGTCCAGTATTTGAGTCGCATTCGTGGGGCCAGTCCTGATGTATCTCCGGCACGGTAGCCAAGTCCGTCTTCGAGTCCCCAAATACACTGAAATATAAGGGTTTTTAGCATTGAAAGCTTAGCATTTTAAACTGATGAGCGCTGGAGATACATTGTTGGTATTTGTTTCTGATTTTATAATGAAAAAGACAAATCGAAAAAATAAATGGAATTTTCCTTTTTGCTGACACAGGACCTTGAAGAAAACTTCAAACGTGAACAGATGGACCAAGAGCGCTTCTATGCCAAGGGAAATGTGGCTAGTAATCCAGAGTCTGGTGCCCCGATGAGGGACGCTAGAAACAATGCAAAGTAAGCCAGGGTACCAGATATGTAAATAGGGCGTCTGGTACCCAGACTGCGGGTTATTAGTGATATTAATGCAAGGAATCGGGCACCCGACTTTTGTAGTGTTTAGTCTGGTGCCTGGGTTACAGGTATAATGAAACCATGTACAGAAAAGGAGGGCTCCTGACCGTCGTTAAGTCTTGTGTTTCATCCAACACTTGTGTCCAGAATACTGGAATTGTGTAAAAGTTTGGTAGCCCAACAAACATTGAGATGTGTATTAAGTCGGGTCTGGTGCCTAGAACACACGTTAAAGAAACACTTGCAACTAGACGTGACTGTATATAATCATGTCGTTAAAGTTGGTTATGAATTATGGTGCTTCTTACGTGAAAGTTCAACCGAGGTTTGTGTATGTTCAGAAGTTAAGCAAAAGGGGCCATTTTGTTGCCTTTCACAGTTTCAGACGATAAAGTCTGATTCAAAAGTTTTTATGGGTAAAAGTGTAACCGTTTGTTACTGCATTGTGCCAATGATTCCTTACATTTCCACACGGGACTTTTTGTATGGTATCCAATATTCTAGTCGTGTATGTGTTGGTGTATAATGCATGTCTTCCCCTCCCCCCCCCCCCCAACCCTACCAAATCAGCCCAATTTCCTCAAAATTCTTAAAACAGTTTTTTGTGTGAAGGTATTTATTTGTTTATTGTAGTAGTTTGAGGGAGGGAAGGTTTTACTTTTACTTTGTGTACACAAAGACACATCCATCCATTCCACAAGTTCTTACGGTAATCTTTACCCCACCCTCAGCCCAGCCGCAACCCTGTTCCCCCACCCCTGCCCCACCCCACCCCACCCCACCCCACCCTCCACTTCCTCACCTCATGTGAAAGATGAAAAAAAGTGTTGATGGTATGTGCATATTGTCTGGTAATAATCATAACTACTGCAAGAAATTTGTCTTAAAAATCTGAAGTGCCCTTTATATCGCCTGTACAGCAATACGCTAGGCATGGATGAAGTAACGAAATGTTTGTCGTATGCGTTTAGTGCCGGCTTTTTATTGTGAAAATTGGCGTGAATCTGTGTGAAAGTTTTGCAAGCACAAAAAAAGGTGAAAATGCGATTTGAATAGAGGTTTCTAAGTATAACTCAATACCTCAGATGTTATAACTGTAAAATTGTAGCTGAATGTCGAAGCGGTAATTCTTAATCTGTTGCCCTTTTTAATTTCTCGTTGTGGGAGTGGGCATTTTCTTCTTTTTTTCTTATCCCTTATCCCTTTTCATTACATCATCTGCATTTCTCTTTTTCTTCTTCGCAAATCAATACCCATTTCTAAATTTCTGCCAATTTGAATCACCGTTCTGTCCGACCACACATTTACTTCACTTTATCACAACCCCTAAAATGTATATTTATGATGTAACTGATTTCATATGATAAAAAAAAACACACTCAGAGTGTCAAATTATTATTAACAAATGTAACCAAGTTTATTTACACGTACCATTTTTATTAGCTCATGAAAAGCTATTTATTTATAATGGCTTGTTAAGACAAAATAATTATGAGCCTAGTAATAGAGGATTACTCAGCCAATAGGTGATAGTTATTGAGATAGATACATTTATTAGTACGAATACATGAACTCAGTGCTGTATAATATTTGGAGTAACATTTGAAGAGCAAAGCTGAGGTCTAACCCTTCTAGTCTTCTGCACTTCACGACCCTTCAAGTTTTGCAAATCTACTTTTTTCCCATGAGTTAGCACCCACACTTCAAATTCCTTTGAGGTAATCTTCTGTGGAGTATGGCTAACACTTGAAATCCCTGCACAATTTTTTGGCGTGGTTAAGCTTAGGGCAAGCAGGCAGATTCAGTCACACTTCAGTGACGCTCTATGTGACACATAAACACTTCATATCCCTTCGCCTGAAAGTGACGTGCCGGGTTTTAAAGAATTTTACAAATTGCTCTGAATATTTGAATATTGACTCCCGGCTAGGGGGGTTAAGGTTCAAGTCCTGAGCCCAATTTTATCGAACTTAGAATTATGCTAAGCACAGTAATATTTGCTTAGTAAAAAAATCAGGATACCAAGAAACATGAACTTTGCACCTAAATCTGCTTAGAGTTATTCTCTGCCTAGCGTGCTTCATGACATAGGCCCATGTGTCAAAGTGTCCGGTTGTCTTTTTAGCCATTAATAAAAGCATTCATGCTTTATTTAAGTGATGTGAGTACAAACTGAAAACACAGTGTTGGTTTTCGTCTTTGGAACGGTCTGTTGTTGGTACATTTTGTGACTCATCAGTGTGTGACATGGAAGCCAAAGAAGTGTATCCTTTAGTTGTAACCTTTCACCTTTGACCTTGCCCTGACACGACCAATCCTGTCCAACCATCTTTAGACTCCTTTGTTCCCAATCCGGCCAGAAGTGCACTTATACTTATTGTAGCATGAAATTTCTTTGTGAAAGCTTTTTGTAAATGCGCAAAGTTTGCACAGAAAAGAAGAGTGGGCGTTGCTACATGTATTTATAAATGACCTACTATTGTTGACATTAGGATTGGCCCAATGGGAGTAGTATATGGCACATAAATATTGCATTCTCCTTTGGTTTAGCCTTAATATAGCCATTTCGGTGTACATGTAAATATATAAAAGCAAAAAAAAAAATAAAAAAAAAATATATGTTACCAGTGCACAAAGTTATATGCTTTAAAGGGGCATTATGGCCTGAAATCCCTGAAAATTTCATGTTTTGGATTGTTTACTTGTACTATTTAAAAGGTCTAATTGAAAAGAAATTTACCTAATGTCTTACCGTTCTCGAGAAAAGACAGAAAAAAACCTGGTTGTTTACATCGTACACGACAGAGTACGCATACGTATTTCCTGTCGTTTTCATTCAATGTACTATACACGTTGTGTGTGTCACATAATTACACACAGCACCAATGCACAAAATGTTGTTTCTTACACGTCTGTAGAAGGCGACTACTATGCTGCTGAAATCAGACTAGCACTGGAACAGCTCGATTTTTCGGACAAAATTGTGACCCCAAAAATTTGTTCTCGCATGGTTCTCGCAAGAATAACACAAAAACGCCCTGTTTTTAAAGGATGGTTGTGTGTACGTTTATATTCCACTTTTAAATGCTCTTTCCATTCAATATCAGTTTGAAATGCGTTTACTTGCCGAATTGTGCATATCCCAGGCCGTAGTGTCCCTTTAAGTTTCAGCAGTTTTAGGGCATTGCCATTGAGCCACATATACTCTTTTTAAAGGCTGTTGTTCATGCCAACCGCAACATCTATAAAAGCTGAATAAATCCCTAAAGTTGTTGACGAAAAACAGCCCATTGCAAGGTGTGTGTCAAGCGATAGGATTTAGTTTTCAGTGGGAAAAAAAATGTTTCTCACAAGACAAAAAAGCAGGCCTTTTTATACAGGCTCGATCAGATTTCAGCAATTTTGATAATTTTCTAAAAATATCAGAATAAAAAAAATCAAGCAAACACAATACATTTGTAGCAAAACATTAGTGTACATCATTTCCAATTTAAAGTTCTTATGGAACAATACTTATCATAGCATACATGTGTATTTAAACTTTTATGAAAAGTGTAGCACAAATAATAGTTCAAGATATGCTATATTCAAAAGTGACCCCATATATTTAATGCAGAGAAGTCTTGGTGTATAATCCAAACTTAACCCACGAAATAATTAATTTATGGACCTATAATGGGCATATTGTTGTGTGTGAGAAAGAAAAAAAAACAAAATGGGAAGATAATATGTAAAGAATTATTCTCGGCTATATTTTTGTGATATCATTTGCATATTGCATAAATTTGCGTACCGCTTAAATGTGATATGGTTGTTGCTATTTTATATTTTATAAGCAAACTGCCTTCAACGATGCCTAAAATGAGCTTTGAATAAAACCAAGAATCTTTCAGAGTGGGGTTTGTGGTTAGTCGGAGGGATTTTTGCCCGTTTTGGGATTTTTTTGGTAATTTGGTAAAAGAGAGGGATAAAGTTTGTAATGTTAGGTACACGTACCTTGATGTTCATTGTATTCTATCAACAAAAATGTATTATTGATGTGGATATTGGAGATATGTCTAGCCTTTTGGTGAACACAGCGAACCAATCAGAGAACTTGTAGCTGACAGTAATGAACTTGCGTCAGCTCTTGCAGTCGTGGATCTGGTCTTGTTTCAAGGCGTTGCTCATGTTGCTCCTTAGTAAAAGACCTCATGTTCGGCAGTGCATGTACATTTGGAATACAAGCGACGCCTTGAAACAAGATCACAATAAGTTTAGGCATCAGTGATACAATATATTTACAAAATATTCCATTATGAGGCTGTAGCTATGTTTAAGAGTAAATATGCTGTCTTCACTTTCGGTCAGTTCGCTATCAATTTTGGAAAACAATTAGCAAAATTCCTAAGATTTTATTTCGTTTTAATCTAGTGAAACAGAAGCCTTCTTTGTATTATGTTCAAACATATCCTCATCAAGCCTACTTATGCCAATCATCTCAGTAGGCAAAATGGGTTTTGTAAGCACTGTATTTGTGCATGTATAGTATATATAGAGAAGTAGCATACAAAATTATTATAAAAAAAAAGATTAATTTTAATCAGAACATTATTTTGCCCGTTTTCTCAATACGGGCGATTCCCAATAGTGCGCCTCCAAGAGTTTGCAACGCGTTGGCCAATCACAATGCGCGAAATCAGTCGACCTTTTCCAAACGCGCATTGGGTCGACAGATTTTGCGCATTGTGATTGGCCAACGCGTTGTAAACTCTTGGAGGCGCACTATTGGGAATCGCCCGTATTTATTGGGTGTAAAATACAGGCAGATCAGTGTTGACATCATAAGACTAGCTTGCCTAGCTAGACAATAAATGAGTAATAATTTTACCCAGGTTCCTGTTGTTTTTACGAATTAAAAAGAAAATGTTAAGCAGAAAAAAAATTGTAGTTTTTGTTGCCTTTATAATTTTGGTTCCATCGAATGAGATATATTTGAGGAATTCTGAGATTTAGTTCCTTATTTTTGTGAAATGATAATAATTGTCTTAGAAGTAAGATTTGATAAAGGTCACAGAAAAAACAACGTGTGCGAGTACTTTCTTTTATTATTGAGTTTTTCCCTTGTGGTTTGTTGCATTAATTTTTCTCCATTTAATATTATTCGTCAATATTTTCTTGTAGGTCTGAGAAAATATCAGCCCCAGGCTCTACAGGTGTGCTTATTTCACAGGATTTGTGGTTAAGGATCAGGAGGGGCGTATTATCCACGTTTTGGGTGTTTTTGGCATCGAAACTTCCTTTCCATTGGCGACCGATTCCATTCATCTCCATGACAACGCGGAGAACGGGCGAAACGATGTGCTTTTTGCCGCACTTTCGGCAGCGCGGGTTGTTTGCTTAAGTTTTTGACATCGCCGCATACTCAGATGCAGAATGACGATGTTGACAAACGGAACTGAATGAGATATTGTTCTGTTAGAGCAAACATTTGTTCAGCAATTTCTCTTCAAAACGAAGTTGTTTTGTAACTTGATAGTCACGCAGAAATTGGAGCGCGAACGCTTGTGAAATACAAACACGATTTTTGGGCACGTAGGGCATGTAACATTTTAAGCATTGTCTGATCGTTATCGACATTTTGTGCCCGTCGACATATATTTATCACGCCCCAATTCACTACAGTAATAGAACTGTCCAACAGGAACTAGGACTAGCGAATGACGGAATTTCATTCGCATTTGGCATTTACTCACGGTTCAACGTTAGACTTCAATTCATTGTCGGCACATTATAACACGGTCGACTACGCCTGAAATTGACAATGCTAGAATGTGCGCAGCCATTGGTAGACGTGCAAGTTCGTTCGTGCGCGTCCGTTGTTTACTTGGTGGTGAAATAATTATTATCAACTTTCCACATATATTGAAACATTCACACGCCTACGCAAGTAAACATTTAGAGCCAGTGTATTATTGCATGTCGACTGGGAAAGCGAACCAAAACCTTCCCAGGAACTACAAGCTTGTAAAGCATTAGAAGGAATTCGAACCAACGACACAGTGATTTTTGAGTGCAGACGTCTCAGTCACGTAATCGCCGAACACGTGACTTTAAACAAGAAGAACCATGCATCAAATGGACATAGTTTCTGACTTCGTGGACCACATCATTCTTTCAAATATGGGTAAAGTATTCCATGTTTTTTTTTAAAGATTTTCTTTTACAAGGCAGGCAGTTGAGTTAGGTAAAGAACTACCAGCTAAATATAGAATTATCAAACTATTGTTGGATGTGGTATGTATTCTGGTATTGGTTCTACTTCAGTAGTTTCGTATGTTATCATTTTTTTGGTAACTTATTTATCAAACTTTTCATTTTGTGTTTTCGTTCATATTGTGCATATCTAGCCACGCCCATGTCACATAACCATGTAATATTTTAAGTTGTCTATTCATACTAAATTACTTAGAATTCAGCACTTCACACGTAAATAAGAAGGGACAATGCTAGCTCTTTAAACAAAATGACAAAAACTCTGTCGGTAGTGGACGCTTTGCGTCCGAAATCGCCAACACTGAAAAGAGCATCAATGCCGTCAATAGAGGGCGTGTTCCACATGGTAAAAGAATGAGTGAAACTGTACGGATGAATGGAAACCTCTTGTATCGATTTCAAGAACTTTAAATAATGTAGCAACTTTGCATCTGAAGGGGCTTGAAAACAGCAAAATATAACTGTACATCACACCGTCATGTACCCCAGGGCAAATGGGTCAAGTAAGTGGCGGATTTCGATCGTTTTGTGTTAATCCGGGGATCAGCTAAGTTGAAAGGAGAAAGTGTCACTCGATGCGCCGTGAGTGTGGGGCAGAGGAGGTGGACTTGTTCCCGAGGTGTGAAGTTCTGTCAGTCACCGGTCCGTAGGCGGTTAAAGACCGGGTGGTTGAATTGGTTAGACCACTGAGAACCGGAGGAAACCTTCGTGGGCAGAGGACATTCTTGGTTTTCAGCACTGAAATTCCTAGTTTCTTCATTGATTCTTCAGTCATGTCAGTATTGTTTTATCTTCAAATAAAGAGTATTGAGAGTCCAAAATTTTAGGACTAATTTTTGATCAGCCGTTGATAAGTTAGACCTGTGTTGAAACAAAGAAGAACTTTTAACGTCGGGCTGATGTTGTGATGAGTAATGTTCACATCTTTAGCCCAGAGGAAGGTCAGAAAGATTCTTCAGTTTGGAAGTGAAAATGTGAAACATCTTCATGTGTTCTTGAAGTACACTTCTGTTCTAATTTGGGCAGTTTTACAGCTTCAGCAAGCTTCGACTGTTAATTGATGCATTGATGAGCAATGAGCAGTAAAAGCAACAACACGTTTTTGTTGTCACGTGAAATCTGTAAACTGTACAAACTTTCCTCTGGATACAACAATCTGTGTTCATACAACCCGTTCCCTTGGGAGATCAGATCTATTCAGAGACTTGTGCGATAGTTTCCAACGGGTAAAGAATTCGGAAACCTGCCCTCAAGCCCAGCAGGTAGCAACAGCTCAATTGAAAGCTGATTTTCAATGCTCTCCCCGAGTACAATAACCGTGGTACTGCATCGCGTTAACCCCCGACAAAGGTGCATCCAGTTTCATCAGTTAGGGTAATTAAGTTCCGATGTGTAGACCTGTCAATCAGAGGAGACATCACTGTGCACTTTGCCTCTGAAGCGTTGAGAAAGTTGTAATGAGTTTTTTTTTTCAGTTGTATTTTCAACAACAAAGTCAGCAGAGCATACTGCCACTGGAGTGTTAGGAGTTTTACTGTGTTTCGGTGGACTGGTTAAAGTAGAGGTTTTGGTGATCTAGATGTCTGGGTTTAATTGTACGTGACTGATTTTTATTTGGTCAAAGGGCGCTGGTGCCATGAAAATGACGCCAGGGTTTTACAACCATTTTGGAATCTACTACCTTGCGCCTACTGTGCTGTAAATTTGCTGGACAACTGTGCAAAACCCACATCTCCATGTACAGCAGGGGTGTGACTACGGACTAAGTCAACAGAACGCCTTTTACAGCATCAGCCCAAATCAAATAGTGTGATTGCCAGCACTGGAATCAAGTAGCTACTACAGCCTGGGAATGAAGCATTGTTTGAACGAAAGAGGTTTACAATAGCCCTGTGTTTACTTAGACGTAATGAGCCTACAAAGTGAATTGTTTGCCGAGAAACCTTAGCCAGCAAGACACTCAGTAACTCAAGCTACACTGTAACCAGATACACACAGGCATAAATAAGGCTTTAAAGTACACGCCAGCATTTAAGCTAGTGCTCCAAGTGTGCTTATATGAATCTAAAAATGGTCTACTGTACTCGGACAAAAACGATATGATTTTGATCGGGATTAATTCAGTGCTTCAGTTGCCGGAGATGACGTCTGCAGGTTTCCAATGGTTCCATCATGGAAATGACCGTGGGTTTCTCCTTGTCCCAGCCAGCTCAGCGTCGGTGGAATTTCACGCTTCATTTGCCGGAGTTTGTACAAAAGGATATTCACCCTCTGGAGTTAAGTCACTGCAGGCCAGAATAATTGGAGTGTTTTGAAAGTAGCCAGTGGTGGGTTTGTAATTTGGAAGTTTGATTGGTAATTCTGCGACTGGGAAAAGGTGTTAGGTCTAGTTGTGATAAACAGCATGTGAGTGAAAGTTGTTGAGTATGATGTCGTCGCTTCGCCAAATTGTCTTCAAATATACTGGGAATTTCACATCAGCGGTTGGAAAATTGAAGTCCGCAATTGGAATAGGACAGCCAGAGAATATATTGAAGTTTCATGATTCTGTAGCGGTAATGTAACAACTAACATCACAACACATTACTGCAACTTGTCGACATTGATGTTACTGCACTAGTTTTTTCAAGATTGACAAGCACTGTACTTCAGATGTGATGGTCTGGACTTAGTCCACGGAATTTTCAAATCTGTTGCAAGTGGCAAGCTTTGTGTCTGTGGCTGATTGGACTTCAGTCGTGATAACTAATTTGCAAAATTTGAATCAGACATGACAACCGCGATCTGTCGTAGAGACAGGACCACCCAAGAATCAGACAAGTATGTAACAGCCACAGCTGAGAACAAGTTCTTGGAATGAGTAAACTATTAGCGATGGAAAAATGACGTAGTGAATTATCCATACTTCCGACGAAAACTGCGCAAAGAAATCCTCATCGAGATGAGCTATCTCTTTGAGCCGCTACCCACACTCCAAGAAGACGAAGAGTTGGTATCACTGACAGACATCTTGGATCTTCGTCATGGATGTCTCAGGGAGGCAGAGATGTGGGCAGTGTGTAAGGAGTGCGTCCTGTCGTTGGATGGGTTCCGGAGGGCTTCGGTGGACCAGTTTAGTAAGCTGTGTCTGTGTGCGGACACGCTGGCGTTTGACGGTGGAGGCTGTGTATGCTTCATTGATACAGGTAACGATGATGTGTTTTTATTCACTGTTTTTCAAGTAAAACTCTGAAAAGAAAAAAAAAGAAGCTACATTCATGTATTAGGAACTTTCCCAATGCATGAATGTGGTTTTTTTCTTTGCACTATAAACTGCCCTTATGTGGATAAGGCCCCCCCAAAAAAGTCTCCGGTTTCTGGTATGTGCGCGCGTCGCCGTAGCCATGCGCGTCGGCAAAAAGAAAAAGTTTTTTTTTTCAATGAAAGATGATGTCTTAAAACCGCCAAACTCACTGGTTTGACTGGAATCCTGCTGCTGCACAATTTTAACATGTTTTAAGATGGGGTTATGATTGAGAATAAGTTTATGCGGCCTCTCTGGACTCCCATATATTTATTTGCACTAAGTTTAGTCGGGCACCATTTGCAATCATCAGCCGACATTTGAAGCAAAAAAGTCAGGTAAAAAAAAAAAAAAAAGCCGCGTCGCCGCACCACTTTTTGGACAAGCTCCGTACCAGAAACTGGAGACTTTTTTTTTTGGCCTAATGCATGAATGTAGTTTTTTTTCTTTGCACTATAAACTGCTTTCATGTGGATACTTATATATTTTTGAAATGCCCATGATGGCTCTTTGAATCTTAAATGTCGATTAATTTTGGGGATTTACCGGTATCTCTACAATATTTTCCACTTCTTTTCCCTTCTGAATTGATGAATGAAAGCATGAATTTAACTCCCCAAATCAGAGTAGATGGTGTATGACACGCTCAACTGTGTGAATCATGTGCAGATTCATGCTGCTGATTAAGAAGTCATAGAAAGTCCTAAAGCCATTTGGGGTCAACAATTGCAAATGTGTGTCCTTCGAGAGGGATTCTGATGGATTAGCACTCCCTATGGGACGGGCAGGGTTGCCTTATTTAGCAAACAAGTTGGAAGGTACGAAATCAGTCAATGAAATGTACATGGCGACTTGGCGTTGTGTCGAGGGTGATGACTGTCAGACATTTTTTTTATTTTCCCACTACCAGTATTTGGGTCTGTCCACACTAAATGTTACAACTGCACAACATCACAATTAGCGCTCATTTAAATTGTGTTGAAACTCAGGAAATAAACTTGAGTTATGGTAATAGTAGTTGAACAATTGTTGAGAGTTTACACAATTATAAAGGATTTGGTTGTTGGTTGACTCTAAAAAGAGAAATTTGATGAAAATGTCCAGAAAATTTTAGGGGTCCTGGCGGGCCGTGCATATATGCCTTGCAAACTCATGTTTTTCCAGGTTATAAAAGAGGTGTTATCACAGAAAGAAAACAATTCACATGTTGAATTATGGTTAGCAAAAAATATCAAAGATAAAAAATGTGCTCAATTTCCAAGCTCTTTATGGAAGGTGTTTTTAAAACAAGAATTTAGGAACGACTAATTCAGCTGTCACGTATGTCACGGTGTCTGTCCATGTAGTGACAAACATGATACTGGCTGGTATTGACATTTAATCAACAATAAATTTCAACAAAAATATATAAAAGAAAACTTCTCGCCTTTATTCTGTGTACCATTTTTGTGGCTTTGTATTTGTTGGGAAACAAAACACAGATCCATTTAAAGGAAATTTTTTGTAACGTTTGTCACATGAATAAATCTCCTGCCAACTGTAAAAATCTTTAAGGACTAGTCTTATGATTGCACATACATTTATAACAAAGATAAAAGAAAGAATAAAGTGTTCTAAATATTGATATTGAGTGTACTTAATTATACTAAACCCAAAAATTACTGAATTTGGTCATCTTGTGTTACATCTTAAAGATTAACCATTGATAACTTCTTAAATACTGCTCAAGTTATCTTGATCTTTCTGAACCAACAAGTATAGGGAAGATATGTGCAAGCAAAAATAAGGGAACAATTTTACAGTTAAAAATTCCTTCTGAATGTCACACAGTTGTGTCATTTAGTGTGGACAGACCCACATAGGCCCTACTACATGTACATGTACATACATGAACGACACCCAAGATGTACTGGTCAAATTACATGTAGGCCAAATAGTCAAATTTAGAAATGCTTAAAATTATTCAGTTTTATTATCTTTGACCTAAAGAGTTTAAAATATCAAACCGAGCATTCAGCTTCAGATGTAGACAATTTTACCTCCAGTTAACTGGAGGTAATTGTATCTTGTGCATGTTCTTTACAGTTGTGCTAGATTTTAAGAAAAGTGTACGTGAATTTGTGACATTTGATGTATTTAATGTTGCTTGTTTCAATGCAAAACTTGAAAAAAAAAATCTGCTTAATTTTTGCTTTTTTTAAAAGCCATCAACTGTACTTGGAAGGCTTTTGTTCAAAACGATCATTGATTAACATTGTTTGGGATCCTTAATTTGCGCAGAGTGCCACTTCAGCTTGTGCTTTTTCTGCCGCCTTTGTACGAAAAAAAGTAACAGTTGCAAGTCGCTCCTTTGTCCAAAGCTGATCCCTTCTGACAAATTGTTGACTTTCAAATAAAACCTAAAGCAGCACAACAGGCACTGCCTCCACGATTTCCAAACTCTGTCTGACTTGGCGATTAAAACTGCCCAGGCGATCCGCGCCTTTCTTAGTCGACTTCATGATAAGGGCTGTCTTTTGTTCTGTGTTGCCTTAGTCTCTTAATCCCCGCACAAAAGCGACAGGGCTATCAGTGGTCCGGGGAACCAGCTTACAGAGAACTGGTCCACAAAATGTCCTCGTTAAGTTATCAAGTAAGTGTCCTGATCAATACGGAAAGAGAAAGGGAATTGGCGTCATGAGGGATGAGAACGTGACATGTTGGTGAAGCTAACGGAAAGTGCAGGAACCTACATTGTATAATCAATAGTTTCAGACTTTTAGGAGAGGGTTTATTCAGGGTCACTTATACCAGAGAAAAAAAAAAGAAATCGGAAGATTTTTGAAAGGCAATTTCTTAAATTCTTAATTCTTTTGTTTAACTTTTTTTTAGAGACCTGCTGAAGACAGCTTGGCCTGTACGTACATCTATGTATGCCTTTCAAAGTTAGGATATGCAGAATAAAAGAGTGTGTTCTCTTAACAGAATAAAATATAAAATCAGATTTGTGAAAAAAAGTTTCTTTTCAGTTCTAACTCTTGTTGAGAAAAGTTGCACACTGAATGACTTGTACACGTGTATCTCTGTAAAAGCAGTCCAACACAATTTTTTTTTGGGGGGGGGGTTGGGGGTTACTTTAGGGTTATGTGTAGAATAATATTGTTTTGTTAAGACTGTCTGGCAGTTGGCATCCATAAGCTAAATAACGATGAAAGAGTGGTGCTTTTATTACATTTTGTGTACACGATGAAAGTTCATACCAGTTTTGAGGGTTAACCTGCTTGGAAGAAAATGAAAAAAAAAAAAAAAAATCAATTTTCACTTGTCAAGAGCATCACATTTATATACAGCATGCGCCAGTACAAAATTGGACTCAGCGTAGTGTTTGTTCAGACAATTACAGTTACTATAGTGCAAAACACTGTCTGATGTTGATTGTAAATGCTGAGAGAAATATGTAGGAAGGAGGATAGAAATCTTGATTGATTTGTTCAATTTGGGTGCCAGTTACAACGCGACATTACCAGCCGTGCATTATAATACATGTAGCTCAATAATTTATCATGAATTATTCATAATAATGAGGGGTTGGTTCTGAATCTGAAACCCTTGTTCAAATAGTCAGCACCTGTTACATGTACATGTACATACATGTACATGTACACCCCACACTGTGTAAAAAAAATTCAACTGAATTTTCTAAGAATAGTTCAAACTTCAATACACATGTTCACGCTAATCAATATGAAATTCCGGTAGTCAGTCATGAGTGAAATGTTCCCCTGGGGTATGGTCCACAATTTGCCAGTCACTGTACCTTTCTTCCTAATTTGTTTTCCCACACAATTACAAACAAGATCCGTCCCAGCGGACATGGCTATCCTACCCTGACAATGGCTGGTGCTTCGCTTCACCGGTCCCACAGTCCTATCCTGCGTCGGTTGCTAGGTAACCCCAAGCTGTCGGCATTAGATACAAAAAATTTGCACTTTCACCTGGGTGTACATTGTACTTTTTTTAATGGGTTTTTCCCCGTCGTCCTGCATTCTCCGGTCAAGTTTTATAAAATTGAAAACAACACGTTTTTTTTTTTTTTTTTTTTTTTGTGCTTTAGATAAAAATTATTGCACTCTGCCAAGTTTATGTAAAACCTGGCTGAATATAAAAGACAAGCATTTTATAAAGCTCATGCACCATATTATGTACCGTATACAGAGATTTATTGTCTAGGGTTTTTCATCTTTCACCCTTGGCTTTTGTGTTAATTTCTAGTAAAATTCAACGTCTGGGTTTACATGTAGTTCAGGCTGTCCATTTTCGAATAATGCAGTATTATTCGGAACTGTGTTCCACCAAATATTCAATTATTTAAAACTCTCTGATCAAGTTTAACACACGCCACCTGCAACTGCGTGCCAGGCCGGTTGAAAGTTGCACGCAAAGCGCCTCGGTTTAAATTTGTGTGTGGCGATCGATATTATGGACGGCTAGAAGGTTTTACAGTACGGTATTTTACATGTTTTCAAACTGTCAAGGGTTTTAACCTGCTAAGAGGATGGGAACAGCGAACCACCATCTGACAATAAAGCGCAGCAACTTTATGATTTCAATAACATCAAAGGACCTGTGTGTAGTTTTTGTTGTTGTTGTTGTTGGATATTCAAACCGGCAAAAAGCTTTTCGAATATTCGGTTGATTGAATATTGGAATATTCCGAACAGCCCTGGGTAAGTAAATTCAGAGTGATTATGACCAGTTTCAATTCTCCTTGACTTTTCAGAGTTCACTTTTCAGAGTTCACTTTTCAAAGTCTTGATGAACAGTTGCTCATGAACGGTCTGTGCTGACTGTGGATTTATTTCTTGACAGACTAGAGGTCCACAGACCTGTTTTGAGATTATGCCAAAGAGAACACTGGCTTTTGTGTGGTTCCCTTCACAAAACCACAAAATCCTCTTTAGTGGATTAACTCTTTAGGTCACTGCATCTGTGCCAAGTTAAGCCACATCATTCAAGGCAGCCAGCTGACAGTCAGTGTCATTCAGTGTGAAATTGATAGTTCAAGGCGAAAACCAGAGCACAAAACTGCATTATTTCAGTGAGATTGGCATTAAAAGAGTGACTTTTGAGTACAGATCTCCTTGACCAGATAATTAATCCATTCACAAAAAAAAGAAAAGCTGTAGGTCAGCAATCTAGTTTTCAATCAGACGATCATTACAATCAAACAAGAGATTATTGTAGGGATTTTTTTTGAGAAAGCCCCAGTTTTAATCATCATAGGTCAGGGTATTACTTTATCAAGTAATTAATTAAACTGTGCCATTAAACAATTTAGGACCTCTGCATATATTGTGTCAGACTTTCACTGGTAACTACTTGCCTTTTCACTGCACATTGTAAGTGCAAAGAAGATTAGACATATTGGATGCAAATTTGAGTTTGTTTCATCTTAAAAATGTCCACTTATTGACTGAGTCCTCACGTACAAATATAGAATTTTTTTCACATACACATTTTTGGTCCAATTTCAATCAACAATGGAAAAGTTGGCAAACATCAATGCGTTACTATTCGTATACATGTGTAATAGTCATACATATAGTTTAAGAAACAAGTCAGTCTTGATAAAAATTGGATTGTCTGCTTATAAAGTTGTATTTTGCTTTTTGAAAATCTGCAGCATAACTTCATAAGTTTAGACAGTTTCCCCAAACCTCCTACAGCACATTTTTAAGTAAACAAATTTCAAAACAAGTCATTGAATAGAACATTTCCCGTTCTTTCACACAAACCAGCGGGTAGGTCTAACTTTTCCCCAAACACTAAGGCCTCCAGATAGTGGCAGCAATTAGGGAGTCATTCATGGATTGATAGCGGCCGAATAGGGACTGACCGTGAGAGATATTGACCGGTCTGGTTGTTGAAAAGATCTCGGGATGACCGCTAGTCAAACAAGCATTTGTTCTGCAAATTCGGATCTCAATATGTAGGAGTTTCCAGGGTTAAAGAAGAGACTCAATTTTGTGTTGTTTCACAGAACATCTATTCCCTTGGAAGGAAACAACCTTTGTTTTATATTTGCACTGATCAAATTCAAAATGTTGTGTACAATAGACTTTATTGAAAGTGAGGTAAACTCTTCATTTTTGGAACTTGCGAGTAGAAATGAAATAGGCCATAAAAGTTCATTTCAAATTAACACCAGTCTGTTCTGATGAATAATTCAAGCTTGTGATGAAACATATACCCTAATGTTTTAAGCCACATTAAAAAAAATAACAAATTGGAAGTGACGCTTGCAACGCACTCCAATCATAAAATAGTCTGGCACCATCCCATTCAACAGTTGACAATTAATAACATAGACTCAGGGAACATGACCGAAAATGGCTTCTTCGTGAATAAGGCCTACAGTGATAGGTTCCTTTATGTGCGTGAGAATAAATATACGGGCAATATATTTTGTAAAATTATACTACTGTAGTTGTTCTTTAAAGGTGTTTTAGAAGTAAAACCCATAAATATTTCAGTTTTTACGAGTCAATCGTCTAAACATCGTTGGCCCATGGGCCCTACGTTTTGTAACATGCCACTAAATCATGTTAACAGTTTGATCTGAATTTTAATCGTTAATCTCCTAACAAGGGAGGTAACATATTGGATGTCAGAAAACATTGTTCTCAGTGGGGTATTAAGTCACAACTGGTTGAAGTACATGGTACTGTTGATTGATTCAAAGTTCCAACTTTTTTCCAACAAAATTTATAAGACAAGGGGAAGAATTCTTCATTTGCTGTACATTTATTTATTTATTTATTTATTTATTTATTTCTTATTTATCCTGGGTGATCCATTCAGTGAGAAAAACTCACTGATCTCCATATGGATCCCAGCTCACACAAAACTACTATTAAAATACAATTAAGAGTACAATGTAAACATTTTCAAGAATTCATTTAAATAAACTTTTAATTACCGGTACACAGATCAACAGACATTTACAATACAATATAAAACATCACTGCAAGATGACACCCCCCCCCCCCCTGTTTCGAAAAGTATTTGTGTACTTGTTGAGCAATCTAAGTCGTGATTTTGCCCATTTGTCCATAGCGGTAATTGAAGGTACTTACTCCAGAATCTCTGACTTATTCCTTGTTGTGGAGTACATACATACATTTTAATTAATTTTTTTTGTTGGAAGATATGCGTCCCTTTAAGATGGCATAGCTACACATGTTCTGGGTTGGATATTTACACCATCTATCAAGACACTTTTAGGATCTGTCCGACTTTTGAGTTGATCCGTGTGAACTTCACATGTGCTAATGGAATTCTTACATGAATCACATGGTTTTGTGTTCGTTGATCACCATGGCAACTAAAGAATTAGTAAAGCCTCAATATAATTCATGGCTTTGTCCGTGGGGAGTGCAAGCACGCGAGTTTTGCCACCGTTTGACAGGAAGTGTTTTCAGTTGTTCAACTTCTATGTTCTGTGACACATGTTCTGTTTTTAAAGCATTCCTATTGAATTGGAATTTACAAAACATTTCATTTGGTTTTAATGTACTTTTTTTTCTGAATGTCATAAAGTTACAATGTGTGTTAACTGTTTGCTTTTTACCATTGTGAAAAGTAGTTTTTTTATGTATTGTTTAATTCAACAAAGTTAGTCATGGATACATACTACATAGTTGAAAAAAGCTGAGAAACTTTTTTACAGTTTTTCTCAAAAAACGTATTTCTCTGAATTTGTTATATTTTTGTTGCTTTTATTTTGCAATTTCATTGACATTTGGAGACAACCTCATTTCCGGTCGTCCATTACGCTATCTCTTCTTGAATGTTAGGGAAGGAAGTTAAATTTTTTTCAGGTTAATGGTGTTTAAATGTCAGATTATCCCCCCAAAAAACTGAAGGAAAATATTTAATTTCCTCTGTTTTCTTGCAGATGTTGTGGACAATAATTTCAGACCACCAGAGTACTCAGCCAAGAGGGGTACGACACTCAAGGTATGGTTTCAAGACACATCTATGAAATGTAGGCTTTTAAAACTGAAGTGATATTTCCAGAACTAAATCAATGTTTTTTTTATTATAGAATTTAGATTCTTTAAAATGTGAAAGAAAAATGTGAGAACATGGGGTGTACAATGTAGGTAATTGACCTAATGTTTGGAGGTCTGATAGTGGACATGCGCATGTCGCTACAACTTTGAAGACTTGAGATCTTTGAAAGGAGTGAGCAATATGTCTTAGTCTACCGCCATCTCCTGTTCAGAATGAGGCAGGTGTCTTGGTAAACCTTGCTTTTGTCAAGAAACATTTTCAAGCAAAGTATGTTCAGTCTGCTGCCCTCTTGTTTTAAGGTTGATTTTTTTCTTATTATGAAAACTTGATGCCGTCTTACTTTGTCGCCCTCTGTTGTCAAGAACCAGAACAACTTCCTCGAGATGCCTTCAAAAATCTGACTCTGCTGCCCTCTGTTGTTTGGAACCAGATTTAACAAAAAGAAAGAGGCGTGTTCATATATAGAGCATGGATCAATAATATGCAAATTGAGCTAGCGGGTGTCCAAAGGAACAGGGGAAAAAAAGTCCTCATCAATCGAGACCTAAGAGGAGCAAACAAGAAACCGTTCTGTTGACAATAGCATTGTGGTCAGAGAACTTAAAGGGGTGTTGCTATAATGGACAATCCAGGCTTGTGTATGCACGATGAGTTCCTAGTGTGGGTAACGGTATTCATGCAAATGGGAACATGTTTTTAATCCCTAGGAGAAGGGGGTTGTTTGTCCATTGCTCGTTGGTTCTATTTACATAGGACTTGCCTATTGACACCATCACTAACTGTAGTAAAAGGAGTTGCCTGAAAACCTCGAAAATGAAACTTGGAAAGTTTTGACATGAAATCTGAGATTACTTGCTGAAGTCGGTGTTTTTTTCTGCTGGGATTCTTAAAAGTCAAATGTGGACTCTCGTCAATCAGATCCAGTCTTTAAATGAGAGAGTATGTTCAATTGACAGTCGAGGGTTTTTGATGAGAGAGATCATATCACTCCAACCACTTTTGCGTCAATGGGACTTGAGTGTTGCAACGGCCCACCAGACAGGAATAACAATTCTCAAGGCTGTCGACGGAGCGTTCGGTGCTGTCGGGCATTTCTCCTCCACGAATTTGCCAACAATACCCGGATTACAAGCGCAACATGCAAGGGGAGGACTTTTTGTTAAGCCGATGGTTTTGCGGGAGTGTTCCGGTCTTTTAGGGAGAAATCTGAAGCGGTTGTAGAGGAGTTCTCCACAGTTGTAAGTACAAGTCTTCAGATGAAAGAAGTTTGGTTCAATAAGTTTTGTTAGTTGGTGTGGATACATGTACAATGTAGATGGATCATGTACTCGTGGTGTACACCAGCACAAAATGTAGGTGTGTGAATTTTTCACCAATTCGAATTAAATTGTACACATTTTCAGCACCAGTTTGTTTCTTGTTATCACAAATACTCCTACTGCAGATGGATCAGCATGATGAGTACAGTTACATGTCAGGAACATGTGGATGTCACTGTTTTATTGGTTGAGTGAGAAAAAAAGACAAGGTTTTTGTTTTAGTCTTTGCAGGCATAGTATGTGTTCATGTACATGTATACATGTACATGTCACTTTTGCCCAGTGGGCCAGTGCATTTGTGTGGACACCGATGTGGAGAAGTTTTCAATTATTAGGAAAATTTTGATCGAGTTCTGGGGACCTCAGACTGTCCCCACAGCATCTTTAGCTCCCACAACAACTGTTGCTTGTCATGTGTGTGGTCCCCGCAACTACGAAATAAATACATTTATGAGTTAACATTTTAAATGTTTTGTCATTGACTCACTGAACGAACCGTTTTAAATTAATGACCATCACTGAACATATCTCAGTACCTGTCAGCCTACAGATTGTTGGATTTGAAATTAAATTCACATGTTAAAATGCCAGATACTCCGAATAAAATTCCTTCACACTATGGTTGATACCATGGCCGCTTTGAGCCAACCTTTTTGGAGGCAAATTTAATGGGCTCATCATGATCAAACAGCAAAGGGTTCAGCTGGCCATTTAGCAACCCCGGCCACAATAAAATGTGTACTTCAATTGTCCAATGGTATTTGGCCCAACAGTGGCCTTTTCCCGACTCACCAGGGTAAATGGACGCTACCTGTAATTTGTGGGAGTGGTTTTTTTTGTGTGGATCCAGTATCCTCGGCTATTTAAAGCTGCATTCATCAAATCCTTGCAAATTCCTAGTCTGTTCTTTTGTGCGATTGTAAACACTGTACCAGTGGGCATGTTATTTCCTTTAAAGATTTACTGTCCGTGCTGTCTTTTTGAGCTTCAACCAGAAGAATAGATTTACTTTTTTAAATTGCTATTTTTTCAGCAATAAAAAAGTTATTAACTGTTCACTTGAATGAGATATCGACTGAAAAAAAAAATGGGCCCACGTTTAGACTTGGGGTAATTAATTTATAAATTCGTAAAATACACATGTGCTTATTTGCAGGTTTATTATTATTATTAGTAATCATTTCTGGTAATGAAACCAAGGATTCCTCAAAAGCGCCCTAGGCACTGCAGCTTGCAAGCCTGAAGAAACCTCTAGAGAGAAGACAGTGAGAAGAAATTACAGTTTTTAGAGGTGGGAGGAAAACCCCAGAAGAATATTCGTGGAAAAACCCACGGAATCAGGTAGGGACTGAAAACCCAATCCACATATTGGCCTAGGTGGGATTTGAACCCGGGTCACAGCGGTGGAAGGCGAGGAAAGTATTGCTACGCCAACCTAAAAGTAATGAAGCTCTTGTAGGGTAGGCTGGCTCCTGCTCCCATTATACCGGTAAAATTGATAATGTGGGGATGGGAATCAGGCTACGATACTTGTTGGGGGTATCTACCGGTATCTACCATGTACCGGTATTTGTGCGCTAAAGCAATCCAAAATACCGGTAAAAGCCGTTTGTAAAAGATGCCCAAATTAGAAACAGTTGAACACAGGTACAATTGTATCTTTACCCCCTATGGTTTTTTTTTGGGGGGGGGGGGAGGGGGAAATGAGGCTGGCTTTTGAAATTGTTATCAGGCTGTCTCTTTTCCTCCCACTACAAGATATTTTGAAATATGTACACCTTACGTCTTCCTGCATCCATATATCTGTGAAAGGGTTAGTGTCTTAAGACTGGAGGGGGGGGGGGGGGTTGATTGTCCTGGTCCTTAAGCAACGAGGAGTGAAATGGGATTATGACCCAGATTGAAACCTGGAACCCAATTCAGTTTGTCTGCTTGACCGTACATACTGGCTGAAATGAACACTGGTGTAAAGCTGTAATCTTGCCAACTTTGAAAAGGAAGATTACGGTTATCTCACGGCCCATGTAACCAGATTGAGCCAGAAGAAATCTTGAATGCATCATGTTATCTGTTGCTTAAATCTCACAGTACACAAATTTAATGCTGAAAGGTGAAGAGCTCATTCGATCGAACTTTCTTATTTGAAAAAATACTGTAAATTGTTTGAAGAAAATACATAAAAAAATTGCATTTGTCAATGTGCGCACCCCACAGTCAACTTTGGATTTGTTTGAAGTGAGCATGATTTCTATTTAGTGCAAAACAATCCCCGCTAACTACGCGTAAATAAGCCAAAAATTGATGGGGGGTGGCTGCTTGCCACGAATCATGCATCGGCGCATTTTATTTATGCCTTCGCTTCAGTCCAACTTTCTAATAGGGACACGGTGCACTAATGTAAAGTTCATCACTACTTGACTATGCCGACTAAAACCTTTGTAAGTTTGTATTTTTACTTGAACTCTTTGTGATCCAACTGAATGATTGTATAGGTTCAGTGATTCCATTCATAATCAGCCAGATGGTTGTCGTAAAAAAGCTAATATTTGTGTTTTGTGTGCCCCCTAGGGAGGGCCAAGTACATGCAAAAAAATGCCCATGGGTCCCTCTAACAAATGATCGGTGACTTTCTTCACAGAGTGTTCAGTTGACTTTTCTGTCCTTGTTGTTCAGTTTGGTGTTCGATGTTTGTCTCGTCAGAATCGGGCTTGTAAACAAGTGCATGGTCTGGCACTTTCTGTTGTCACGATTGTGTCAACAACACACCTTTTGGCACACCTGTGGATTGGTTGGAAGGTTGGAGCATTTACACATGTATTAAAGATTGAGGGATATGTTTCTAAACAAAAATTGGAGGATTATGCCTGAAAATTTCTTCCAGGAGAATTGAGGGATTTGTCCACGCCAAGCTGAGCTTCGTTTTGCATAATTTATTTTTGTAAGAATGCATTTTTTGGGTACATTTTCGCACTTTTGCTTCTGCCAAAGCAGCCAATCACCATCATTTTCCGCATGACATTGTTGAGCCAAAAGATTGACGTCTGCATGTATTTTTCTTTCTTAAATTTCCCCTTGTTCGTGCATTTCAAGTTTATTTGATTAAAAACAAGCCATTTTGGAACTGCAAAATATCTTGGCAATGGTTTGGATTTCTTTGACAAGCTTGCAGTGTACCTGTTGTTCTGCCAAACAGTATCACATTTTTCCCCATGACAGGGATGAAGGCTTGAATAAAAAATCCTAAGACTAAAAATCCTTGACACGTGCCTGTCTTATCAATCCAACACAAAGCTTTTTTTCCCTCGGCTTCTGCCCTGAAATTCATGAAAACGGTGTAAGATTTCATCCTTGAGGCTTCATGCTCCCTTTTGCAATTGAAGAAGTCGACCAGCGTTGAGATACAAATATGATATTGAATTGCAAAGTGAAAGTACAAGCGTATATGTGAACTAAACGTGCCTGTAGATACAAGTACTTTACAGTGTTTTTCTTTAACTATTTACTCGTACAAATTCCCTAGACATATTTGCTAGGAGCTTTCTCGAATCCTCAAAAATCCATTTTACTGTCGGGTCAAAAAAATATTTTGAAATTTTGAAATCAATCATTTGATAATTGAACATTGCCAATTTTTGTTTTATTTTTGGGAGTATTATTGTAATTGTCATTTACATGTAGAAGCAAATAACTCATTGCTAAACACCTGGGGCAGCAAAAAAGAAAATCCAAAATGAAAGTTAAAAATATCGCAGGCAGTTTTTCTTTATATGAAAGTGAAAGGCTTAGGTCCTTCAATACTTTTTTTCAGGGGGGAGGGGGGGGGGGGAGGGGGAACACCCCGATACTTTGAATTCTTTAGATTTGAATCCTGATCATTCAGCACACCTGGGATGAAATTACCACTTCTTGTGGTGACCCAGTTTTCTCGCCAGCATTCACAACTTGACGGCGATCCATTTCAATCTGAATGGAATATGCCATTGGATGCCCGACCAGATAGATCTTTTACATCCCACAAATGAATGTTTGTCTGGAATTGGGCCAGATTTTATTGATTTCTCGGTTGAAAGCGTGGTTGAAGTCGCATTTGACCTTTCAGACACAAAAAAAGGTGCACTCTTCGTACCTTTGCCTTGGGGCATTACCGACGATGTATTGGATGTAACCAGAAAAAAAAAAAAATATCCTGTAGCTTTTTAACAAACTTTCACTTCTCAATGTACATGTACTTGAAAAAAATTAAAATATTTTACAGAAATTCAACCAGTTTCTAAGAATTTAAAGACATTGTTTCACAAGATACAAATTTTTTTTTTTTAAATCAGAGAATAAACAAGTATGAATTTGTCATACTTTTTTTTTGACCTATGAGATCATACATGCTTTATTCTAACAATTAAACTTCCAATCACACAAATATAATAATTTGTACAAATGTGAATATTAGACCTACATATTTTTAATTTATCTTAAGTCCCCTCCCTGGAAATGTGAATAGTTGTAAAATGCACACAGTTACAATGAACATTTCAATTTCTTTAAAAATTTTTTTCGTTCTGCCAGTAAACTTAATTCTTTTGCCAGAAAAGTGAACAACTTTGATGAAGAGATTGTTGAAACACATGGTTACATTATCTAGCATTTAAAATTGAGTATTGGATCGCTGTAAAGAAGTACTGAATGTAGATGTTACAAATTCCGAGAGCTGGTTTCAAAGCACTTTGTTATACAATGTAGGTAGCTGTTCAATTTGATAAAAAAAGCAAACACTATCGTTTTTCCCCCCGGCCGGCCATTCATAAATGAAGAGTTCAGAACAACAGACGACCTTGCTGATGTTTTCTTGTCCGGATTTTTCCACCAGCCGTTAGTCCATACTCATTTTGATCAAGCAATCCTGGACAAAAAAGAAACTGGAGCTGATTGTCCTTAGCCATCCCCTAGATCTTATCACAACAATCCGATCGTCTTGCCTGGCGTTCGCTCAAGGTATTGATCCCTGGTGACACAAAACGGCCAGAGCCTCATTCATCCCGGACAATGAGCCACATTGGCATCATGAATATAGCTGTATCCTCACCACGAGCAACCAATGATCAGATCCTCCTGCCCTGTTTGTCAGCACACCTTTTTTTAGATCTTTTATCCCTTCTTTTATCTCTGTAAGCTCTCAAAAAAGGCCAAGTATTACCGTAGAGGCTTAAATCCACTTCAGGTACATGTACATGTTCTCCTGTCCAATTAAATTGTATAGATCAAAAATTCCTCATTGATTTTTCACCTTAAGTCAAATTAATTAGTCTTTTTTTTAAAGGAAAGGGGAGGTTTGCTACATTCCTAGCTGAACAGCTTGATATTTTTGGGTGGCATGGGTGGCTTGTGCGTAAAGTGCTCGCCTTTCACCTCTGTGGCCCTGGTTCGAATCCTGGCAGCGGATGCATGTGAGTTGTGCGTTGGCTCTTTCCTGTGCCAGGGTTTTTCTCTGGGCCATTTGGTTTTCCTCCCTACGGAAAAATCAAACGCTTTTGATCTCAGGCTGTGCTCTGTGATCATATATTGGTCGATGTGAGTGGCTTCTGGAGGCACCATTACTTGCCAACGGCTTAACCACAATGTATGTCGTCTTGGAATCGTGCCCAGTATAATATTGGGTGTGGTTGTTGCAGAATGTTTTTTTTCTTCATACATTGGGCCATCCCCATCAAGCGTTATTTTGAGCCATATCAATTTGCCATGCATTCATTGAGTGAAGCTGTAAATTGACTCTTCTCAAGTGAACACAGAAAGTGCCCATTTGTTTTGAGAAAAAAAAGTCTTATGTTGTGAACTGTAACTCATAGTTCTGGCTTTCTTTACTGCAATTCCCCATTTCCTCAGAACTTCTCTACGACCCTGAATATCTGAATTGGTGCATTTTGTGGTCATTTTTTTTCCTGGCACATTGTAATTTGTCAGTGTTTGTCATCATCTGGTGTTGCCTTGCGTTGGGTTTTAACAGACTACGCTATCCACAGAGAAGTATTGATTCCTTCTTTTGTACTTCCAAATCCTCTTTGTCAATAAACTATTTTAGTTACTCAGGAATTCCCATTAGATTGGTATCCAGAGTTAGATGTGCATTCACACAGTAATGCAGACTTGTTAAGTTTACAAAATGTATGCAGATATACGCATAAACTCTGGCAGATATTATGGCTTTTTGGTACGACCAGCATTGATACCCAAGATGACAAAAATATTCTGTCACTTCTAATCAACTTCAAGATTTATCGTAAGTAAAGTTTTCATTATTGACTCTATGTTTATTGGATTCTGAATTTCATTGATCTCAAGGCTGTCATGTTAGGATGCAGCAGAATTCAAGTCATTGTTTGAGATTCACCAAAGACCTCAAACATGGCTCCAAATCGTACCAAGTCATAAACAAAACCCAAAGCAATTCCTCACCCCTTCTGAACCTCCAAGACTCTGCAGACAGCCAAACTGGGCGCCCTCATGAATAACTAATAACCAATCAGCGGGGGTGATTCTTTTACTCAAGAGTGTTTATCCAGAGTATTGATTACCCATTGCCAAATCTCTCGCACCCTTCAGGGTCACCTCTACTCCCTGGCGCGCACTCTCCTGGAAGCTGCCGAGTATTGCCTGCCGGACGAGGACGAGGCCGAGATCAGCCAACCATTGTATGACCTCGTCAATCAGCTGTCATTGGAGGATCCAGACAAGAGGCTAGACGTCCACGAGATCGTCAAGACATGCGAGAGGAACTTGAGAGATCCTTCCACTTTCCTCTGTCGGCAACTGTCCTCCATCAGCAGACGGAGAATCTCCATTGATTCCTGCTATGATTTTCCAGGTATCTGGGTTTGATTTTATTTGCTGAATATTTGGAGTTTGTGGTGCTTGTGTTCTTGGGCAAGATATTTGACTCCAACCAGAAGTATGTATGGTTTCCTAATAAGGGTAGAGAACATATTGCGCTGATCTCAGACTGCTTCATAAGATTGATCTCATGTCCTGATAGACAGAGGTAATATGAAGTGCCTCAAGATTTTAAGCACCACGTTGGTGTTAGCCGTAAACAAGATATGTCTTTTTTAAAGGATGATCAAGAAGAGTGCACTTTACCAGTGTTGTAGTCGAGACCGGATAGTCCGAGACCGAGACCAAGACCGAGACCACAGCTCCCGAGACCGAGACCGAGACCGGCAAAAACTGGTCTCGAGACCGGTCTCGAGACCTACAACACTGCACTTTACATGTGTATAAAATTACACATTGTATGGAATTTACACAAAAATTCCAACATCTGTTAAGTATTCCATGTTGGAGTTACGTTTTTGTTCATACATGTGTGTGCATGTATGTGATTATTCATTTGATACTTGTTTTGAAGCGGGCTTTCTCAGAAGCAGCTAAGCCCTCCAGATTGTAAGCCAAAGAAAATCTGTAAAGAGAAAGTGATGAAGAAAGCTCAATTTTTCAACGTTCTTTCAACATTCTTATGAATATCCATATAATCAGTAAGGGACTAAAACCCCAATCTGCATGTCAGCCTGGTGGAATTCGAACCCCAGTCGTCGATTGTGGGTAAGCACAGCTTTAGTCTGATTGTTGTCTTTATTTTCTCTCGTCAGCTCATGATGAATCCCTTCTGAACAGAAGACGGTCTTCCACAGCTAGTCAGGTGCTATTCTCCAGAAGACATAGTCTCAGCAATGGCACGAGTTGGGATTCCCTCAGCCCCTCCGATGTCTTCAACATTCCGTCTTCTGCTTCCCCTTCCCCAACCCTTTTGAGGAGTCTGAGCCCGAACACAAAAACTGTAAAAATGGCCGACGAGAAACGGACTAGGGGTTTAGACCCACCAGAGGAAAAGCCCCTGAGAGAGGCACCCACAGCGGCCACCCTGAATAACCTGTCACAACGAGCCCAGGACATTCTGAAGAAGATATACTCCACTAGTGAAAGCCAGTCAGGGGCCGGAAAAGTCACAAATGGTGGTGGTAGAGGAACGTCCGAGAACAAGCGGTCCCCTGTTATGAAGAGGCATAACAGTGTAGCTACCATGGGAAGTTCTTACTCTGGGGATAGGCTTGGGTCTAAGAGAAACAGCGATCCCGTGACATTAGGTTACCCTTTGTCCAAGACAGAACCTGATGTCCCAGCAATAACAGTGTCAGCAGTGCACACATATGGAGATGGGACAAATAGCGATGGCGCCTCCACTCCAAATTCAGTTAAAGTCTCTGCTGCTCTGGCCAGATTCTTGAAGTCACACAAGCAGCAGTATGAAGAAAAAAGTGATGAAACTGGAACAGGTGACCAAACGGGGTTGAAAAGTGAGGTGCCAGGAGACTTGAGAAGCGAAAGTGGAGATGAGAACTCAGGGAGCACTGAGCCCTTATCACCCCTGGGTACGGAGGATTTCTCTCTGCTGGAGGGAGGTATGATCTTGGATGATCCCTGGCTGGACGATGAGGAATCCGAAGCAGAGGGTCCTGTTGAGTTTAAGAGGACGTTACGCTCGCACAGCATCGCCGCTTTTCATTCCTTTGAGCCGCGCTCATCAGCTTTCCGTCTGAACCAGAACCATTCCAGCAAATCAAACTTAAGCTCTAAATCAAGCCGCTCCAGTCTTGACAACATCACAGAGGAGAAGAACCCAAAAACCAACACAGGAACCAAAAGTATGGCAGCTAAGAGAGCGAGACGGAAAACGGAAAGCATCTCTGGAACGGACCTGTCGTACAATTCCATCCGGGATCTGAACAAACTTCAGGACTTTTTTGCCAATCGCCGAAGCAGCATTGCTGACTTCCGAGCTCAGGCAAGCCTGGTGTCCTCCGCAACTCACTTCACTCCAATCATTGTCTCTGACGAGAAATCCGGCAGCACCAAGAGTCTTACTCGCTCCACCAGTTCCCCAAATGTTGCAGAGGCCAAAGCTAAAGCCAAAGCTGCCATGGAGGCAATCAAGATGGATCTGAAAGCCCCCAAGAAGCAACCACCGCCCCCTAATATGCTTGAGTCACTTGAAAATGATGCCATGGCAAGCAGAGTTCCATCACCTTCTAATCAAACCAACCAGAGCCCTGAAAAACTTCAGGAAGACTCAAACAAAACAGATACTAAAAATACAGAACAATCTGTTTTGACAGTGGAACCAGCACTATTTCCTATATCAAAACCTGAAATTGTCACAAAAGACGAAAATGCTAGTGAGAGGACTACAGAGCCGCAAAACCTCCAAGTTGATAAGCGGAAATTTTCTCTAGAAGCAGAGGCAATTACATTGAAAGGCAGCTCCCAAACTGATCAGAGGAATGTATCCAGAGATAGTGCAAGCAGTGGAGAGACTCGAGTGCAGAAAGCTAAGGTGAAGGTTGTTCAGGGATCGCCAATTAGTCGCGAAAGTGCCTTCTCTCCCATCCAGAAGCCTCACAGGCCATCTCTGGAATCTCAAACGGCATCCAAACCTGAACAGATACAAAGCATTGCAGAAGTCCCAGCCTCATCTAGCCAACCGACCACAGTCAAGCCAATAGCCTCCCTTCAAATGAATAACCAAACTTTGTCAGCCAATCAAAACAAGGCTTCTGAAATCTTGGCCAATCAGCCACAGAATGTGCCAACAACTCAGTCCTCTGCATTTGCAGCCATTTATCAGAACAACCTCCTTGGTCAGATGTCGCCATTGAGGTTAGCCAGTCCTCAAACCATGCATCCAATAACCAACCCTCCTGTAGCTGCCGTTCCAAGCATGGCAGGTAGTCCTAGTGGGGCTGTCATCCCAAGCTTTCCCCTCAAGGTCCAACTTCAACAGGACCCAGCCACTGGACTCTTCCACGTCCTTCCCGTGGACATCCAGGGCTCCCCTGTTGTTTTTCAGGGGTCACCTGTGATATGTCAAGCCTCCCCTACAATATCTCAAGCCTCCCCTGCAATATCTCAAACCTCCCCTGCTTTATCTCAAGGGTCACTTGCCATCCAGGGAGATTCTACCATTACACCAGGTGAGGTATCCACTGTAACAATCCAAGGGTCCCAAGTGATTACTTCAGGCTTAGCTGTGAACAAAACTCCAGCTACCTCTGCAAACAAAACTACTGCCATGTCGAACATCAAGACAGACAGCCGGAATTACTGGACACGCCTGAAAAGTCCTGGTGCAAGTAGCGATGGAGAGAGTACCTGTATCCCCGTGACTCCTGAAATGCCTCGGAAGGATACTGCTGAACGGAAACGAGAACAGATGAAGAAGCGCCACGAGAAACCTAAACACTTTGTGTCGCCTTCTAAACGGATCCCTGCCAGGGGAGCCCTGAATAAGGCCAGTGAGTCAGAAAGCAGCGAGTCTTCATATCTAGAAACCCTCCGCTTGAAAAGCTCCCCGAAGGTTGTACGCAAGAAACCAACCAAAACATCCTCATCTCACAGTGATCCTGATCGGGCGCGGGAGAGAAACCACGAACGCAGCAAGACCCACAACCACGATAAAGTGGGTAAACTTGACGACTCCAAATCCCGAAGTAAATCCTGCGAGAGGCCAAAGGTTTCACTTTCCATCCACAAAACGGACACTAAGGACGTTCCCCGTAAAACTCTGGAGAAATCGGGAATGAAATCTAGTCATTCTGCAAGACCTCACGTAAGCCACAAGCCGCGCGACAACCATGCTTCCAGGAAACCAAACTATTCCACCGATGACATTGACGATACTCGTCCCATGGATCCCTCCAACAATCACGCCTCATCACCTATCTCCATGTCCTCCCTGTCGAGAGACAGTGGGGTGAATCTGCGCTATAGCATGTCCAGCGGAGAGGAGTTACCTACAGTATCGGAGGTACAGCTTGCCGATGCGTTACAAGGAAATGCGACGCTCAAGAAGGTTATTAAACTGATCAGACAAGCCTTTGCCTATGACGGGTACTTGGAGAATGGAGTTGAAGACTTAGCCATGGGTATGTGAACTGTTTTCACTTTTTGGAAAAAATGAAATTTTACTCTAAAAACACACGTCAAGATAAAACCAAAAGAGGATGCCACTGATCTTGCATTCTTGACATGACTTAAATGATAGGCTCAAAGTATGATTTCAAGCCTAAAATTATAACCACAGTATCAATTTGTCATTTGTCATGGTATTGAAAGTGAATTTAATAACTTCATGAATTGATGACATTTTTTTCTTGAACAAATCAAAATTGATTATCCCATCTTTGTAACTCAGCTGAGTACATCACATCGCTGGGCAAGCTGAGCTGGCAAACCTTCAACAATGCCATCTCGGAGAAATTCTGCGATCTCTACTGGGAGGAGGAACTTGTAGGAGATCTTTACGAAGCAGTCAACGGACAGAAACCACCCATTAGACCCACGAGCAACACAACAAATAAACACAGGTAAGACAGTGGGTAAATTTGCTTCATAAACTTGTAAGAATAGTGTGCTTTGATCAGCAAGGTTTTTTTAATTTAAATATTGTTCTCAATTAAAGATCGGATAAAATTGTTGAAATTTTTGGCATGTTGGGTGTCGTCACCTGAAGGATTTGGTGCTTTAGCAGTCTGGGCAAATTTGATCATTCCCATCAGTTAACAAAATACTGATGCAATTTCTTGATTCTTTCTGAGATAATGGTTGGACTTCATTTGTGACTAGCCATCACAAAATTTGTGTGTTCACAGAAAAGGCAAGCCACTGCTTGTTGTTGTCTTAAAAAGACAATAATTAAAAAATGAAAACAAAAAATTTAATAGATTTCTATTGATGATTTTTGTCTACTAAAGGTCAGCAGTGCCTAAGAAGCCGCCGCGTACAAAATCAAGTAGAGAGGGGCACACACCATCCAGACAGAAAGCAGCATCTGCAACGCAAAGTGAAAAACACAGAGCGCACACTGTAGAGAAGAAGATGCCACCAGGCTCTGCCTTGACAAAGAGCAAAGCAGAGGTGGACAGAAGATCAAAAGTGACAGTGGCAAAGAGTCAAGCTCCTGAGGAAAAGAAACAGGCCACGGCGACAAGACAAGAAAGTGACTCGAGGGAGAAAAGTTTGGGAAGTCAGGAAGAAAATAAAAAGGCACGAGATGCAAGGCTGGGCAAAGAAGAGCAAAGGACTGTTCCAGTCTTGAAACCAAATCGGACAGCTCTGAGGAGTGGTTTTGCAGCCAGTGAGAGTAAGACGAAGTTGTCTCCACCTCGGGAAGGGAAAGTCTCTACTTTACGTCTTGAGCCCCGTGCTGCTGAGGAATCTCATGAGCAAGGCAGGAAAGCAGGCACTGGAGATTCGGAGCTTATGACAGATCCAGGGAAAAATGAAAGTTATGATGGAAATGACCTACGTCAGAGGAGACCAGCTGTTGTGGCCATGGTGGGCAACAAGTCACAAGGTAGTCCATTGCGATTAAATAGTCCAGAACTTGCCAAGGATTTGGGGACAAATGGCCGATTCGGTGGCAGAAACGGGATGCTGATGCAGCGACAAGATGAGCCTCTGAGGAAAATGGATGGGATACAGAACACTACAGATGAGTCTCTGCAAATGAGCCCATCACTTGAGGATTCCTCTATAGATCTAAATGCATCCCGGACCAGTCTCACAAGCAGTCTTGCCTCTAGCTCCATCCTCAGTCCGGATAAGATCTCCCAAGACGACCCAAACAGCAGCTTGAATGCATCCCTGACATCCAGTCACTTCACACCTTCCTTCTTAAACTCTCCAACATCTCCAGTCCATCGTTCTACCTCAGACTCCAGTGACTCGACCAATCGTAAGATCCGGGAGATGCTCAGCAAGTCCCTGAATCGCCGAGAGAGTCAGGGCTCGCTCAGCAGCACCTCATCCGGTAACTCGCGCTCGCAGTTCAACAACTCGGACACCATCTCCCTGCCTTCCATGAGTTCCTTCAGTGAGTCTGTGGACGAGTCGAGGTGCGGACTACCCAGCGGGGTGTTGTACCGAGGCGAGAGTGTAGACCCAACCGTTGAGGCTTACACACAGCAGCTTACTGGAGCCGGAGGGACACAGCATAACGTTGATGCTAAGATTGCAGTAAGTACTGAGACTTAATTGCACCAACAGACAGATCCATTATGCTTTGCCCACTGCTAACACTTGCACCATCCTAATACTTCACTGCATATTCCAGCCACAGGCGTCATATGAATATTCATGCTTGGTGGACTTCTGTGCAGGCATGTTGGACTTCCCTCACGTCTAGTCTGCTATTCAGGCATGCAACTTTTCCTCGTATCCGCTGATTTCCTTGTTTCTTACTTCTCATGAATGCCATTACAAATTGAAAAACACTGCGCAAAGTCTTGTGTGGTTTAGAGTTGCCTCATTTTTTCTAAATTCCCAGTTGCATGCCTGACTATTGGTCCGAGTTAAATAGATCCGTCTATTCTTTATTAAATGCTGTTCCGATCATATTTAAAGACTTTGTTCCTTTTTAATGGATGATAGTTAAATTTCAGAGATGGTTTTATTTAACCTTTGCAGGATGTTGAGCAGCAGTTGATGATGGAGAAGAGAATGAGAAGTAAGACGGAGAAATTCTACCGCAAACTGCTCCACAACCAACAAACAAAAGGTATAAACATATGGACCAGAATGGTTCCATATCGAGTTAACAGAATTAACAGGTTGCATGGTCAAGAATTTTTACTTCTTTTTACCATTTTGCTATGACAACTCACAATCTGTCGCTTGTCTTGCTAGGGGCTGACAACAAGAGCATGGTGACCAAAGTCGGCAAGCAGGCCCTGGAGATGACCAAGAGAATAGAGTTCCTAGAGTCCTCTAGAAAACACCTAGAGATGCTGTATGCTGAACAGTGGGGACTGGAGCTATGCTTTCTGTATTCACTGGCAACGAGGTGGGGACTGATAAGGCCAGTCTAGTTTAAATATATTTTTACCTTTGCTGATGTGATGTTATAAGTATTCATTGTTTAGTGTCGTTTGAGATCGTATGAGAAAACTTCACAGGCTAACTCGGCAGAACTCGAACCTACAGCCTTCTGAATCCGAGTACAGATGTCTATGGAATACATCCATTCTAGCATTTGATCTGAGAAATCTCTCTGAAACGTGCAAAATGAAACAAAACTAGTTACAAAAAAGTTTCATGAATGCTGTCCTTTTTCTTATCAGTTCTGGAAGGATGAGCCTTGACCTTCGACCTGTTGATGACAACCCATTGCTAGCCTTCAAGACCAGCCGCAATAAAGTGTCTCTCCAAGCAGGCCAGCCTGCCGGCTTCTTCACATTTCTCTATGCTCGGTTAGTAGATCACATAGTGTATTTTAAATAAGCAGTTCGTAAACATTGTTATTTCAGTTTATATTAAAAAAAAAAAAATATAAATATAAATATTTCATTCATTTGATTGGGAAAGAAAAGTTTGACTTAATTACGTCACAAACCTAAGACCACTTTGCAAGTCCACTTAAGACCACTTATCAAATATTGCTACCGCATATCTTTCAAAAGTTAGCCACAGCCCCTACAGTGTGTTAGAAAATTGGTAAAATTTTGTTTTAAAAAATTATCATTTTTGTCTTATTTCATACGTTTATTTCATGGTATATATTATTGAATGGATTAAGTATCGGATCAGGTGTGCTGGATTACATTTTTTTTAATTCATTGCAACTCCTTAAATGTTTTAAATAGAAAAATATGAATGAGTTTTATTCCTTTTTTTTTTTTATTAAGCAGCATTAAAGAATAAATGTATGTGTTTTTATAATTTTGTTGGTAGGCATGCACTTCTTCAAGGCTTTCTGCATCATTTCTTCTACACCTATCACTACTACACCACATCTCAGGAGCTGCTCCAATTCATAGCCAACAAGTTTGCCTCTGCCCTGGGGTAAGTTCTCTCATTTCACAATATGTCCAATGGGTGATCATTTAATCAATTCCAAAAAAATGCAAGAAATGTATGAAACAACTGCAGTTTAAAGGAATTACTTCTTTGTGTAATTTTACTTTGGACTCGTGATTTTTTCCAAGTGTGATCTCCACCGATGTTGCATTATTTTGTCAATCAAAGTACATGTACACGATTCTTTAATTTGACTCCAAAAGTTGTAAACGGTGGCACATGTAGCTGTGTTTCATTACCTGCAAAACTTGTACTTGGTGCCTAAAACTCAGTAATTCAACAAATTCAGACTTTCAAATTGGAAGTCATAATTATCCAGACATACATGGATGGTTATGTGGTGAAGATATCTGACTGCACACTGTTTTCCAAACCACTCTGCTGCCTTTATTGTTCAGGGGAAAAAATACAATGTAATACAGTGATAAATACAATGTGATACATTGTATTACAATGTAGTACAGTGATAAATACAATGTAATATATTGTATTACAATGTAGTATAGTGTAGTACAGTTGCTGTAATAGTCATGCTTTTTATTTGTTCACAGTATGAGCAGTCAGCAAGCTGAGAATCGGAATAAGATCCTGAATCGTACCTTGGACATTCTTCAAGTCTGGGTGGAAGGTTTCTTTGATGTCGACTTCAAAGCAAACCCTCAGCTTCTTCAGGATGTGCTTGTCTTTATCTCTGATAAGGTTTGTCAATTTCTTTTTGTTTAAAGATCTCTGCCATTTTGTTTCAATTTTTCACTTAAACTACAAAGTCCTTTTTAAAAATATGTTCCGAAAGCTGTTAAAAAAGTTTGCATTCCAATTAAGGAAGTATTTAAAAAATGTGTTGATATGGTGGTTTTATAAGGAATATTTTAAAATGCGTGGTTGGTAATTTGTTATTTCCTGAAGTTAAGCAATTTTCAACCTTAAAATGTTGTACAGTGTGTCTTGGGGCTGTACTTAGAAAAAAATTATACAAATATCTGGGTGGGAAATTGAAATCTTTGATCTTTTCATGTTCTCCATTTTGTCTGAACTTTATTTTTCAGATTCTGCCAGTTGATTCCAACGGTCAGTGTCTTATTCAGTTGATTGAGAAACGCCAGCAAGACCGGCCAGGCACCAGTCTACTGGTTGCTACACAGAGAGAAGATATTAGGGACCAGTTACCAATGGACAAGGTACCAGTGAACCCCAACATCTTGAAATTTTACAACTTTTTACATCATGATGCTGATTAGGCCAAAAAAAATAAATATTCGGTCTCTGGTCAGACCAAAGTTCCGGAATTGACGCGGCCACGCGGCTTTTTTTTTTTCTTTTGCTTTTTTTTTTCCTTCTTCAAGCTTGGATTGTACAGACAAGGTGGGTACTATTTTGCTTTTTTGGTGTCCTCATGTACATTGGTGTCTTCCATAATTTGTCTTGGTGCTTTCGATCATTTGCCTTGGTGCAATTTCCCATTCCTTGGTGCTCTTTAGTAAAAAAAATTGAGGAGGTGCGGAAATAGAGGGCGCTGTTGGAGCTACCGCGGAACATTTTGGAAAAAAAAAAATCAACGCGCATGCCTAAAATCGACGCGTGCGCTGACCAGAGACCGACTTATTTTTTTTTTGGCCTTATCTTTCTTGGTCCACTTTGAGAAATGAAGACTCTGCAGAAGTTGGTAGAAGCCACATTGACATTTGCATTTAAATCCTCCTATTGTTTGATCAGTCACAGATGGTCAAAAATTTCTTCCACTTCCTCTGGCGTGCATTTGCATACAAACTAGTTAAAAACAGTCAGATCACATTCATGTAAACACTGTGACTGTTCCAATTCCATCAACAGATAACAGAGGTAACTGGTAGGTACAGCTGGCATATCAATCACCTCCAGGCAAAGCATGGCTATATCAAATTAAGGCAAAAAAAATTAAAAAAAATTCGGTCTCTGGTCAGACCAAAGTTCTGGAATTGATGCGGCGACGCGTTTTTTTTTTTTGGGGGGGAGCCTTTTTTTTTTCCAAGCTTGGATTGTACAGACAAGGTGGGTACTATTTTGCTTTGGTTGTGTCCTCATTATACATTGGTGTCCTCCATAATTTGCCTTGGTGCCTTCCATCATTTGCCTTGGTGCAATTTCCCCATTCCTTGGTGCAAAAATTTGAGGAGGTGCGGCAATAGAAGGTGTGCTGTAGCTACCGCGGACAATTTGAAGAAAAAAAAAGTTGACGCGCATGATTAAAATAGACGCGCGCTGACCAGAGACCGACTATTTTTTTTGTTGGCCTAACAAGGGAATTCTTAACTGTTTAAAAACAGTTAATTGATTGATTTTGACTGCTGTGAAGGTGGAGCCGAATTTGCCAGCCAGAGAGGAAGGGTTTTAATAAACATAATCAGGAAAAAGAAAGAAAGGACTAGGTTCGTACATGATTTTCCAGCAATATTTCATCATGTTTTCCTTTTTTTTTTCAATAGGTTTCAGGATCCAAAGACTCCAAAGGCATCCTTGGTGTCTCCGGGCGCGGCAGACTGAAGGCTGGCATCATGTCCTGTCTCTCCAAGAAAGACTCCTCCAAGCAGATCGATAGTGCCTACCTCCCGGCAGGATCCATGGAGAAAGATGGCTTCTCACTCAGTGATCATACCTCAATGAGTATCGCGCATCAACTTACACTTCTACAACAGGTGAGATTTCTTGTTCCCTTTGCTCACCCACTCTTGTTTTACTATACTCTCGAGGACAATGCTTTGTGTTTCCCTTTGTCCCTGTAATATAACACTCTCCCATAGACGAAGCACACAAACTTACTACAGAGGACCGTTTGAACAAAAGACCCAACTCCCGAGGACTGAAAAGATCTGTTGTTCTCCCTTTGTGTGTCTGTCCTCGGGGGTTATGTAGAACACGATTGAGCGCGTTCGTTATACACACAATTTTGGTGAGTGACTTGGTGTATGGTCATGGAAGCATTTTGCAAAGCTTTGTTAACAACTGGTGCCTGTGCTGCACTCTAAAGAGTTTAATTTGTTAGTGTGCACCCCAAACACCACCCCCCCCCCCCAAAAAAAATAATTATGTCTCACTTAAAGAGTGCATTGCCTTTAAGAATCATCTGTATTAGTTGAAGCAAATAATGAAGGTCTTTCAATCTTTCATTGGAAAAACATTTTGTTGTCCTTTCAAAACGTTCAGTCTTGAACTGTGGTGTAATTGTTCAATTGCCATAAAATTCTATTGTGAGCAATACATTTATTGGTCATGAGTCGTAGTTTTACATAAATGTGTTCCAATTTGAGTGTTTAATTTTCACCTCAACAAAATATATTGTTGGTCTCATTACCAGGAGCTTTTCCACTGCATCCATCCCGTACACTACCTCAACTCACGCAGCAAAGGCATAGGAGTCAACACTAATAACTACGACACGGCTGGAGGCAAAGGCCAACCCACCCCCGATGCCGGTGAGGCGCCCAGCTTGTTCGTTATGTCGCTGGGTGAGGATGGAGCTGTGAGGGCGCTGTTGGATCACTCCAAGGACGTCTCACACTGGGTGTCGGCTGAGATTGTTAGCTGTAGCTCTACCAAGGTGAGTGGGGCTTGATTGCCGTGTTCATGTTGCACAAGCTATAAGCCAACTTTTCTTCTTTCTTGAATATCATTTATTGGGCTACACTAAAAACTCTTATCCAAGATCATAGTTTTTTGGCATAAAAATATGTAGCTTTTAGGAAATCCCTACGTTTCTTAAAAAATTCTGAAAATTCCCAACATTCTTGCAAAATTTCAACAAATTTTTAGTGGAAATTGTGTACATTCAAAATGTGCGTTCTTAAGCCCGGTTCATACTCGGCGCGAAAGTGAAAACGAACGCGAATTGGTGACGCAAGTATTCGGGCTGCGAATTCGCAAAAGTTGAACACATTTCAACTCGGGCGAATTTCGCAGCGAACGTTTCTTGACGTCAAATTCGCTTCGCATTCGCGCCGAGTATGAACCAGGCTTTAGTGCTATGAACTGATTAAAATGCTAATTTGTTGTTACATGAAGTGCCACAAGTATGATTTTTCCTCACTCTAAAATGAAGTTCATTTTTGACCTTTTTTCACTTTAAGGACTTTAATTGATTGCGCAACTGCCAAATTCAGGTAGTTAACAACTCGCATGGAGGAGGCTTTAGGCTGAGAAGTGGGTAGAGCACTAGTTTTGGACTTGTTTTCCCAGGTGTTTCAGCTCCAATTCCATAATCTGATAATATATGTGATGCGATCAAGCTAATTGAGTCGTTTGTCAGGAACTTTCATTTGGAGATACAGGCCAAAATAGGGCCACTTCATCACATCACTTCATCACATCTCTTGGTGTTCCGACTTCCATAATTTTTGAACTAAAGATGGTACCAGCATGCGGTTTTCACAGCAGTAATGCTGAGATTTTACTCTTTTTAAATCTTTAAACAAAAAATTGACCAGGGTCGATGAATGACTTATTTAGCTTGATCGCATCACATATTCAAGTAATCTTTGATGTATTATTGTAGAACTTCTTGCCATTATTTCAGAGCCAGCTGGTCCTCCTGTCTAAGTTCATCAACGTAGCCAAGGCTTGCTACGACCTGAGAAACTTTGCCACCTGCGTCCAAATCCTGGACGCCCTAGATAGTCTCATTGTCAGACAGGTCCCTGTAAGTCACTTAGTGTTTTGATTTTTTTTGTGTAAATTAAAACCAACTTGGCCATTCCCCTTTATCAGCGTTTCATATTTTGCCAAGACTGCTATAACCATAGAAGGTCTAACTCAAAGTAAGCCCCAAATCTAAAAAAAAATTGCCAGGGATTTGCCTTGTTTATACTTTTGTCAAAAAATAGACTTTCTACAAACTTAGTAAAACCATTTGTGTAACATAAGATATTTTAATACTAGCCGCCCCATTACTGAAGAGATTTGGGCAAATTTAATTGATTTGTGAAGGAAAAAAATAGCCCAAACGGCTAGTTTTTGATAACTTTTTCGATGCCCTGTTTCTGCCTGTTTTCTTTACTGACATCAGTAAAGAGAACAGGGACCTTAAGGCAAATTCCTGACTTATTATGAAAGCAGTGTCATCCTGTACAATTTTCCAGTCAAAGTGTTAACAAAAATGTAGAGTTGAAATCTCAGACAAATGTCCTTATTTTCCTCCTCCCAGGCTTGGCGCAACCTCCCGTCCAAGGTAGTCACGTTATACGAGGAGCTCTGTGAAGGCAAGGTCCTCCTCCAAGGTGACAGCGAGTCTCTCGTCAAGGCCGACGCCCACAAAGGCTCCCCTACCTTACCCCCTACCCTGCTCTTCCTGATGCATGTCCAACAACTGGAGATTGGAGGCTTCAAGCTTGCTAACGGCATGTACAAATGGACCAAAATGAAGTGAGTTCAACTCTTGTGACTTTTTAAATATGAAACCTGAGCCCAATTTCATGCCGCTACTTAACAGTGAGCAAATAAAGTGTATTATATAACTGGCATACAGATCCTTGTCATTTGATTAGTGGAACTCACATCATGTGACATTCGTTATTGCTCCCATTCACGCCGGGGCTCAAAAAGTCCCATTCGCCCATGGTGAATGAAATTTACTCTTCAACAGTTAGGATCATCCTTGTTCCATGGCACGGTATTTGTGTGCAAATGCATGCTGGTGTATGCGTTGAGCGTTGCGCTTAGTGCGTATTGTTCCCAAGATCCAGTAGCTACAGAGTTGGGTTCAAACATTTCGTAAAGGGGTGATTTGGAAGAGAGAAATACATTTCCAACCAATCTTTATTGAAATAGAAGTTCCTTTTAATTGTAAATCAAATGACAAGGATTTATATGTCAGTTATATAAAAAAACAAATATTGAGTGGCTTTAAATTGTGAAATGGGAGGAATATTATCACTCAGTAAAATCTGGACTTTTCCACTTCACTCGGCTTTGCTTCATAAAAATTTGCGATAATATTCCTCCCTTTTCACTCTGAGCCACTCAATTTTTGTATGCTAACTATAGCAGAAAATTGTGCTAACCGTAAGCACTATTTCACAGAAACAAGTTCACATGCATTTATAGTAACATGCATGAAAGTTCCATTTATCCTATACAAAATCAAGAAATCAAAGCTATTCCTTTTGCATACTTCACCAATTTCCCTTGGCAGATCCATCGCCAAGTTTGTGGACCAGATCCGCGTGTTCCAAGAGCACGCCTACACCTTTGACGCCAACAGAGAGCTGCAGGACCTGCTGAGGCAGCGTGTCTTAGAATCCTGTGATCAGGACATTCACGTCTTGGCTGCCAGACACAGCTCCAACGTCCATCAGTTGCAGTCTGATAAGAGCTCGCGCAGGCTGCAGAACGCATTCCAGAAAGTACGAGCAACGCTGCACTAAACGGGATACGACATCAATAGTAGGTTTTGCCTTTCACCGACGTATAAAAACTGTGTTACCTCCCGAGTGAAAGTTGGAAAAAATCTCTCGGGTGGGACTCGAACCCACGACCTCCTGCTTTCTAGTGCAGATGACATTGCAGACAAGAAATCTGTTAAATGTTCGTAGTCCTTTTCACGCGATCCTTTCATATGTGAGTATGTCCGTTTTGTATCTTTCTTTTCTACATTCCGTCCAATGTCTTTCGCTTTATATTATTCATTAGAAATATCACCAGTTTCCTTCGCTTTAAGTATTCAGTTTCAATTCAAATGCGAAGATGTGGAAGTTATTCTATATGCCAAGACCTAAACTTGAAAAAATTTAATTGTTTTGATGTCATTCGTCCATGACACAGCTGAAGTGTATATCTTTAAAGCCGGATATTTATTGGTACTTATTGCGCTCCGTCCTTTCAATGTATTGTATGTGATGGCTTTGTGATGAAGGTACATTTGTTTCAAGACAAGAGCTATTTTAGGAAGTAATGTGTACGTTGAGATTTTCCTTTTAATGTAAATATATTTATTTTTGCCAAAAGTATTTGTACATATTCTGAAATAAATATGAGTTTATGTAAAAAACAATTGTTTAAATGATTAACTACAAAAAGTTAGTGTATTTATGGGTAACCATTTTATGAAATGAGAAAGTGTTTATCTTTTGCATGAAACTTGTCGATTAAATGTTTGAAGAGTAAACAAAAATTTGTAAGGGGTTAACCTTACAATTGAATATTTTCTCCATATTTGACAAATTTGTAAGGAATTAAGCTTGCATTGTTATCAAAATTTGCATTTTCATCAAAATTGGGAAAAATTTGACCTTTTTGGGAAATTCAAAATGTAAAGGGTAAGCCTTGCATTTTCATCGAAATTGGGCAAAATTTCAATTCAATTGTGATGTTTTTTGAAATTAAGGAATATAAAGGGGTTAACCTTGATGAAAATTTGATTCAAAAATGCAAGGCTAACCCTTTACATTTTGAATTTTCCCAAAAAGGTCAAATTTTGCCCAATTTTGATGAAAATGCAAGGCTTACCCCCTTACATTTTGAATTTCCCCCAAAAGGTCAAATTTTGACCAATTTTGAAGAAAATGCAAGGCTAACCCCTTACATTTTGAATTTTCCTAAAAAGGTCAAATTTTGCCCAATTTTGATGAAAATGCAAGGCTTACCCCTTACATTTTGAATTTTCCCAAAAAGGTAAAATTTTGCCCAATTTCGATGCAAATGCAAGGCTAACCCCTTAAATTCTTCAACTTAAAAAAACACCAAATTTTGCAACATTTTTGATGAAAATGCAAGGCTAACCCCTTAAATTTTGAATTTTCCCAAAAAGGTCAAATTTTGCCCAATTTCGATGCAAATGCAAGGCTAACCCCTTACATTCTTCAATTTAAAAAAAACACCAAATTTTGCCCAATTTTTGATGAAATTGAAGAATATCATAATATCAATTGTTTTTTGAAATTGAAGAATATAAGGGGGTTAGCCTTGCATTTTCTTCAAAATTGGGCAAAATTTGACCTTTTTGGGAAAATTCAAAATGTAAGGGGTTAGCCTTGCATTTTCTTCAAAATTGGGCAAAATTTGATGTTTTTTTGAAATTGAAGAATATAAGGGGTTAGCCTTGCATTTTCTTCAAAATTGGGCAAAATTTTGTGTTTTTTGAAATTGAAGAATATAAGGGGTTAGCCTTGCATTTTCTTCAAAATTGGGCAAAATTTGACTTTTTTGGGAAAATTCAAAATGTAAGGGGTAAGCCTTGCATTTTCTTCAAAATTGGGCAAAATTTGGTGTTTTTTTGAAATTGAAGAATATAAGGGGTTAGCCTTGCACTTTCTTCAAAATTGGGCAAAATTCGACCTTTTTGGGAAAATTCAAAATGTAAGGGGTTAGCCTTGCATTTTCTTCAAAATTGGGCAAAATTTGGTGTTTTTTTGAAATTGAAGAATATAAGGGGTAAGCCTTGCATTTTCTTCAAAATTGGGCAAAATTTGACTTTTTTGGGAAAATTCAAAATGTAAGGGGTAAGCCTTGCATTTTCTTCAAAATTGGGCAAAATTTGACCTTTTTGGGAAAATTCAAAATGTAAGGGGTAAGCCTTGCATTTTCTTCAAAATTGGGCAAAATTTGGTGTTTTTTGAAATTGAAGAATATAAGGGGTTAGCCTTGCATTTTCTTCAAAATTGGGCAAAATTTGACCTTTTTGGGAAAATTCAAAATGTAAGGGGTAAGCCTTGCATTTTCTTCAAAATTGGGCAAAATTTGGTGTTTTTTGAAATTGAAGAATATAAGGGGTAAGCCTTGCATTTTCTTCAAAATTGGGCAAAATTCGACCTTTTTGGGAAAATTCAAAATGTAAGGGGTAAGCCTTGCATTTTCTTCAAAATTGGGCAAAATTTGGTGTTTTTTGAAATTGAAGAATATAAGGGGTAAGCCTTGCATTTTCTTCAAAATTGGGCAAAATTTGGTGTTTTTTGAAATTGAAGAATATAAGGGGTTAGCCTTGCATTTTCTTCAAAATTGGGCAAAATTTGACCTTTTTGGGAAAATTCAAAATGTAAGGGGTTAGCCTTGCATTTTCTTCAAAACTGGGCAAAATTTGAACCTTTTTGGGAAAATTCAAAATGTAAGGGGTAAGCCTTGCATTTTCTTCAAAATTGGGCAAAATTTGGTGTTTTTTTGAAATTGAAGAATATAAGGGGTTAGCCTAGCATTTTCTTCAAAATTGGGCAAAATTTGGTGTTTTTTGAAATTGAAGAATATAAGGGGTTAGCCTTGCATTTTCTTCAAAATTGGGCAAAATTTGGTGTTTTTTGAAATTGAAGAATATAAGGGGTTAGCCTTGCATTTTCTTCAAAATTGGGCAAAATTCGACCTTTTTGGGAAAATTCAAAATGTAAGGGGTTAGCCTTGCATTTTCTTCAAAATTGGGCAAAATTTGGTGTTTTTTTGAAATTGAAGTTTATAAGGGGTAAGCCTTGCATTTTCTTCAAAATTAGGCAAAATTTGGTGTTTTTTTAAATTGAAGAATATAAGGGGAAAGCCTTGCATTTTCTTCAAAATTGGGCAAAATTTGGTGTTTTTTGAAATTGAAGAATATAAGGGGTAAGCCTTGCATTTTCTTCAAAATTGGGCAAAATTCGACCTTTTTGGGAAAATTCAAAATGTAAGGGGTAAGCCTTGCATTTTCTTCAAAATTGGGCAAAATTTGGTGTTTTTTGAAATTGAAGAATATAAGGGGTAAGCCTTGCATTTTCTTCAAAATTGGGCAAAATTTGGTGTTTTTTGAAATTGAAGAATATAAGGGGTTAGCCTTGCATTTTCTTCAAAATTGGGCAAAATTTGACCTTTTTGGGAAAATTCAAAATGTTAGGGGTTAGCCTTGCATTTTCTTCAAAATTGGGCAAAATTTGGTGTTTTTTTGAAATTGAAGAATATAAGGGGTTAGCCTTGCATTTTCTTCAAAATTGGGCAAAATTTGACCTTTTTGGGAAAATTCAAAATGTAAGGGGTAAGCCTTGCATTTTCTTCAAAATTGGGCAAAATTTGACCTTTTTGGGAAAATTCAAAATGTAAGGGGTTAGCCTTGCATTTTCTTCAAAATTGGGCAAAATTCGACCTTTTTGGGAAAATTCAAAATGTAAGGGGTAAGCCTTGCATTTTCTTCAAAATTGGGCAAAATTGGGCAAAATTGGGTACTTTTTGAAATTGAAGAACATAAGGGGTTAGCCTTGCATTTTCTTCAAGATTGGGCAAAATTTGGTGTTTTTTTGAAATTGAAGAATATAAGGGGTTAGCCTTGCATTTTCTTCAAAATTGGGCAAAATTTGGTGTTTTTTGAAATTGAAGAATATAAGGGGTTAGCCTTGCATTTTCTTCAAAATTGGGCAAAATTTGACTTTTTTGGGAAAATTCAAAATGTAAGGGGAAAGCCTTGCATTTTCTTCAAAATTGGGCAAAATTCGACCTTTTTGGGAAAATTCAAAATGTAAGGGGTAAGCCTTGCATTTTCTTCAAAATTGGGCAAAATTGGGTACTTTTTGAAATTGAAGAACATAAGGGGTTAGCCTTGCATTTTCTTCAAGATTGGGCAAAATTTGGTGTTTTTTTGAAATTGAAGAATATAAGGGGTTAGCCTTGCATTTTCTTCAAAATTGGGCAAAATTTGGTGTGTTTTTTGAAATTGAAGAATATAAGGGGTTAGCCTTGCATTTTCTTCAAAATTGGGAAAAATTTGACTTTTTTGGGAAAATTCAAAATGTAAGGGGAAAGCCTTGCATTTTCTTCAAAATTGGGCAAAATTTGGTGTTTTTTTGAAATTGAAGAATATAAGGGGTTAGCCTTGCATTTTCTTCAAAATTTGGCAAAATTTGGTGTTTTTTGAAATCTAAGAATATAAGGGGTTAGCCTTGCATTTTCTTCAAAATTGGGCAAAATTTGGTGTTTTTTTGAAATTGAAGAATATAAGGGGTAAGCCTTGCATTTTCTTCAAAATTAGGCAAAATTTGGTGTTTTTTTGAAATTGAAGAATATAAGGGGTAAGCCTTGCATTTTCTTCAAAATTGGGCAAAATTTGGTGTTTTTTGAAATTGAAGAATATAAGGGGTTAGCCTTGCATTTTCTTCAAAATTGGGCAAAATTTGACCTTTTTGGGAAAATTCAAAATGTAAGGGGTTAGCCTTGCATTTTCTTCAAAATTGGGCAAAATTTGGTGTTTTTTTGAAATTGAAGAATATATGGGGTTAGCCTTGCATTTTCTTCAAATTTGGGCAAAATTTGACCTTTTTGGGAAAATTCAAAATGTAAGGGGTAAGCCTTGCATTTTCTTCAAAATTGGGCAAAATTTGACCTTTTTGGGAAAATTCAAAATGTAAGGGGTAAGTAAGCCTTGCATTTTCTTCAAAATTGGGCGAAATTTGGTGTTTTTTTGAAATTGAAGAAAATGAGGGGTTAGCCTTGCATTTTCTTCAAAATTGGGCAAAATTCGACCTTTTTGGGAAAATTCAAAATGTAAGGGGTAAGCCTTGCATTTTCTTCAAAATTGGGCAAAATTTGGTGTTTTTTGAAATTGAAGAATATAAGGGGTTAGCCTTGCATTTTCTTCAAAATTGGGCAAAATTTTGTGTTTTTTGAAATTGAAGAATATAAGGGGTTAGCCTTGCATTTTCTTCAAAATTGGGCAAAATTTGGTGTTTTTTGAAATTGAAGAATATAAGGGGTTAGCCTTGCATTTTCTTCAAAATTGGGAAAAATTTGACTTTTTTGGGAAAATTCAAAATGTAAGGGGAAAGCCTTGCATTTTCTTCAAAATTGGGCAAAATTTGGTGTTTTTTTGAAATTGAAGAATATAAGGGGTTAGCCTTGCATTTTCTTCAAAATTTGGCAAAATTTGGTGTTTTTTGAAATCTAAGAATATAAGGGGTTAGCCTTGCATTTTCTTCAAAATTGGGCAAAATTCGACCTTTTTGGGAAAATTCAAAATGTAAGGGGTTAGCCTTGCATTTTCTTCAAAATTGGGCAAAATTTGGTGTTTTTTTGAAATTGAAGAATATAAGGGGTAAGCCTTGCATTTTCTTCAATGTTGGGCAAAATTTGACCTTTTGGTAACATTCAAAATAGTTAGCCTTGCATTTTCATCAAAATTGGGCAAAATTCGAATTTTTGGGAATATTCAAAATGTAAGGGGTTAGCCTTGCATTTTCATCAAAAATTTGGCAAAATTTGGTGTTTTTTTTAAAATTAAAGAATGTAAAGGGTTAGCCTTGCATTTTCATCAAAATTGGGCAAAATGGGAAATTTTTGGGAAAATTCAAAATGGAAGGGGTTAGCCTTGCATTTTCATCAAAATTGGGCAAAATTTGAAGTTCTGGGGAAAATTCAAAATGTAAGGGGTTAGCCTTGCATTTTCATCAAAATTGGGCAAAATTTGAATTTTTTCGGGAAAATTCAAAATGTAAGGGGTAAGCCTTGCATTTCCATCAAAATTGGGCAAAATTTGATCTTTTTGGGAAAATTCAAAATGGAAGGGGTTAGCCTTGCATTTTCATCAAAATTGGGCAAAATTTGATCTTTTTGGGAAAATTCAAAATGTAAGGGGTTAGCCTTGCATTTTCATCAAAATTGGGCAAAATTTGAATTTTTTCGGGAAAATTCAAAATGTAAGGGGTAAGCCTTGCATTTCCATCAAAATTGGGCAAAATTTGATCTTTTTGGGAAAATTCAAAATGGAAGGGGTTAGCCTTGCATTTTCATCAAAATTGGGCAAAATTTGATCTTTTTGGGAAAATTCAAAATGGAAGGGGTTAGCCTTGCATTTTCTTCAAAAATGGGCAAAATTTGGATGTTTTTTTAAATTGAAGAATATACATGTAAGGGGTTAACCTTGCATTTTAATAAAAAATGGGTAAATTTTGACCTTTTTTTGGAAATTTAAAATGTAAGGGGTTAGCCTTGCATTTTCATCAAAATTGGGCAAAATTTGACTTTTGGGGGGAAATTAAGAATATAAGGGGTAAGTCTTGCATTTTCATCAAAATTGGGCAAAATTTTATTTTTTGGGGAAATTAAAAATATAAGGGGTTAACCTTGCATTTTGATCAAAATTTTTGGGAAAAATTAAAAATGTCGGGGTTATTTTTATCAAAATTTGAGGGGTAAGCCTTACAACCAAATTCTGAATAAATTGCAAGGGCTCAACCTTACATTGGAACATTTTCATTCAATTTTTAAAAATGTGCAAGGGGTTAAACTTACATTGAATATTGTCTTCCAATTCTATTTCATTTTGGGTAAAATATTGATTTCTCAACAAAACAACTCAGAATTTAGGTTTGAAACGAGATGAACGCATTTTGATAAATACGTGTATTCGACTTACTACAGCGATTGGGCAAAAAAAGAGGAAGTATTTTGAATGACAAATTGATTTCGCCCAAATCATGAAATGCTACACACAGTGGCAATACAGTTATACATATAATATATTTATTTTGGCAAATTATACATTTTTGTAAAATTCATTGGATTAATTCTTCAAAGGGAATCCTAAAACATATTATATGTGACACATGCCTTTACCAAAAAAAAACAGGGAAAAAAACCGAAAATCTACTGAATTCTGACCGCGGAATATTTGTAAAACATATTTGGGAACAAGAACCCTTGTGACAAAAAAAAAATACGGAAAATCTTTGGGAACACCACGTAAAAGTCCATCAAGCCAAAATACAAATATCTTGGTGTAATTCATTAGAGTTGTTCGTTCATAACTTAGTAATACCATCATAGAAGCCAATTTTTTCTTACAAAGTTTATATATACAGTGGAATACCGAACTATACTGAACAGCGCTATACCAAACATTCAGCTATACTGAACATCATCCTTGGCTCCCGCTTTTTGTGTACAAAACCAACCGAACATTGCTCTTGAAAACCGTCGACAGAAGAGCGACAAGTGGCTATTATTTCCCAAAGCATAGAAGGGGAAAGCCACCCATCGATATAGGTAGTTAGCTCAAAGCCGTGTTATTACATAATTCAATAGTCGGCACGTGTTCGAAGATGTCTTTCAGTAACTACCAAGACATGCAGGGTGAAGTTATGAAGGGCGCCATTTATTGAAAAGTGAGTACCAGAGCACCGGCAGCTTAAAATCGCTATACCGAACGATCACTATTACGAACATTTTCTGTGGATCCCGCGATGTTCCTTATAGGGGCGTTCAACTGTATATATATTTTCAGCTGTTTCTGATAACTTCAAGACAATAAAAAAAAATGTCTTCAAGATACTTTTCAAGGGGATGACGGGGGTGGGTGGGTGGGGGCGAATCAGTCAGAAGCAATTGTTTTTGAGGGTTTCAAAAACTCAATGCCTACCGATCATTCAAGAAATATTCATACTGAAAATTCTTGAAAAACAAAAAAACAAATAGGAATGTAATCATAAGACAATGCTTTGCGTTTACCCCTTAATCCTCCATCCATTCCAGTTCCTGACTGACTTTGTGTCCCTTCTCAGCTGCCTTGTTGCAGTAGTAACCGTACGCTCTGCGGTTGCCTAGCGCCAGGAGGTAGCGAGCATACTCCAAATACACCTTCTCAAGAAGGGATCGTGAAGAATGAAAGTTAAGGTTGATAGTTTTGATACGAAACAAGCATGGCATATTTTGCACTCAAAAACTATGATAAAAAGATAATAATAAGTAAAAAAAACAAGCGAAGGCAAGTTTAGTAATGCTGGTCCCAGAGTGCACAAGATTCAAACGATTCAGAATATTCAATTCATTGATTAGAATAGTGGAAGTCTTTTTGTGCATCTGGTCTCCATAACGGCCGGATTTAGCCTATTTGTTAGTGTTATGGGGTAATCCTATACGATAGCACTGCCTGGTGAGTGTGGGGAGTGAGGCATAGTGGTTAGGGTTTGTGACTTATGATCAGTGGGTCAGGGGTTTGAATCCAGCTGCTGGTCATATGTTGTGTCCTTGGGCAAGCTGCTTCATCCACACTTGCCTCTCTCCACCCAGGAGTATAAATGGGTACCGGCATTAGCTTGGGAGTAACCAGCGATGGACTAGCATCCCATCCAGGGGGAGAAGAAATATTCTCAGTTGTTTCATGCTACTGAAACCGGAGATAAACGCCAGCCTCATGGGCCACATTGGCTCGTGACAGACTTGACTTACTTACTACGACATGTGGCAGTCAGTAAGTGAGATAGGTACACAGAGGACATAGGCTGGCTTTCCGAGACCGGCAAGAAATGATGACCCAACATACAAGAACAAAACTACAAGGATCAGATAATGTGTCTCTTGCAAATGTTGTGCCTGGCCCATCAGCACTTGGGTACACAGAGTACATGTTTTGAATTTTTTCTTCAGTCCTTAAATCTTTCAAAGGATATTTATCTCTTCTGTATCTGGCAAGACGTCAAACTCCATACAGGCCTCAGCAAACATGCCGGCACGGTCATAGTAATGCATGCTGGGAATGCAAATATTAAAAAACATGTAAACTCAGGGCAGGATACAAAATAGAATACAAACCAAGAAAAGTAAATTTGAAAGATTTTAAGACCTTTTCCCAAGTGATCAGACTTTTTGCAGGATAAAGACATGCATGGCTGTGTAAGCTTGTACAGGCTGAATAATTGTCAAAGAATTATCTGCAGGAAAAGCAAAGCATTGTGGGTGACCCAACCTGAGGCACTGAATATTCATTAAATTAGTACCAGCTTGACAAGCCAATCACAACATGTTCTTCTGACCTTACCACGTAATCATTCCTTACAAACTGTCCAATCAGAGAGCTTTAAATATCAGCCTGTACCAACCCCTTGGTTTTTGTGTGTGCTCGGTACTGACTATTCCGATTAACATAATACTGACCTCATTAGGACCTCAAGGACCTGTTGGAATTGACCCATAGACAGCAGGACTAGGATGGCTTTGGTTTTCTGGTTGACGGTCGGTGAGCAGAGATAGTCAACGTAGCGACGTAATACGGTGCAGTACTCTGAAAAGGGTAGGGTAGCCTGCAAGACAAATCATAACAATAAATAAAACATTGGTCAAGGAATTTGATATAAATCAGGACAAATCGTAACAATAAATGAAACATTGGTCAAGGAGTTTGACATCAATCAGGATTTTTACGTTTCATGCCAACTACCTCAAATCCTGTAGCATCCACACTGAATATTATTACTTAACCAGTGTGTTCGATTACTTCCCTCATGCTTAATACCCGTACTTTCCTCTTGGGTATAGATGCACATGTGCAATCTGTAGCAATAAACAAACGATCTTGGGTTACTTGAGGTCAAGTCATAGCAACCGGACCGGTCAAGTTGCCATGTGCCGATTAAATGCCCTATGATTCGGACCGTCGACAGCGAGCCATGGTGGCCACTGTACGAGCTCTTCCAAAAGTGAACAAGAAATGCCGGGTATGTTTAAAATTAACTTGACTTTCCTCCCGTCGTCTAGTACTGGTGTGAAGTGAAGCTGAGACACTTGTGAATCCCGGCGCCGCAGCGTTAGACTTAGCTGTCATGGTTTTCGCATTGTATTGTGGGATACTTACGCAAGTAACCGGCTCGGCGAGTCGGTTACTTGGACCAGGCTCGAGTAAGCGCGAGAAGTCACGTGACAGGTAAATCAAACGTAGTCGCTCATACACGAGTAAGCGTGGGAAAGTAATCGAACACGTGGAACATGAGCTCACATTGTTCCAAGTACTAAGAGCAATTCACTGGGTTTCCAGAAGCAGTTGAGATCTTGCATGAATGTGGCTCACTCGGAAAGGTTACTAGTCTGAGCTAAACAAAAGCTACTCTTTTAAAGCTACAGTCCATCATTTGCAGCCATCCGAAAAAGTAACTGGCGTATTATTGTTGAAAAACATACTTGGTTGAAAGATAGTAAGTGGACTAAACTCCCTGTGAAATTAATCTTTCTGGCAAGCTATCATTTTGAAGTAATCAACGAAAGAAGGCCTTTCCAACGGTGCGTCTTAAGACGCACCGTAGGAAAATTTAAATTAGTAGTTCGTTTTGTTATTCGGCGCAGCGCGCGCAAGCATTGGCACGACGCACAGGCGCGCGCGGTTGCTATAATTCGTCGGATCAGTGCGCGACATCGCATATAGCTGCAATTCAGATCAATTCAAAACGTGATTCAGCAACTTTTGGTTTGAAATTGAGATCCTAGAATGCTGTTTTTCTCGGAATATACAGCTGAAGCTGAGCTGAAACTTCATTAGGTTAGTTGTTCAGTATCCTTCATTAGATTTTGAACACTTTTGTTGCTTCAAACGAACAAAATGCACAAATTACAAATGATGGACTATATCTTTAAATCAAGTCATATCAAAGTCTTCCCTGTGACAACTACCTTAGCCAGCCAGACAGCCTGGTTCCACTCTCGATAGGTGATCAGATAACGACACGCATCAATTCCCTTGTTGATCAGACACAGAAGCTGAACCCCCTCTGTGATCAAATGGAACGGCCAAGCGTACAATCAAATCCATATGAATAATAGAGAACAAACCATTTGAACAGGGGGACATTTTGAGAGAGGGCATTTCATGGACACAATTCATAACCTCAACATATTACATGAGGCAAAGTGAAGAGGCAAATTTTCGAAGTTAAAAATTTTGATAGGTGATTAAAAAGCATACACTGCACTTATGATAATAATTTGGGAGGCCAATCATCCTTACTCGCAGCTAAGAAGCTGAATTGCGAAGGATGCGGCTACAACGTGGTCGAGCCGCTGGCATGTACAGGCGCCTTGGGCAGCCAGCCAAACGACCCATGTCTGACCGTGGGGCACAGCCAGAGATCGAAAGTGTTGATGTTTGCAGAGGGAGGAAAACCGGAGAGCCCAGAGAAAAACCCTCGTGGCACAGGAGAGAATCAACTCTACTCACATATGGTCCGAGCCGGGAATGGAACCGTGCCACATTGATAAGAGGCGAGCGCTTTACGCAATAGTCAACCATGCCATCCAATATACACCACTTAGTTTACATTATAACCTTTAAAAATATGTCACAGAGTATCAACAAATTTTGTTTAATTTTGTATTACCTGAGAGTTTGTTGTTAGCAATGAGACTTGTAGCGACCAGTTTAATGGTGCTTTGTGATGCCCCAGTTAACTTCACCGTGGCAACCAGACATGCCAAGATGGAGTCCAGATAGTAACTCTCATTCTCAGCTTCTGTCTCCAGATACAGCTGCACTGCTCGGTCAAACTGTCAAGAAATGACAAGATAAAATATTGATGAGCCTTCTTGATCTGTGCCAGTCCAAAAATCCAACTATTGTATGGTCAAGATTATAATTTTTAACCTTTTCAAATCCTTTAAAAATTCAACAGGAAATTTCGGAAGACTTTGCAGAATTAAGAAAGATACCCCAAGAAAGTGTGATTGTTTTCCAGGACAGTTTCTAGTACATGATCTAGAGAGTCGTGGATATTAAGTTCTTTTTTTTTTAGATATTGCTAAAATAAAACTTCAGAAAAGAAACAGGTAACTGGCAAAATTGACTACAATCAAAGAAATAACCACAAGTGGCATGGTTTTCTAGGCTTTCTGTCGTTACCTGTCCCATCAGTATAAGGTTTTCTGCACACTTCATGGTCTGTTCATGGGTCGATCGCTTACTGTCATGGAGGCTCAAACGCTCAAGTTGATATTTCTGCAAAAAAAGGGACAATTCAGTTTCAGCTTAAATTATTACGAAAGAAATTGCCACCAATATGCAAATGAACAGTAATGCCTCTGTTGTCTTTCCTTGAATACATGTTGTTTCAGAGTTCAGTGACCCCAATGCTTGACCTTTGACCTACTTAACATGACGACCTTTGACCTACCTGATATGACTTGCTGTCACACAGGATATCATAGCAGGTATCCAGCAATGGATCCTTGATGCAGGAACAACTGGTTACCACTTCCTCTTCCCTGGTGTCCATCAATAGCGACCTGTTGTTACTAGAAGGCAGGGCACCGGGTACTTCACCTTGGAAGGGGTCTGAGTGGTACCCCGCGCCTGGATTGTCTGGTGTGGACTGAGACAAAAGAAGAGAAAAAAGATCTCGGCCATAAAAAAAAATTCGAAAAATAATGTACCGACAAGACTAAAAAAGTTAAGTAGCCTGGACCTGAAATAATTTAGACCATACAGTCAAAAAGATTTCCCAAAATGATTTCATGGTTATTTGAACTCTTACCACGTGGACCGGGCAATTCACCCTCGCCTTCTCGGCCTTGAGATACTGCAACGCCACCGTCCAGAAAGTGGTCTCTGCCTCATCCCCAAAGAGCTGTGCAGCAAGCAGGCAGCGCTGGGCCGTACCATAGGGGCAAATAGGGAGGTAATTCTTGATCTTCTGGGGCATGATGTCAAACTGGTCATTGACGGCCCTGATGAAATTTTCATCCTCGGGAGTTTCACTGTAAATAAAAATGTTTGGATTTAAACATTTCTGCACATTAATACGATCACATTTATGGACAAAATAAACTTGTCAATATCATGAATGCTTTCCAATATACCCATAAAAGACGATGGAAATTGAATTTTGTCTTTTCATGTTATGTGTTGAAAATCAAAACAAAATGAATGTGAACAGATCCATCCCCAAACTTATTAATTGAAATAGAAATTCATTTTTTTTTCAAAATATAGTTCTCATTACAAGTATAACACAAAACTCAGCAAAGTTGTACACCACATCTGAAGTCTTGGTAACTTTAAAGCAAAATGGCAAAGCATGCATACAGGCATATACAATTCACTTCTAAACAAAGTAAAATTAACAGTCAACATTTGAATGGATCATTCCACAATGTTTCAGAAATTGCCAAATCTGAAAAGATATAAGAAAATTGGTGCCAGAACACGAAAAATGTCTTGGCTAATCATTCAGAAAAGAAAATATACCTCACTTTATTTCTTGGCAAGAATAAACATGTAATTGGCAAATCTTTCTATAGGGCATTTCTGTCTGAAACACAGTTGGAATGATCGTTGTTAGTAGTGGGAACAAAGGAATATTTTATTAAAAAAATGACGAATCAAGATGCAAGATGACTTGCAACTTCAACAGAACATTTCAAATTAGTACATGGATTGGAAAGGGCTGTAAACTTACAAACGTATGCAAAGGAAGTCAGTATAAAATACTTTTTAAAAGTGTCAAATCGTAACAATAGAGGGCGCATTTCAAAGGAACAGGAAAGATCACGTTTCACATTATAGCTATCATACACATCATCTACAACCATGGAAACTTTATAACTATCAGAAGACAGCTATTGTATTGTGCGTACTAATGGCTAAAGAGCGCCCTCTATTGTTAGACTTCAACAGTTGAAAAACAATTAATTAATTAAAAAAGGTTAATGCATTATGTAACCAAAATTGGGTAAATTAGATGGTTAGTTTATTCTTTTCACTTCTGTTAAAAAAAAAAGAGGAAAGTGGAAAAGTTACATACAGGAATTAACAATTTACATGATTAACAGATGCAATGTAACTATGACAACTTGCGTGAAAGAAAATGTTTGCAGGTGGTGATGTGAGGTGAAGTGCTAGTCTATTTATTCTACACTAAAATAGTGCATTTTTTTATGTAAGCTATTTGACTTCCTTAATTTTTTGAACTCACATTTTTTTGACACATTTTATGAACCGCACAGTGAACTGCCAGGTATGTTATGACCTTAACCATGTTAACAAAATACACTTTGGTAAATTCAAAATCTAATGCAGTTTTGAGTTTGCGCAATTTTTTTTCAAACTTGTGATAGTGGTGATTCGTTACATTTCATCTTTTGCCAATTTTTATATCAATGAGTATTTTCATACACATGGGGTGGGGGAGGACAAATTGACATTCCGACTGTGCATGAAGCGAACAATGAGGGCGGTATTTCATGCAGACACCGAGCGAGCAATAAGGGGGCACCAAATTGGCTGACGATGCATCATGCAGCGCATTTACCAACGTTCAGGTTCGTCTTCTGCCTCGCAATCAAATGAGCTATCGACCACGCTATCATCGTCAGCTGAGACAGCAGGGGACGAGGCGGATGGATTTGCCAGCCAAGCAAGGTCATGGAAACTGCCCGTGGGGGTGGGGGTGGGGGTGAGAGGAAAGGACAAGAAGGGGTGGGGAATGAAGAGACCAAGGGAAAAGAGATGGGAATACAGTTGGTTATTTGTATCAACTTCCAGGTCTGTGATTCTTGAGAAAAAAAAAATGAAAAACAGCAATTTTTCTGGGTGTTAACAATTTCAAAGTCGCCATAAGTTGTTTTTCAAATTGGTGAACTGAAGTAATATAGACCTGGGAAAAAGATTAATTAATTGGGTAGCAGATGTCAAACATCATATCACTTTATAAATTGCCAACTTCATATCTCTTTGCAAAAACACCCAAATGTTACATGTGCAGTTTCAGAGTGTACAAGAAGGAATTTTCAAAAAGGAAATCTAATATTGTATTTATTTCTCAACTGTCCTATATTGTTCAATGTTCCTTCATTTTCTCCATAATGGTTCTATATTTTGCAAAGTTCACTAAAAAAGAGTTTCAGTTTTTAGTCTTCCCTTTTAAATATTCTAGTTCGTCGTACAAATGTTCCCCACTTTTGAGTGTACACTTGCACTGTGTGACAGCTCAAATGAACACAAACCGACATCACTGCTCTGCAAAGGGAAAGCCCTGAAATGAAAAGGCAATTTTTTTTTAGGGAAGTTTTAGTTTTTTGAGGAAGAAAGAGTTGGGATCAAATTGTCAAAAGGTTCTACCAGAAGATGGGGTTAAGACTACAAAGCAGGATGATGATGATGGTAAATTGCACCAATTACAAAAACAACTCAAAACAAAACACAAACATATGCAAGACACTTTAAACTCAGTAAGACACGGCAAGAACAGAGGAAAGTGCCGGTTAATATAGAACACATCGGAGGGAGTTGACAGAAACGAATCTCTCATGGCTCTTACTGGGGGCGTGGCTTGTCCTCACTGGGGAGGGCGGATTGGACTCGACTGCTGCTAAGAGAAAGGTCAAGGACACTAGAAAACATGACGACGATTCTGACATCAGAAGAAGCAGACATAAGCATTTGACATTGTTCAATAGATAGACAAAAAATATGAAGGCCCTTTTTAAAAATCATTAAGAGCACATCACGAAATGAGAAACTGTGTTGGGAAACATCATTAGTATTTCAAAATTCTGAAGAAAAAAATGATCAAACAGCTGAAGCGTCAACCAAAACTATTCAACTTGTTTGTTTGACAATCAAAAATCCATGAGGCAAACCGCAAAATGCATTCCTTTATTTTCCCATGTACCTAGCCAAACCACCCTGCCTGTTACTCCCTGCACCACCCAAAACTGCCCCAGCACTCTATGATTTAAAGGACTCTCCAGTGAATAAATACAATGTAATACAAGTAACACCGGTGCTAATAGTTTCTTTCAACTATGGCCAAAAAGACATGACAATTTTTTCAACAAAGCCGGAGTCAAGTGCATTGTGTTAGAACCAATTCCCAAAACAAACTGACATATTTGCATGATGTGCTTAATGAACATGTGCTTGCCTCCACCATTGCCAAATCAAATACATTCACAGCTTATTTTGCCAGATCTTCAAGCCAAGACATCTTTTGGCACAAATTTGCTCAGTTCTTTTCCGAAGACAAAGACCTTTTCTTTCTTTAACTCTCCATTGAAATAAGTCCTTCCTTAAACATCTCATGTATTCCTGCCTATTGGGCTTGTCTCGGAGAAACTTTGGTCGCCAAAGCATGTCCATATTGTAAATCGCTTGTTTTGTTTGGTTGCTGGTCTTTGATGACAGAGTTACTTACTATTCCTTGCTGAGTTGTAGCGTGTACTCATCATTCCACGGCTGATGCTGCATGGTGTACTTCATAGCTAGGGCTGCCTTGGGGGACAGTAAGTAGGGGCAGAACACTGGATCTGAACAGGAATAAAAATGGTGACTATCAACCCTCACAAATAAAAGGCAATAAAACTAGGAGCAAAGTCCGAGCAAGGACTATAGTAAAGCCCAGTTCGCCTATCTTTGCTGGAATCCGTAATGGTCCATAGTGGTTAAAATATTTTTGTCAACAATTCAGGACCAGCATTCCAAGGTTAGTTGCTTCACTGGTTACCAATAGTTACGCACTTCATTATTACAGCAAAGCAGGGAACCAGGACCAAGAAGTCGTGTGATGACAGTTATATTTTTTTAAATTTAATTAATTCTTGTTTTAACTGGGTAGCTCATTCAGTGGAATCCACTGATCTCCCATGGGTCCCAGTAAAGAGAAGACAATGTGAAGAAATTACAGTTTTAGATGTGGGAGGAAAATCCCAGAAGAATATTCTGAGGAAAACTGAAAACCCAATCCACATGTGGCCAGGGCAGGAATCGCACCCAGGTCACAGCAGTTGAAGGCGAGGAAAAAACCGCTACGCCAACCTGACATCCCATTTTGACCAGCGTATGACTAGGAGCAATACAAAACAGCAGATTTCAAAAAGAAGATTTACAACTTTCAAAATTCAATCATCTATTACCATTTCCAAGTCTTGGATAAAAAGGTCAAATCAGTTTACCAGCAAATTCTGCATAGTCCATGGGAGAGCATGTCGTCTTGAGCTTGATGTCGTAGACTCGTATGCATCCATCGGAACTGACAATGATTGGCTTATCAGAGGCCGCCCAGTCAGCATCAATCAGCTTAGTCTGTTCCTTGGTCACCTTCATGGAACTGGTGCCTCTAACCTGAAGATGGGAAAATTATAAAAAGTAAAAAGAAAATCCTGAAAAAAATAGGGGCAACCTGCAAAATTTGTTGAGGTTGTATGTAAATTTATCATAAACTAACTTGATGACATAAAAAGTGTGCAGCACATGAATGGATAGCAGCAATTTAAAAAAAATATATAAACTTTTCAAAGTCAAGACGTCAGGACTTGCAAAAGTTGAATCAGGATTACCTCCTTGATATCCCATATGTCCAGGCCTTCGCTCCACAGACACAAGATCTTGAGATTCCCCTTGCCTGGAGCAAACTTGACTTTCTTAATGGAGGACCGATGCGTTGGATAGTTTCTGTACAAAATCAAAAGTGAAACAGTCAACAGCCTCGAGAACCCACATCCCTAGCATCCCATCAGCATCTCCCATAACCGACGTCTCTCCCTTACCTTGACACCCTAGCCTTGAGATCCCACACCCCTAGCATCCCGTCAGCATCTCCCATAACCAGGATATCTCCCTTACCTTGACACCCCAGCCTTGAGATCCCACACCCCTAGCATCCTGTCAGCATCTCCCATAACCAGCATCCCCCCCCTTATCTATACACCCTAGCCTTGCGATCTCGCACCCCTTACATTCCGTCAGCATCTCCCATAACTGACGTCTCTCTCTTACCTCGACACCCTAGCCTTGAGATCCCACACCCCTAGCATCCCGTCAGCGTCTCCCATAACCAACGTCTCTCCCTTCCAGGTCATGCAGGTGATAGACCCCAGACCGCTATCTGATGGTAGACGTGATCCTTCCTTGACCACGCTGCCTTCTACCCAGAAGTGATGCAGCATGCGGTTGCTCTCGGCAAAGAAGAAGTGTTCTCTGGTGGCCGAGGTCTGCGACAACTTGCTGTCACCACTGCCATCTAGATGGGAAAAAAATCATGTTTTGGAGCATGAATGGAATGGGAATTGCAGCTGAGCCTAATGAATCTCCTGCTCTGAATGCCGACAGATTACCAGAGTCCAGTTTAAGTATGTTTAAAATTTGGACCGAGATGCTGAGACAATAACATCATCAGTTCTCATCTCAAAATCACAAATGGAAAGGCACGAGAAATGACAATCCATCATCAGCAAGTATTCTGTAAACCAGCTTAAACTAAAGACATGTTGTCCGCCTGGTAAAACAGCTTACTTCAGGTTTCTGCAGCAGAGCAAATGTCACATTTCTTAGCAAATTTTTACAAACCTATGCTTAGAAGAGAGGGCCCATCAATGAACATATGAAGTAACTCCCAACCTCTGTGGTTGGATCTGAATTCCTTTGGAGCTTGCAATGCAGCAAACCAAGCATTTTCACAATTTTTCAATCTAGAATAAAAAAACGGGGATCGGGCGATTCTAAAGACAGACTTAGGGGCAGGAAAGGCTTGTCTAACTGAAGTATATCAGCGTATGATAATCTCTGATTACCTAAGATGTGATGGGTGCTTCCTGTTGCATCCAGCAAGGAGGAGCTACCAACAGTCTCCTGGATCGAGACGGCAGATCGCTTCTTGTGATGGGTTGGAGACCATTCCTGCAAAACAAAAAAGCATAAGAGTCCTTCTTCTGGATTTTACCCATCGACAATGCAACGAATATAAACACCGAAAGCTTGTGAGAAATATTCAAAAGGCTGCTCTTGTGACTGGAGAACCTCCTGAATACTATTGCTGATGTCTTAGATCTCCAAGACACAAAAACTCCGGCTAAAGTTAATAAGAATATAGAATAGATTAACAGTCCCAAAATGTTGAGGTCCTGTGCCCAGGCAAAGAAAACCTAATTAACCCTAATCCCTAGAGGGCATTTTGGCTGAAAACCCTGAACACAGCCACATGCAACACTTGTCTAAATGACAAGCCTGCCATGTGTAGCAAGATCCATCAGGCCAAAAAGCTCAAAGCCTAACTGCCTCAGAGTCTGAGGTTGCCAACTGCAGCAGGATACAACCGTGGCATTTTCCAATGGGACTAGCTCTCATTTTTGCATCTGACAGGGTTGGCCATAACGAGACAAACAGACAGCCGAAGTTCTTTGGAGGAATATCTCACCAGTGCCGTGACGACAGGGAAACTGGCCGGCATCTCTCTCAGGATTGTACGGTTCTTCAAATCCCAAATCTCAAAGGGCTTCTCCTTTAACATCACGATGAAGTATTGCCTGAAATCAAAACAAACAAAAATATCATTAAAAGAGATTTTAATAACAGTTGTTTTCCACATACATTCCTCAGTCAAAAATTACAAAGAAAAAATTACATACTAAAAGAAATACTGAAACACCTCTCCATATACAATCTGGAAAAAGGGAAATATAACAATGGACAAATTGACCTAAAAATTGTAAGATTCATTCTTTATTAGTTAAAAACTATAAGTTCTTTTGCAGTTTCACTTGAATGCATAAAATATTTTTTTGGAAACCAGATCAACCCATGAAACTCCTTACAATAAAACAGTATCAAATTCCTTCATTGATAAATAAAAAGAGGTTTTTAAATAAAAAATTAATCTAAAAATGTGTGCTCACTTTAAGTGTGACACTTTGATACACTCAATTGGGGCCTCATCCCCCTTGTGCCCCCGCAATGGAGTGGTACGGCCCGTCAGAAGATCAAGAAGCAATAGCTCATTGCGGACCAGACCATTGCTTGGCGGGTTGTGATAGCTGTAGGACAGGAAACTGCTCAGGCCAACCCACTCAATACCTCTGTATAGGAAAAAAGTTGTCATTAAGAGTTTTCAAAATTATTTTTGCTCAAACTCATCAATATATTCTTTCACTCATCATTAATGTTATTTTGAGAATGTTCAGTAATTAATTGAAATGAACTTTGCTGTTAATGCAGGAAAATTTAATTACATTTTTATGTTCATTATTTTTTTCTCCAAAAAATAAATAAATAAAGAACAGTTGTCAAACCTTATACAGGAAGTGTGGATGTTATATTCCCTCCAAAGAGACCCTGTCGTCAGATTATACACCTGGACAAGACCAGTGGAAGATCCTGAAACATGAAAACAGCAGGACACTTTGTTAAAGCCGTAAAAACAAGTCAGGTGTGTTTACAAACACAAATGCCCCACAACCGTGACTGTTTCCATGACATAACACCACTCTAACATCAACTTACATGTACCTTGGTCGAATGGAACCTTCATTGACAGCATTAGTGTCTTCTGTAGGTTTTATATGAATTAATCCCTAATCCCTATGATCTCAGAATAAATACAAGATTTCTATTGTTTTAGCCACTGTGACCTTGACCCTTGACCTTTCGACCCCCAATGCGATAGGCTCCTTAGGATTGCCAAGGACAATCCACAAACCAAATTTGAAGTTCATATGTAAAGTATATCTCAAGTTATCACGCTGACAAAATTTCTTTTGTTTTTGCCACTGTGACCTTGACCCTTGACTTTTTGGCCCCAAATGCAAAAGGCTTCTTAAGATTGCCAAGGACAATCGACAAACCAAATTTGAAGTTCATATGTAAAGTATTTCTCAAGTTATCGCGCTGACAAGATTTGTCCGGACACACACACCCACCCACACCCACACCCACCCACCCACCCACCCACACACCCACCCACGGAAGGACAAGGCGGAAACAGTATGCCCCTTCGGCTTCGCCACGGGGCATAAAAAAAGGAATTTAGGTTATAACCAAAACATTTGCAGGCATAGCAATCTAACACCAGGTACAACACGCTCACAAACAATGGTTACATGTACATAAAGAGACAAAGCCTTTGATTGGTGGAAATGCCAAACTATATCAGCATAGATCTAGGGTAACACACCAGACCTATGCAGCCCAGAGAACATCCAAATCACAGGCAAGCAGAGCCAGACGATGGACCAGTTGGTAGTACTACACACGTTCTTTATAAGTTATACAAGACAAGGCAAGTCCAGTGAAGCTGGTCCCAGAGTGCACGAAAATCTATTCAACTGATTCAGAATTGCTCAAAAGTTTGTGAAATAAACTGTAGCGATTAAAGTATAAACACCTGACTTACTGCCTATAGATGTATCATGAAAGTACATGAAACAAGCGGCGCCAGACTAATGCACATGTTGTGTAGGATCCTACATCAAAAAACCTTGCAACGCTGGTCCCAGTCTAAGTTGTAAGTCAGTCAGTCAGTCAGTCAGTCAACGAGTGATATAAGTACAAAGAAGACCCTAGCCTGGCCCTCTGGGATCAGCACAGAACCTGTCTATCTCACCTAGCGCAACAAGTGGCTTGTATTTATGTATGTTCCTCGTCGTCACCGGCGGGCACATACGAATGACGGTCGGCACCGATGCTACACCACAACTCAGGCCAGTCAAGACAAACTTGAGTATGACACCGCGACCCTGCTGCGGTTGGGATCCATTAGAGTCTCCAGTAATGTCTGTCTGGCAGATCAAATCACCCAATGACATCTGTAAATGAAAATATCAAGTATGGATATTAATGCCTATAGCGCTGAACTTTGCCGAGTACTTTGAAGTTCAGCATTTTGAAGTGAGTTAAGAAAGACTAGTTCCAAATCCCTTCAATGTATTATAGACTGTAAGGAGAAGGGAACCAGTCTGAATATTATTCTAACTGTTATACATTACATGCAACTTGGTTGTATAATTCCTAAAAGAAATACCCAATTTGGATGCTAGAAACTACTTGGAAAAGATCAGTGGTCATGCGTCTAGCTTAACTCTTTGTAAAATAAGTAATTTTTTAATTTATTAATGACGGATAAACACTCCAATTCAACTATTACTAGCACCTTCATTCTCAGCCATATTACAAAGATGACGTGTGATTGATTTGCAAATATCCATCAGACAAAAACCCAAATACACACCCTGACAAATACCCCGATACTAACCTTTGGGTGTGGCAAGACCTGTCGGCCTGTATTGGACAGCGGCGGGAGAAACTCAAAGTCGCTGTTGGTGACCCCAGGCACGACCCCGGGGGAGTAAAGCGGCGACAGGACCATCTGGGTGTGGACATTGGTGGTGCTAGTCGGGACATGATTGACCGTCATGAGGGACCAGACCAAGAGTCGACCATCGCTCATGAGGAGACCCATCTGACGCTCGGTGGACATGCAGCACGCCAGGCCGAACGCTCGCATGTGTTTGGTGACCCGTAGAGGGTCTGACTGACAGCGGAGGTCGTAGATGACGTCGTGAGGGTCGTGAGAGAGGAGGGAGTCACCACCTATTGAGTGGGAATTACAGAAATTGCAGTATTACAAATTAAATTTTTAAAAATGCGTGAGAGATTCCTTCAAACTTTATTGCATTGAGCCTCATGAAAATGTCACACACAAAAGTAACAATTTAATGTGAAATGGAACTTTGATGTTTTCAAGTTTAAGAGTAAAAGCATTTGAAGCAAAAGCCTTACTTTTGGAAAAAATTAACTACATACGCATTTAAAAAGCTTATATTGTGAGGGGCCTTTACTATTTGCTGTTGCCGACCAAATAAAATAGAAAACATGTCTAAAAGCATACTTTTGGTGTATCCACCTCAACACAGATGTATCTGAATTCATGGGGTTAGTTTTAGAAATCAGGTCAGTGTTTTAGTACCTGTTAGTCCCACAAAGTTACCGATTTGATCGACAGGCGTTGCCGCGCTGGGGCTAGTAGACCGCGGACGGCGACGCACTCTGACACTTATGCTCCCGTTCTCATGAAGACAAAGTAGAACATCACGTTGCCTGATTTGAAAACAAAACAAATGTCTTTGATGATTTATGTGTTTCTCCACAATTTTCAGGTGATTTTTTTTTGTATATAGACACAGATATGATAGATACACAATGGTCTGATAGATGTCTCAAGGACACCACTTAATCTTTGTCCTTACTATGTCTACAAAATGTTGGATATCTCATAATACTCAGGCAAAAGTAGACAGACCTCTTGGAAAGGGTTGCCACTACGTTCTGTGGGGATCATCCAGATTATCTAATAGATCTCTAGGTCTAAGAAATGACATTCTGTCATCCAGACAAATGACTCACTTGCAGGGGTAGACCTGTTGGAAGGGGCTGCCGCTACGTTCCATGGGGATCATCCCCACCGTCTGATAGATGTCTAGGTCTAGGATGAGAATCTCTCGAGGGTAGACAAGGAGGAGATGTTGCCTCCGTGACTGGAGATAGGTCATCTGGAGACATTCGTTGAGAGTGATGCTGTCTGTGTCCTCCACGCCTAACTGAGAGCTTCTAGAACGTGTAAGACATCATCAGGGAATCATTTTATTGAGAGAACAATACAAGTCACTCTGGTCAAGTCTCAAGTCACTCTGGTCAAGTCTCAAGTCACTCTGGTCAAGTCTCAAGTCACTCTGGTCAAGTCTCAAGTCACTCTGGTCAAGACTCAAGTCATTCTGGTCAAGTCTCAAGTCACTCTGGTCAAGTCTCAAGTCACTCTGGTCAAGTCTGAAGTCACTCTGGTCAAGTTTCAAGTCACTCTGGTCAAGTCTCAAGTCACTCTGGTCAAGTCTCAAGTCAATCTGGTCTCGTTTCAAGTCACTTTGGTCTTAAGACTTAGGTGCCAAGACTGAATTTGCTCAGAAATGAATACCTGGGTTTGTTGTCTCCAACCAAGAGACGAACCCTCCTAAACCGGTGACCAATCTTCTTGTCTGCCCCGCCTGATAGGTTAGTGCTGCTCGTTGAGGGACTGGGACCACTGGTACCCGGCGTGGTGATGTAGAACTTACGGCCGTTGCTAGACGGTGATTTATTGATGCTGAAGTCATTGAGGAATAGGATGCAATCATTGCCCAACACTGAAGAAAATGATCAGATAAAAGGTATTGCAGATTCTCAAGTTTTCTCTCCCCTTTTCAAATGATGACTATCGCCCAATTTTATGGCACTGTTAAAGAAACAATTTTCTTCAAAAACAAGCCTTGTAAATTTCACATGAACTACAACAAGCGCATGTATGTATTGCCGAATTTACTAAACAATTTGATGCAACAATAGAAATCTGCATGAGTAGCCAAGTGTTAGCACTTATATGTAGTGAATTAGGCTTAGGGTTAGGATAACTTTTTCTGCTATCAGAAGTTTTATGCTTCCCGTCATTAAACGTAGTGTAATGAAATTGGCACCAGGTTATACGACAGCTCCTACGTAAAAATATTGCAAATTTCAGATTTATGAATTACGAACTTTTCAGTAAGCTTTGGGAGTATTTGACTCATTATAAATTTCTGCCAGAAATGGGTTTCTTACAGGCAAGGTTTGAAGAGTCAAATGGGTCAAAGGTCATGGAGATGATGTTATCAGTAAACGTCTTCTTCCACAACTTGATGCCGGTGTCAGCGTTCCACAGCACGATGGAGTAGGGAGGATGCAGGGCGACCAGGAGATCATGTGAAGCATCCTGGGTTGATAACCACTCCAAATCTGATGACAAATGTTGAGAAAGTCATGTATTAGACACGTACGACAAGTAACATTGATTATTACAACTATTCTTTCATCGATTGATGTTCAAATGCCTCACAGAAAAACAAGGATCTACGCCGCATGCCTGAGGCACATACTAATGCCAAACCAGTTGGTTGTCATGTTGTACCAGGGAAGTAGTACTTAAAGAATATCTCCTGGACTCTCAACTGTGCAACGGTGGTGATCACAAGTCAGCTTGCTTGTGGTACCATACTAAAATACCATCATGACAGACAAATTATTATACGCATCCTGGACAAGGGATTACCCACAGAATTTGTTTCATTTTGATTATGAAGCTTAACCCTAACCCCCTAGGCCCTTTTGGCTAGGAACCATCCTCAATCCTGCAAAATCCTCCAATTGCCACCATGTTACAATTGGATTCAGCCTCAATCCTCCAAAATCATCCGTAATATCTTGAATGTGTTTAGTGGAGGGGTGACCGTTGCCTAAATTCTTCAAAATCCTTCAACAGTCGCTGTTAATGGGTTGAGGCAGCGCCGATGACATTCAGAAGCAGTGCGGATGATATTGGGCATAATGCAGGGCTCAATAATGTATGGCTGAACATCAACTCTGCAGGACACAACCTTCAAACTCGACACAATGCATCCTCCCAAATCGACCGACATATTTTTGTCAAACAGCCTCAATCCTCCAACATCCTCCAAAACCATTTGGAGATTCTGGAGGATTGAGGACGGTTAGGGTTAACATATACCAGATGTAATAAAACAAATACAACATGGGTGATTTCAGAAAAGAAATGGGAACCAATGGTGTTGGCTGATTTTGATAGACTGCATCCCCTTCACACAGGGAGGTACTCACATCACCCAAAACCTCAGGACGAGTAGTCTCCCACTACTTCCCGACAAACCATGTTGTATTAATGTCCTGACCTCAATATTTTTTAAAGTTAACCCTAACCCCCCAGCGTAATTTACTAGGAACCGTACCCATTCAGGCAAATTCCAACACCCACATGGGAAATTGTACACACACACTGTTGGACTTAGTTTCTGGAGGTATGCCAACCCCAGTGTAAAAGACCATCTGTTTAGGGGTACTGTACCTATCCCAACAGATTTAAACACAAACCTGCTGTTGAAGTTTGATGGGTTGTGTTCGGTTAGGGTTAATAAAAATTAGCTGACGATACCTAAGACCGGTTTGCTTCCTTCGCTGAAGCTGGCCCTCTCCGAGGCATCCTTGACATCCCAGACAATGATCTGACCTCCTGCATCGGCCGAGGCAAGCCTCAGCGTGTACGGAGCGTCGATGGTGTGGTGGTAGTTCTCCCGCGCCCATTTCACCTTCACAACGTTACTCTTGTGCTTCTCAAGTGTCTGGATGACCTACGAGTTTTAAGTCACAAAGAAAAATGGTGTCTAGCAAGAGGGTGAAATAATGGTTGAATATCGGACGTTACAAATATCTGTGATGACAATTTTTCTAATGAAGGTGCATTTGACACATCAACATTGATTGTGCTAGGTTATATTTATCTGGGCAGTTTTGGGGTCTATCTTTTCTCTCTCTTCCAGCCTACAAAAAGCAATAAAAAAATCCAAGATTATTGAAACAAGTATGAGAACAATTTTTTTGGTGGGGCAGACTGGGACCATTTCCTTGAAGGTGGTGAGAAGAAAATGTTGCCTTTGACAGAGATTCTTCTGGTATCGAAACCTTAGGCTGTATACATGTACATTTTTTTTTATAAGAAAATATTTCTTAAGAAATTCACGTGTTGTTGAGCAAATTGAGAACCAGTTACTTACAACACAAACGTCACATGCGATTTGGGTTTAATCTGCTGTTGCAAAGCACATATTTTTTGTTGTACTCACCTGTACAGCTTTAGTGTCAATCACTACCACAGACGTGTGACAGCCATACGCAACCAATGACTGCCAACCCCTGAAAATAGAAGATAAAAGAGAAAGAGGCAACTTTTTGTTATGTGAAATTGGAAGGAGTAAACACGTGAAGAGATATTAATTATTATGGAGATCGTGTAGTCATGGTAGTGTAGGGCCCGGTTCTAGTACTATACATGTAAGGGAACAAAATGGCGACATTCTCAATAAACAGGTATGTCATAGATAGAGGGCAGGGTTTTGATTTTTTAAGGGAAATTTTGGGGTAAAATGATGACAGCGCGGCGACAACACGCGACCCGAAAATAAAGATGGCGATCACCGCGCGATGTTCCGTGAGCATGCACGCCACACTGAATGGCAAGGCACAAACCGCGCAGGAAAATCGTGACTTCTACCCCAAGTCAACTGTTCAAAATTGCAAAACGCGTGCCATTAGAATTGAGAAATGTCTGCTTTTGATTGTAAAGGTGATTTTTGAGCAATAAAACTTTTTTTAAAAGACATTTTTGACTCTAAATCTAATTTGATCAAAACAAAACGGGGGCCCTACACTTAGATCGCCGATATGGTCCATAGAGCAAGGAACAGAAAAAAATCTGTTCCTTGCTCTATAACACTGTAAAGTATGAAAGAAAACAAGAGGAGCAACTATAGAATGCAGGGCCACGCCGAAGCAAGGTTTTTTATTTTGCCTGGAGGCGTGGATGGAATAGGAGTAATAGATATGCAAACCTGCAAAAAAGTGCTAAGTACAGCGAAGGAATGCACTGCACTTGTCTTTTAAGCTTCTCATGAAGGATCGGAAGGGAGGGCGTGCTTGTAAATGTTTTGGGGGCACTGTCTGGAGCGGCGGAGGCGCGGAGTCTTGGAGTCGCAGAATCGCGGAGACGCGGGGCACTGGAGTGGCTAGTGGCGGAGGCGCGGAGTCGCGGAGTCGCAGAGACTCGCGCCGATAGAGGGCGCAATTCTCGGCGGAATTTTTTTGAGAACGAAGCATCCATATCCATTTTAAATGGGCGGGCCAATTAGGAAGGGAGGAGGGCGACAGGGCACTGTCTGGAGCGGCGGAGGCGCGGAGTCTTGGAGTCGCAGAATCGCTTTAAATGGGCGGGCCAATTAGGAAGGGAGGAGGGCGACGGGGCACTGTCTGGAGCGGCGGAGGCGCGGAGTCTTGGAGTCGCAGAATCGCTTTAAATGGGCGGGCCAATTAGGAAGGGAGGAGGGCGACGGGGCACTGTCTGGAGCGGCGGAGGCGCGGAGTCTTGGAGTCGCAGAATCGCGGGGCACTATACACTGGTGGCGGAGGCGCGGAGTCGCGGAGTCGCAGAGACACGCACCGATAGAGGGCGCAATTCTCTGCGTGACGCGGGGCACTAGCACTATACACTGGTGGCGGAGGCGCGGAGTCGCGGAGTCGCGGAGTCGCAGAGACACGCACCGATAGAGGGCGCAATTCTCTGCGGCTCCACGACTCCACGATCGATTTTCGGAGGTAGGTCGACTGCGGTTCCACGCCTCCACGCAGCCGTACGGAGGCGCGGATGTAGAGTAAAGTGGCCCTGCATTCTATAGTTGTACCAAACAAGACAACACTTTTGCCATCCCCCTTTGCCCGAACAAAATTTAAAGAAACCATATTTATGTGTGTCTGGTGCCCAGATCCTTCTGCAATCGCCGCCCGACTTACACATTTAGTCAGTGCCCCAGTTGCCCCCAACCTGTCCACGAAATTAACGAAAGAAACGAAACTAAAAACACTCACCAGTCACACGCATTCTTATTTTGGCTATGTAAAGCACCAGTTATTGTCCTTGGAAAGATGTTCATATTGATTTCTTGAAAATAAATACTAGCCCGTGGCTACGGTGATGAAATTATCACAATTTAATCATGTTGGAAACGAGACAGAAAGAACGAAACAGATTTTCACTTCATCAACATAAAATTCGCACGCCAGTATATCACAGTCGGTTACCTTACACGTAATACATTCACTTCTACATATACACGGCAGGGTGTACGACCTAACACCAAGTAGTGGGTGGGGCTGCCATCATTTTTTTTTTTGTGGCAGAAATGGGGGCTGGTTCAAGGAAGAAAAATGTTTTTGTTTGTTTGTTTGCTTTGAGGGGGGGGGGGATGTTGTGTTAGCCTCCTGGATCAGTATGAAAGTGGCACTTTCCCAATAACTTGGGTCCAATTCGCAGTTGCAAAGAGGGGGGGGGGGGGGGGGATGCACCATGGCACTGAAGGTGTTCTCATTTTCTGGAGGGACTTAGGCCCATCGTTTTTTGCTTTCCTCAAATAGACCTTATGCATAGCACATTAGCAGCCATTTTAGAGGGCAATGCATTTGTTTTGCTAGGATGAGTGAACCTTTTGTACATGCATTGTTACTAAATTAAAACAGAAAAGATGCCTTTTAAGGCATAAGGTCTATTCTAAGTAGGGGGACATGAGGGTGGGAGGGGCCTCAGGGTGGGAGGGGCCTCAGGGTGGGGGGGGGGGGGAAGACTGCACTCTTCCCCAACCATTTAAAAATTTGTCACACTGTGGATTTGGGGTCAGAAAAATTGGTCCGAGTATCAAGATATCTGACTAAAACTTCATTATTTGCCAGCATTACATTGACTCGCATCATTATTATTAAAGTGAGTTTTTTTAGTAATCAATCTTTTCTTGTTTTTTTCTTGGGGGGGGGGTGATTGCTTCAAAACAACAAAAACCAACAAACTGAGACGATATTCTTTTGTGTCAGTATATACTTGTGTTATTATTAGAAAACACCAAGTTCTGTACAGAGGGAATTACAATACAAGACAAAACTCGAAAGGTCATTTGGCAAAGATCCTCTAAACAATTAGTACTTGATAGAAAGACTTTTGTTCAAAGATGAGTGAAGGCTATAGATATTTCTTTTTAAGAAACTACTTTTATTTAAAACAAAAACAGAGAATCAATATTGTATTATTTGCAAACTCAAATACATCAATCTACATGTATATAAAGGACAGACATTTGTAATTTTTATCACAAATATTCCACAGACTTTCCCTTCTTAATGTTTTTTTCTGCTATTAAAATTTAGCAAATCCAAGGTGAGTGTATTTGTTCAAAAGGCTGGTTTGTGCAGTTTCAAGCAAATGAAAGGAATTTGTGGACTGCAAAACTCTTTTTAGAATGTTGAAACTGCAAAGTTGTACTAAAATTAAGAAAGGAATTTCATAACTAACCCAAAACTAAAAACTATGTTGTACATGTACATCATATTGCACTGCAACTACAGAACCATTTTTTTTTCTGAAATGTTCAATTATTTTAGTTAACTTACGGTTAGTAAGAATAACATTTATTACTTCGTTTCTACAGGTTTTCACCTGTGCATGTTCAGTGAAATAAACAAAACAAACATCTTAGCAACATTTGGCTGAATTTTAAGATGTATAAGGCAAGTTAGCAGTTCTGATGTGTAGCACTTAAAATCTCACCCTCTACTTATATTTGTGAAGATATAAAAATGGTTAGGTGTTAACAAGAGACTGACATTTATCACAACACACTTACGGGGTCTAAAAAAAACTAAAGCTACAAAACTATAAACAAAACCAAATGCAAAAATATTTGTGATTGTCTGGGTAAGAACCATTTTGCAGACCTAAACGGAAATATCAGGTACAAAACTGGAAAAATAAACACGGTACTGGAAATGTGAAAAACAAATGACACAACATTGGGTGTTAGGATAAATATTTTGGCAACAAAAGTAAACAGTAACTGGGACTTGAGTCATAAACTGCTGATTTGTACTATAAATTAAGTTTCCTTAGACAAAATTTTCTGAGTTGCATTTTTACATCAGTGGTTTGTAGCATCACAGTTTTAGTGTGTAAGCTTTTCAACCTTTTTTATACTTTTTTTTTTTTTTTTTTTTTTTACATATTCACATACTTTGTGTTATTTCGAGACCATTTCTTTTCTGTGCAAATATGGGAACTGTGATAAAATAGTATTGAAAATAGGAACTTGCAGACTTGATTATCATGTTTTATTCATGCACTATTCACAAACCTATCAAATAGCCAAAAAAATTATAATTCAAGAAATATATATTTTGCTTGTTTTTTTTTATCAATTTAAACAAAATTTAAATTCGTCCACTTTTATATTTTTATAGCGAAAGATACACACCACAAACCACTATTTCAACATCTTGATCTTAATCTTACTTCATTTTGGGTATTAGTTTTGTCACTGAGTAGCACTTTACTGATTTGAATATTAAGGCCAATTATTTACCAATTTATATTTTATCTCAACCGGAATTTATTTGAAAATCTCTGCTCTACGCAACTGAATAATGATAAAAAACCACAAAGGCAAAAAAAAAAGTCTCCGGTTTCTGGTATGGAGCTTGCCCAAAATGTGGTGCGGCGACGCGGCTTTTTTTTACCTGATTCTTTTGCTTCAAATGTCGGCTGATGACTGCAAATGGTGCCCGACTAAACTTGGTGCAAATATATGGGAGTCCAGAGAGGCCATATAAAGCTTATTCTCGACCATAACCCAATCTAAAAACACGTTAAAATTGTGCAGCAGCAGGATTCCAGTCAAACCAGTGAGTTTGGCGGTTTTGAGACATCATCTTTCATTGAAAAAAAAAAACTTTTTCAGTTTGCCGACACGCATGGCTACGGCGACGTGCGCGCATACCAGAAACCGGAGACTTTTTTTTTTTGGCCAAAGCTTTCTTTCTTAGATTGCTATATGTCAGGGTTAAATGGATTCGACCCTGTCAAAATGAATGCCAAGTTGAAAAAAATAAAACGCTGAATACATGTTCACGTATCATTTCAGATATGAATGATTTTGGCGCCTTCCGATGTCTGAAATGCAATTGATGTTCCCGAGCAAATATGCAGTCCAGGAAACAAGTAATATGTTTCAGCTGATGTGTCGAGTACTTGCATAATGAGACAAGTGGGACGAAAAATGATCGATAACGAGTTGTGTTATTCAAAAATGAACTGCAAATGTTTGATGTTTCATGAAAATTTTGATGTTCCATGAAAATTTTCATGATAATTTTTAACCATGCTTCATTGCAGATTCCACAGTATCCTTGACCTTTGCTCTGATGAATTAAAAATACAGAATGGCTAACAATTTTTTACTCCTTTGGAAATCCAAAACAAAGTTGCAACAAAAATTCTGCAAAACATCCTGCCGATAAATAAAATGGATTTCATAAAATACATGAAATGGCAATTTTTAAATGTCTTCCTTCACTGCTGTTTAGGCTTTTTGAAAAGGTAGTACATAAATACAGTAAATGCAATATTGTATAGCAATTTAATAATTTATCTACAAATTCTCTTCTGTAAAAAGATGAATGCTTTCATGAACTGAATGTAAAATTAGGTTTCAAGTTAGGTAATAAATTGCTGTACACCTCTAAGCTTTACTTGATATGATGGCCATGATATACTTTCTCCTAAATCCATATCCCCCACCCCAAACAGCCCAAAAATATCCACACAAACAAATGTGTTTTTGTTAAATCAAGTCTAAATGAAGGTCATCTAAAACCAGAGCAATAGTTTTATGTATTACAAAGGATGAATTCTCCATTAAGGTGTCACCTCAACAAAACACCCTCGTTGAAACTTGAAATAGTCCAAAAAGGCTCTTTTGGGGGATCTATTTTGATGACGCCCTGTGACTCTTTTTTTTTTTGAAAACTGATACAGTGAGTTGTCACTTCCCCCCAGTCTACACCTGTGACAGTCACGTTGGTGTGCTATAGGCCTCCTTAAGGCCAAGTCGCGCCCCGCATTTTTGTGTTTCCATCACGTTCATCCGGGAAAGAAATCCAAAACCGACACTAGCAGGTTTTCGGAACTACCCTGAATAATTGGGCTGGTTGGGGCGTCCAGGCCAACCTGACACAAAACGAGCAATGAACTCGTTAACCAAGGCAACACGATTAATCATTAATTATCAGACATTAATCATTCATTCCCCCACTCCAACCAACAGGCTCAGATGTTCGTGACTGTAATATGGGAACCCCTTCCACGACAACAAATGTATTTTGTTTCCGCGACAGAAAAATGAATTTGCGACTGAGAAATGAGTATTTTTTTACTTTCCTTTTGTTCGTTTTTCTGAACGAGGTCAGGTGTGGTATTTATTAACGAGCCGTGACTATGAATGAGGTTAAGAGAGCACTGGGTCGGCTCGGCAAATGGAAGTGACAGGTTTGGGAATACTTGAAATAACATTCACAACAGTCTAAACCCAAATGCCGTTTAGGAATAAGTAGACCATCGAGTGCAATTTATTTCCCAAAACACTGAAATATGAGTGCAGTGCTTTGCTCTTATGTGTCTTCAAGAACATCTGTTACTAGACACAAGAGAGGCCGTTTAATTTCTCACAATCCATGGCCTTAACTGTCCTTACCATTTTCGTCATTAAAAAAAAACCCAAAACCTAAAAAAATAACAAGATTCTGCCGTCAAATATCACACAGAAATACATAAGAACTCTTTTTTAATTCAAAAACACACAGCGAGACATATCCAAAAGGCTTGGGATAGACAGTCACACATAAAAAAATTATCTTGTAAAAAAAAAAACCACGAACATCAGAGTTTCACCTTTTTTCCCTTTTTTCTTAAAATATGTAAAGAACAATTACTTCTTAGCAAGAACATATTTGTACTGATTCAATATTCAAATTTAATAAGATTGTTTTTCAGAAATGGAACAACCATAAACCATTAATTCAAAAGTTTACGATTTAACAACCCCCCCCCCTCCCCAAGAAAAGTGATTATCGGTTATGAATACCCACTTTGAATGATCACTTTTACAAAATGCAAAAACATCCGTATGTTACTTCGAACAATTATTTTTTCAACCATACAAACACACAAACTCTTTTGACTGTTCATTTAATATTCCCACAACTACATATTCATGGTACAGAGAGTATACAGACATTTTCAATAGTCAAAAATATAAATGCAGACAGCATACAAACTGGGTACAAACTGGCAATTTGAAGTTCTACACCAAAACTCCTTGGCAGTTTGTGGGGGTTTTGGGTTTTTAAATCTTGTCAATTGCACAGATTTAGAGTGGACATTTCGACAAGGTGAGGTAGGCTTTCTTCTGAAGCAAGGACTCACACTGGATAAATAGATTTAGCTGGATTTGTTCCGGAAAAAAATTAACCGATAAATTTTGAAATATTTAATGAGGGAAACTGCTGGTCTTATCCAGAGCAGTTTGCATGATAAAGCGCCCGACTTTACTCATTTCTTTTTGTTAATTCACAGTCATTGATCAGAGACTTATCTTTCTACCTAAAGTGGAAAAAACATAAAGGGGAAAAAACAAACAACAAAATAATAACAAAACCCTTAAAAAAACCAAGCTTGTAAGCACACAAACTAGTGCATTAAATCTTTAACAAAATTAATATTTTAACAAACATATCATACTTGTATGTTCTTTCTGACCCTCCCGGTGATAAAGTCAGTTGGAAACAGAATCTGCCTTTGTGATAAAAAGTCTTCAAACAACTGATTCCAAGAAAACACTCTTAAGCCAAATTTTTAATTCACAGATATTCAATATATGGTTAAAACAATTTCCAAACATGCAATTGTGTGTGTTTTCAGCACAATACTTAGATTGTCCTTAAAAATCCCCCCCCCCCATTTGGTATTAAGAAGTAATTTCCCCCTTATTTGCCAAGGGACTTTACAAGTTGAGCTTATGATTTATGCAGCAATTGGAAAGAATGTTGCATCCTGACGCCACTTTTTTTCATCGTCACAGGAGGTCAGTCATAGCAAAAATGTTGAAAAAGCATGAATCTGGCACTGCAAAACATTTCCAATTTTGTTAGAAAATATTGTGCAAATGCACTCGACTCACTCTCCGTAGACTTTGTATACACAACCAAAGCAGTGGTGTCTGGATACGACATTCTTTCCCAGCAGATTCACCAGAGATCACTAGAGGAGGCGTCTGTGCGTGGATCCTATGTGGTTTCGTTTACTCATTAATGTTTCAGTCTCATCGTGGTGCTTTACTGTAGTGGTTTAAAGTGCTGCCCTTACGAGTGGAAAGTGCAGTTCCATGTACTATTAATTGAAAGTGAGATGGCACATTGCACTTTGAAGGACGTTGTACTAAAGTACACCTAACTGCCATTGGAATGCAAATATGTTTAACAAATGCATACATGACCAAGGTGGTTCGGCAAATCAAAAAAAGCGTCAATTGGGAAATTTAATAAATATTTAATTTCTTTTTAATATTAAATTCAATCTAAGAGACGTGAACATTTAAAATCCAATTACGGAGAGGTGTTACCCGATCTATTTATCAGAAAAGATGATTTTGACAGGTTTGAAGTGAGACGGTGGAGTCCAGAATGGCCATCTTTGTCTGGTATCCTGAGAGGAAGGCAGTGTCATAGCAGTGAATGTGGGGCAAAAGTGATAGCACCAGCCTATATGTGCGATGGTATGCTTTTATACGGTGCTTTTATAACATCACTCAGTGGGATTGTAGACAAAAAAATGATGCAATTTAATATGTGATGTCATTTCTATCCTATTCCGTCCCTAAATTTTGTTTAACCGTTAAAAGTTCCCTCTTTTTCAAGAGTCAGCACATTGGCACTACCTTTTCTTCAAGAGAATAGACTTTCTTCAAGAATATATTAATGTATCTTTAACATGATTCTTTGTATATCAATCAAATGAACTTAATAGGTATACATGCACAATTCTGTATGCACCACAATGCGGTATCTAAAAACTGGTTCCTACCTGTCTGCAAATGTATAAATATAATCTGTTCTGCGAAGTCGGCGCCCTCAGAGTTGGCAGACTGCCAGATTGAGCAATGTTCTCCCGAAGAATGATTTACGAAATGTTTGTCGCTGGTTTACTGACAGGCACTCACCATGTGGGACAAAAATATTGATACATTTATTGGAACAGACTGACTAAGGCTTTCATATCTCCAGGCACCGATAAACATTACGGAGGATGGGGGAGGACATGTTTGTTGCTGCTCGTTGCAGCGCGATAATTCTTCGGAACATGCCGAGTTGTGTTCCGGAATGGATTTACAAGTGATGACTGTTTGATGTGGTGGGGCATGGTTGTTAAAATGGCATGCACAGGAACTGCTCCAGGCAGTTTGTTTCGAGTTTGCACGGTCAAGCTTCTTGAAGCAAGCTTGTCACTCCGTTAAGGATCATGATCTTATTTAAACCCACAGTCACATGTACATCTTTATTTTCATTGAATGCTACCTGGTTCCATGGGATCCTACAAAGAGTGACGGAAGTTCAAATCTAATTTTGAAACCTAATCTAAAAAGTGGGATACGGTTTTGCAGATTGACTGTTTGCCATTCCCAATCCCCCCCCCCCAGGATTTGGCCCAGGATTTTAAATTCTTAGCTCCAGTGGTGCACGGGGGGGGGGGGGGGGGGGGGGGGGGGGGGGGGGGGGGGGCTGTCTCGGGGGGCTTCAGCTTCAACACACAATGACTGAAAAGTAAACGTACCGCAGAACCTTCTAGCAAATCTTTAAGGTTCCTTCGTACACTGTAAACAGTCAACATTTTCACATTTTGTCTCGGGGGGCTTCAGCTTCAACACACAATGACTGAAAAGTAAACGTACCGCAGAACCTTCTAGCAAATCTTTAAGGTTCCTTCGTACACTGTAAGCAGTCAACATTTTCACATTTTGAGCTTTCCACAACATACAATACCTAGCCCAATTTGACAGCTAAAACCCCATTCCCTGGACAGCTCCATTATAATTGTCTTTTCATAAAAGAAAAAGCTTTAAAATGCCGCTCCCTTTTTCCCAGACAAGCTTAAGTTCAGCAGTCAACACTAAGTGCTCAATACAGTTTCCATGGAATTTTGCATGTGACTTGTGTGTGTGTGTATCAAAAACAGCATAGCGATCCGCTTAATGGTGCAATCGTTGTGGGAATCATTTGGCAAATCATGCTTGGCCTCGAGGCAGTGAAAATCTAGCTCACAAAATTCCCAGTGGCCCAAAGGGAATGCTACTTATCTTTACTGGCTACTACAATTTACGTTTGTGACAGAGACCTGGGAACTACAGAAATAGGAGAAGCACATCAAACGTACCAGATGAAAAAAAGAAAAAAAGAACAGAAATGATGTATCACAGTGCTTGTTACAAGACATTCAAATAACTTACTTTTACAGATTGCTTCATGAGAACAGCTATATACATTGTGTAGTTTTTATACGTTCGTAATTTACGGTGTACAAATAAATACCTATCTAAATTCTTGTTCTTTACAGAAAAATTGGTTAGAATCCACACAGGGATGGTCAGTGTAAAAACTACACGCACCAAGCAGGAGTCGAACCTGCAAAACACTTGTTGTGGGTCATTAATCAATCAAATCAAATCCAGTTGAGATGATTTGTATCGTGAGTTGAGCACCTTTTTTTGAGTTGAGGTTTCCAAATGGTGGGAGTTGTCACTCAATTTTTGCATATTATTAACAGCGAGTATAGCACTACAAGAGTGACATAAGCACCCAAAGGATCCAGCGACCTTTGCATAATAGGTGTCATGTGGGGGTGGGGAACCTATTTCCCCAGGGTAGGGAGGACCAATAGCTCTCAGATCCGGTTTCAACGGACCTGTGCTGAGCAGAATATGTAGCAAGCCAAATCTTTCTGCGTATCAAACCAGCTAACAGCTAGCCGGAAAAAATTGTTTAAACATCAGATTTTCCGTGCACTTTTACACAAAGCTGCAAGTGTTGCACACGGCTCAAATACTTTCGTTGAAAGCAAGGCAGTGACATTTTGCAGAGGGGAGTGTAAGGGGTCGTGTGCCCCCCACTTTTGAGACTTTTATCCCCTTGCTCGTCCACTTGTAGCTCCACAAAGGCTTATTTACATTCTATCCCCCTTCCTTATACATAAACATTCAACCAGCGCAGTTTTTTTAAAGTCCTGCTCCTCGCATTTCAAAATTGCAAAATTAACAACAGAATCCCCTGTTCCGATCAACGGTGACCATATATACGCACCAGGAATATACCTATACCATAACTGTGGTGAGAAAAACTAATATTAATCAGATATAATTTCATATGTATGTATATATATATATATACAGATATGACAGTCTACATGTGTTACTGCTGAACTGTTGGTAGTTCTGTTTGTTTATTGGAACCTGAAGGCGCCGATGGTTGTTGTTGTTGTTGTTGTTGTTGTTCTTGTGGTTCTTCTAGTTGTTGTTGTTGTTGTTGTTGTTGTTGCTCCTCTTGTTGGTCACATGTGTTTTCGGTGAGGGGTACCGGCGTGTCAATACTCGATGTTGTGATACCGCCTTCCACTTCTTGGTTGGTGTTCCCGTCTTCCATTCTCACTTCTTCTTTCGTTTCACTGCTTTTGGTCGTTTCTTTTTTATTAGGCCTGTTGGAAGAAGAAGGATCCTAAGTTAATATTATGTGATAAGAGTATGGCATATAGATTAGTGTTATAATCCGGTTCGTTAGTAAAAACGTCATCCACGCGCACGCCACCGATTACTAATGCCCATTGGATAAACACTCAAGTTGCGTAAATACAAGTAAATACACAGTCGGGACCAAGGCTTAATGTCTGCTACAACCAGAATTTGTATTAACAGTGTTTGGATTATTGAGAGTGGACTGTTTACAGGTCTATCTGATAAGGCCCCCCAAAAAATTGTTTTACTTGTGATTACTTTGCATTTGAAAATAGGGTAGGTTGGTAGGGAGTTTTTTTTTGGGGGGGGGGCAATTTTTTTTGGTGTACCATCATATGGAGGCGTCTGTGTGTAATCAAGGGTAAAAGGTAAAAATTGATGGTTTGGGGTGTTTTTGTTCTCATTTTCCCATAAAGAAATTAGGGTAGGGGCTGTCAGAATAGGGTAGGTAGGGAAACCGGACGCAGAAGTATTATTTTTTTGGCCTTATTATATTCTTAGTCATGTTATGTTGTGTATAAACGCAACTCCATGCATTGCATGTAATCCTCCTTTGATTACCATGCAAGGTCACATATCATACGGCACCAGACAATACCGCAACATCCAATCCTAATGGCAGCAACATATATCACATTAATGACTCCGCAAGGTCGACATCAAAATGACGTGCATGACAGTCCAAACCCATTACAAGACCATCTTGGCAAATTGGCAGGATTACAAGATGATTTGAAACTGGTTCGCAACCTTGGATTGAGGACGTGCAGACAACAGAGTAGAATTTGGGACTTAGTCTATATTTTGACGGAAACTGGGTAGCTTAAGGCATGGGCCATTGTGTACTGCACATATGCTGTCTATCGACTCCTCTGTATTACTTCCAATGAGATGTATTAGGCCAGAACAATTGTGCCTTTAAAGTAACCAGGATTTTTTTTCCGGGCAAATTGCCGACCTCAAACCTGCTTTTGCTGCATTTGGTCAAAAATTTCAAATGTACATTTGAAAATCAGAATAGGCTCCCCTATGCAAGCTTGTTATGTGTTATTGGTTGATTAAAACAATAAGACAGGTTAATTAAACAGAATACTGTTAAAGCTACTTTAATTATAAATAAACAACATTAAAAAAATGTTGTTTTTGTACCTACCTGGATAATTGTTTAAGGGCGTAAACGTAAACACACAATCTTTTGCCCTCGTTCAATTGTTACATCGTAGTCTTTTACCAATTGTGCCATGCGAATGTTTGATAAAATCTATTAAAATCTTGGAAGTACTGTTTGAAAACCTTTATCTTCTGGCATAGGGAAGGGTTTTCTGAGGGCCAATTTGGGATATCTTCTGGTATATTGATTTTTTAGAAAGAGGCTTACTTTTCTCGGTTGTACACTTTGAATTCTGCATTCAGGCTGTCCAATTGGGCTTGCATTTCCTCATCCTAAAACACAAGATAAACAAAAATTTCAAAAGTGTTAGTACGAAAGAAGAGTTTGGATAAACAGCACGGTGGCATTGTCACATAACATGCAGAGTTGCCACACATTCTTAAAAAATAACTGCATGCGAACGAAACTTATAACGACGTGAGGATTACCTACAGCCGATGGGTTCTAGATTTAGTCGGGCTGGCTTGAATGCAGTCCTTATTAGCGGTCATTTTATACTTTTTTGTACATGCTCATGAGTCCTTTAAGTTTATTAAAAATACACTGTATATCCTAAAAGACATTTCAGTCTGTTATGCAAGTTTCAGTTTTCCCCAATTTATTTCATAAATTTTCATCTTTGTACGAGTACACCGAGTTCCACTAGTCCACATGTATTTTAGATTTTTCGGAAGTGAGCGGTCAATTTTTGGCACGATATTTTTCTTTCACGTCAGGCGATTTGTCAGTTTTCATAAATTGAGATGCTAGAAACAATGCTACAAAGGCTTTTTTCGAGATTGATTTTCTTGAGAAATCAATGTACCAAAACAAAAAAAAAGTGCAAATTTTAGAAATTTACACGATAATATTCCTATATTCAAGGGTTCTGGAAGCGCACCACTAGGGGTGAACTTCAGCCTCTATTCCCACAATTTTCTCATTATGCCAGACAAAGCCTTTCTCCGTCGATGCTGTCAGAATCATACCTGTCCGCCCACACTCTGACTGTCTCAGCCCCGTGGCAAAGCAGCCATTAAATCTTTGCCAAACATCCCATTAGGATGGGCCACAAATTTCACCCAGGATCCCCTGTGGAGTATCCTCAGTCCCCCCTAAGGAAGGACCTACTATTATGGAACGACCGACACCTAGCATTAGCCGAGCACGCCAGCGCACGAGCGAGCACTCTAAAGCCACGATGATTTTGACAGGATACGTTACATTAATCCAAGATTGCTATCTGCGCGCCGATAATGCGCTCCACTGCAGGGTTTCGTAAGAACGGTTATGACATTACAGCTTGTAATCCACATGGGCCTATCAGGCGCAGGGAGGGAAAAAAAATTTCACAGAGTTTTGCCGGGGAAAAAATAATCCAGGAATTTTTTGTCCTTGGGAAATTTGAAAAGGTGAAGGATGTATAGACACTATCTCAGACTACATGTAGGTAGCACTTTTTAAAGCAAAAACTTGTTTGTACAACATCATCTACATGTGTACATGATTTGCACATTTTTGCGACAATTTCAACTGCAAACTTTACATCACAATTCCAATATACAAAAGTGGCTTTTCTTTATAATTTCTCACTTTTTTCACATTTTTACTTTTTTGGGGTTCATAGGGTACGTGTACATCAAAAGTGCGGTTTTCCAGCATTTTTACCTTTTCACCAACCACCACATTAAATGTCATCAGTAGATGAAGATTTTTTTTAAAAGGCTTTCACGCAGAAACATGTTAACGTTCACCATTTGAAGGTTTTAGGCAGATTAAATCACAAATAAACGATTCAAGCAAAAAAAAACACCCATAATTCAAACGACCAAATCTTTTTGCTGAAACTATTAAAAAACAGCCAATTTTATAACTGGGAAGATAAATGTGATGTGATCAAGCTAAATGAGTCATTTGTCGAGAACTTTCATTTGGAGATACAGGCCAAAAGAGGGCCACTTCATCACATCACTTCATCACATCTCTTGGTGTTCCGACTTCCATAATTTTTTTTACTAAAGATGGTACCAGCATGCGGTTTTCACAGCAGTAATCTGAGATGAGATTTTGCTCAAAAACAATTGACCATGGTCGACAAACGACTCTTTTAGCTTGATCGCATCACAATGTGGAAATGACTTACGATATCCTTTCCCTTGGAGCTCTGCTTTGCGAGGCGTTTCTTCTTCTTATGCAAAGGCTTGGCTTCAATTATCATCTCCTCCAGTTCAAAGGTCGGGTCACAGTTCAAATGATCTTTCTGAAGAGATCAAAGAGGAAAAGACGAGCGGCAATTTACAGAAATGATCTCAAAGCAATCGTCAACTCAATTTTTTAATCTGTGATTGAACACACATGGGCAAACCTCTCCCTCAGTAATTTTCAATCGCAATCACATAAATCTATCATCTATGTCTTTCTTAAATCAGTGATGCACTTGTTTACATTTGTACTTTGTTTGCAAGTGAACTTTGCCACGTACGTAAAAAGCCACTTCTCTGTGCAATGCATTTTAAATGCAAGACGAGTGTTGGAATGAAGTCCCCCTCATTCGAGCACTTTGGACCGCCTTGCTTCTGAGCACGTGTACTTGTAACTAACAAATCTTAATTCAAATGGCCGATTCCAGCTCGCCTTCCGTTCGCGACCGGCCACTCAAGCCCGATATCGAATTCAAGGGAAGTGACTCTCTGGGGGGGTTAATTTGGCCGAGTGCAAAGTGCAAAGATTGACTTAAACAGAGAGGAAGACATTCTAGACTTCGGGATAAGAAAAGTTTCAATATTTGCACATACTAGACGACAGCTAGGCCTTGGGGCTGAAGAATCATACTTTCATATTCTGTTTGACGTTCAGCGCACACACTTTTTATCCTTCATTATATGCAATTCGACTCGAAACATGATTGTGTTTCCCCGACAGCGCCAGGAAACTAATATTGACTGACATTTCAAAGTTTGGAAAAGAATGGATTCGGCACGTCGGAAACAAAAAGAAGCAGACGGGGACCGACTTATTGTTTTCAAGGGACAGAAGTGAAAACATCCGGTTCGGACTGCCAGGCGTATTAGAGCGATTATTTCTCACACAGTCAGGATAGTGTTTCATCCCTCGGGGAAGGTGGGGTGTTTTAAGACGCGATGCAAGGTGTTGAACATGTTGTGGAGAATCCAAAACAGAACACCAATCAGTCTTTAACTATTCCAAGACACAGCTCCAGGTCATAACTCAAAAGAAAAATCATGTTATGTCCTCTTTTTTTTTTAGTGGTTGGGGAAGGCAAGGGAAAGCAACAATCATCAGGAAAAAGTAAATTTCAAGACAAAAAAAAGAAAAAAAGAAAAGAATTGGTCAAGTAAACAATAACAGATGATTCTGGATAATTTTTGGTCAAAGAAACAAAGATCTTGCATGGGTAAATTTGGATTTGAAGGGGGGGGGGGGGAGGGGGCAGGGGACGGCATGGGATGTTAATCCAACAGACACGAGTCACCCATAATCCCTTGCAACTCAACACAGGATAAAGCTGTTCCTAAAAGCCCAGTGACGATGATAAAAAAAACCCACAGATTTTAATCTGGACACAGGACTCTGTGTCTGTAAATGTCAGTTGTTGCCGCGCAGTACGTTTGATTTAAAGCGAGTGCTTCAGCCGTCGCTTGTTTGGCTGTTTTCTTAGTGTGTGTTACGATCACGTCTGCCCCAGAAAGTGAAATACATAACAGGCCAACTAAATAATACATGTTGTAGCATACATGTGTATTGTAAAAGCATAAGCCCTTTTCTTCCTCTAGACATGTGCAAAACTGTGCAATCATTAACTTTAAAAGAGCAACCAATCTACAAGGACTTACTGTAAATGGGAATAGAAAAAAACAATTTATCTTGTTAAATTTTTCTTTCAACTGACATTTGACCTTTTTATCAACTGTCATTTGACCAAAATAAACAAAAACCAGAAAGATTAAATTCATGTACATGTATGAATCAAATGCACACTCAGTAAAATGCTAGCCTAAATCACAAACCCTTTCTAATATTAACATGATAAACAAATTAAATCACTTTTTTTATCTCATAAATTTTGTAAGCAAAGTTAGGGATGGCATATTCTCAGATTTTTTTTCTATAATACTAATGCAAGATTTCTTTTTCTCATATCACAAAGGAAATGTTTTGTGTTTAAGTCAGGGAGCTCCAATTTGTCGCAGATCCTCGCGGAAATGCTTGCTTTAAAATTTCATCAGCTAAAAGCATCCGTCATTGTCAATTTGTGCCCAGATTGGGGATCTGACTTGCATTTACCTGATTATCTTTTTTTCCGTCTTTTTTAATGGATGTTTAAGTGGCTTCTGTTATCCACTTAGAGCACAAAGAGATTGCTGTGAAATCTTTTTAAAAATTATTTATTTGTCATTTAGAAATTATTACATGTAATGGTAAAAAAATTGACAATGTCGGACCCAATGGGAATAAGCCTCTGTAAGTGGCATTTTGGGCTATCCCAGACGTAATCAACTGATCTTTGTTTCCTAATGTACGTTGTTGTTGATTTCATCTGAACCAAATCACACAAATCAAGTCAAATGTAACATTTTTGATGGGGTTAAGCTCAACCATCTTTAAGTTGGTCCAAGCCTAGCAAGCCATACGGTGATTGTGCTTAAGCACTGAGTCTGTGGAACAAGCTTTAATTCAGCTTAATTGAGAATTATTTATGAATTGGGAATTTTTAAATTACAGCTGAAGACATTTCTTTTTTAAAAGGCATTTTTCTTCACTACTTTTTAATTAACTGGTTTACTTTTAATGTGGTTTTGATGCTTTGTAAAGCGTTTTGAGATTTTAATGTAAAATGCGTTATCAAGAATAAACTATTATTAAAAGATTATGAGAAAAATATAGCTTTTGATGGTCACTACAAATTGAGCCGTTGCACGGTGCGCCCTCACTATGGGCAGTTTGTGTTATTTAAATACAGTAACAATGAAAGTACAATGAATCTACTCATGCGTATCACAGGGGAACAACGACCTACCCTCAGATGTGATGTCAGACGCAAAGGGTCTACTGAATTTTTTTTTTTTTTTTAAAGCTTTTGAAAAAACCTTTGACCCCAAACTAAAATATTATTAAGATTCAGGGTGATTGTCTTTGCAAATGCATCCAGTGTTTGAAATTTGTAAGTATTTTGCTTTCAACATAAAATAAATCAGGTCTTTTTTCATATTGAGAGCTCATTTTGCAAAGCTTAATGGAGAAGGTAAAAAAAAAAAAAAAAAGAAGTCCACTGCAAAAAATCCTTTCAGAAAGAATTAATAATGCTTACCCAGGACTCAGACTAACAGAAATTTACAGACTTTTAAGAGGACAGATTAAAAATCCCAGAGTATCTATACAAAGTTAATTTAGCGAAAGGTCACTGTTTACATGTATAAACTACGAATATCGTTGTTTCTAAGCGTTCTTTGAAAAGAAGACGTGCAAGAACCCTGACACACATATCAACCCTGTAGATTGTACTAAGCAGTCGTAATACCATGAAGAAAAAAAAATACCACGGTGACCGAACAAGTACCTAGTTAAGTGACAGCCGAGGAACGATAAGATGTACTCAAAATAAACACCTACGGGCGGAACGAAGGAAGGCTTGATTTTCATGTTGAGTATAGCGTCCCAATCCGCGTCCGACATGAAGGGGTGTTTGCAGATGGCCGCGAGGGAGGGCAACCTCTGCTGGGGGTCCAAGGCCAGGAGCTGAAAGAAGAAGAAGAAGACGACAAAAAGAGGGATAAACTAGAGGTCTGTCATCTCTTAAGACAATTTTCAGGAATCGGTCACGGGTGAAGAAAAAAAAAAACAGCCCTCGTCAGAAATGCGTAATGATGAATGACAAAGCCTGGAGCCCATTTCATATCTTGTTGTGATGATAGAAGATGTGATTAAAAGCAATCGGGGACCATCAGTGAGAGAGCCCGACTATGCTGACAGCTTCTTGTTTGTATTAGGCCTGACGATCCCCTGACAATGCTTTCTTTAAAAAAAAAAAGGGCGAAAGCTGTCAAGAGAAAATCTGGGGATGTTAAAAGCTGTTTTTCTTTGGAACTGCCCTCACTAGATGCAGCAAAACATTTTATTGGAGCAAACATTTTTTTCGTCATGGGAGATTTACGTTAAACAATTTCTTTCAAATTCTTATTTCTGCTTGATTTCCTTTCATTCTTGAATCAATATTAATTTTTTCCAAGGTATACCCGTGTATCACAAATTCTGTGGCTACAAAGGCGATATTTCCATACAAAATCCACAACTTTACAACAAAAAATGACTGGTCCGTTTCTTGCATTTCTTTAAAAAATTTCCTCAAAACAAAACCTCCGAAAAGACAATTTTTTTAACAAATAAACTCCAGTAAAATCAATTTGGTTGGCACAGAGATCCGTCTTATTCGACAAAAGCCCAAAACTGTCAAGCAAAATTGATCAATAAAAGCCGATACGCTGCCTTTTGTTCCCATGCGTGTTCAGAAAAAGTCTAATTTTTCAGCCTGAAAGCAATCAAACCTTCCCACAATAATGATAAAAAGCAATATGACATGCTCATCACCAGAATCAAAGTCCAGTATTGGTCTGACGCTGGGAAATAATAATAATATCTCGAAAATGAAACCAACATTTTGATGGTATTGAAACTGTACCAACACTGCTGCTTTTGTTTATAACAAATTAAAGCAGTTTATGTGTGCAGACAGATTGATTCCTGTATTCGTATGTATATTTTTAAGCTACATGCACAATAAATGTTAACAAAACCAGCAGGAATAGGCACTTCATGTACATGCATGTAAATGTAAGACTCGTGTGCTTCATTGTTTATTAACATTAAACATGACACACAAAAAAGCACCGTCGAAATATCAATATTACTTGATTTATATTCCCTATTATTTTGATATCGATATCGCCGATAGCAATTTTTAAAATCATATTGAAATATCGAAATTTTCAATACTGAGGAATAATATCAAAAATATCGAAAATGCGTCAGATTATCGTCAAAATAAATCTTCAGTTTGTGCTTTTACTTTGTGTTTATCGTTTGCTGTATAATGAAATAAAACTCGGCGGCAACTTGTGCTTGTGACTCGAATAAAAACATCGCGAAATGCCAAGCGGCGTCGCTTTGTGCTCTGCGTTCGCTGGAATTCGCTGTCTCCCCCAATGTGTAAAACCTCAATAGAAACCGCCCATTCTGGACAAGCCGTCAAAGCTGAGAGTTGTTTTAAAAGTTTGAGCAATATGCTCCAGAGAAAGCCATGAAAAAATGGAACTTAAATTTTTTTTTTTTATAAATCAAAACACATCTTTATGGTCTTTAACTTTTACATGGGATAATCGATATATCGAATATTCTCGATATTGGATTTTGGATATATCGATTATTGAAAAGTCCGATATTGATGGTGCTTACACACAAAACAAGGTCCTCGGGTTTCCGACAATATATTTATCCGAAGTCTGTCATTTAGATGGGATGTGCCGACCTTAATACCATGTACACAGTTCCCACACAAGCATGTAAGATCGTCGCACATATGTACATGTTACCACCCAATGACATGTGAACACAGTGTGAAATTTCAGTCCCTGACGAAGTCTTCCTGTAATGCAATCACTATGGTTGAACGCCAGGCTAACTACATTCACGGCAGCTCAGAAACCTTGGGACTAGCAACCAGCCGAAACAGACTTCTGACATGTACGCTGGCGAAGAATATGTTTATTTTGATTAAAACAGACATATCTTGGATATATTTAGCGAATAGCGATCCAGTAGGCGGATTTTTTCCACTACCATGACTACTCGCCTCTCCGCAAGCTGGTTATTTTGAGACAAGCTCAAACCCCGACAAGGCTAAAATCAGAATTTTCTTTTTTAAATAGTGTGCAATTTCCTCCCTTTTTTTCCCTAACTCTCTAATATAAAACTTATTTCCGTTAAAAAAAGAAGTTTTTATTGAAATTTAGTGACACAATATTCTACTGTTTTTCATTAAAAGTCTGAGTTGATATCCGGGAATCTCTATTCAGTCAATTCTGAATCAGGAGGAAAAATATTTTTTTGAAATCTTTGTGAAATACTACCAGATTACAATTTAATTCAGAGTTTAGGCCCCCTCCCCCCCAAAAATGGTCGGTCTGTGGTCAGCACGCGCGTTGATTTTGATCGTGCGTGTCATTTTTTTTCCTCCAAAAATTGTCCGCGCTAGCTACAACAGCGCCCTTTATTGCTGCACTGCCTCAAATGTTCGTGGGCAGCTCGTACCCAGTGATAGATCCGGTACGAGGTTGATGTTGAACTAATGATAGGAGACCATGGGTACGAAGTTGCTGCCAGCTGATCAACAAGAATGGTGGCTAGTCAACTACATATGTATCAACATGATGACATGCGATGTGGGCAATTGTGATTGTGAATTGAAGCGTGTCTAAATACATGAAATATGCCACTTATTTCCGTGTCCGTTGTTTGTGGAGTGAAAATTCTTAGATCATTCGGTATTGTGTCATGTGACAGCTGTACAATCCAAGCACGAAAAAAACCCCCAAAAAGCCACCAAAAACACACACACACACAAAAAAACCGCATCGCCGCAGCAATTCCAGATCTTTGGTCTGACCAGAGACCTACTATTTTTTTTTTTTGGCCATATATTAGCTTTTTATTTTTATTTTGACAAGAAACGTTTCAATTCAACACGTTTCAACAAAGGATTTCAAACAGCGATGTTCCTTTCAAACATGTACAAAGTCAGGAACAAATCTTTTCAACCAGTTAAAGCATTGTTAGCTCTAACAAAACACTGAAACATGCCTCGTTTGATAGCCCTGGCTTTCAGACTTCAGAGGTCTAATGTAACAAGCAAAACACGGAACAGTCTTTACTAAAACATCACTGTGCATCTACAATTACTGTAATTGTATAACTGTCACAGGAACAGAAAGTCCATGTACATGTAGCACAGACTGATCATATTACATGTACATGTGTCTTTTGAAAGACTCAGCCAACAATGATACATGTACACGACTGGATACATGTATAATGATCGGCACCTGTGGGATTTAATTTGTCTGAGTAGGTGGGGCTTTGTCAGAGTAGGTGGGGTTCAATTGATGTACATGTACATGTACATGGGCTTACATGTGCCTTACATCTGGGTGGGGCTTCGACTGAGTGGTAAGAGCTAAATATTTGTGGGTGGGGCTTAATTTATGTAGATTGGGCTAACCTTACATGTATGTGGGTGATGCTTTGTCTGAGGGGGTAGGGCTAAATATTTGTGGGTAGGGCATAATTTACATGTATACATGCAGATGGGAATTTGTGTAAGGGGGCAGGGCTAACTACTTGTGGGTGGGGTTTAATTTATATAGATTGGGCTTACCTTACATGTATATGGGTGGGGATTTCTCTGAGGGGGCAGGGCTAAACGTTTTGTGGGTGGGGCTTAGTTTATGTAGATGGAGCTTAATTTATGTGGGTGGGGCTGACATTTATGACAAACCATGGTCTTGGGTCATCACACTTTTGTTTAACAACAGTCTTAAGCAAACACGGCAAAGCAATCAATTAAAAGTTGTCTTATATTTTTTTTCCCAGGTAAGAGTCATTTATAAGTCACCCTGCACATGGAGAGCTGCCGTAGGGCCCAGTCGTGTGTTGACACTCTGGGTAGCCGATGAGCAACGAAGCCCGCCCTACACGGAAGAAACATTGCAGCGTCCGGGGCCCATCGCCCTGCCAACTCATTAGTGCGGCTATTTCGATTCGGGAGGGTGAGTGTGGCTACTTGGCCTGTAATCGAGGTCCTCTTGACTCCAGTACATGCCTAGGAGCGCATCCAATCTACATATGGTCGGGGTAAGTCACCGCACGAGTCTCCAGGTCGGAGCCACGGTGAACCGCGTGATCAGGTCGGGATTAATTGTCGCTATATATTTTTTTTCACGGTCTCGGTACGGGACTAACGACAGGTGAACGGGTAATTACCTCGCATCTGCTAGGATCATGGCTTAAAGGGGTGACGCCGGTGTGCAAGTCCCATGGGTGGGGTATCAGAAAACAACGACTAAGCAGCCAACATCTGAACAGGTGTTTTTTTAAGCCGGCAATTTTGTAGGAGGATGGGGCTCAAATTATCTTATGGACGGAGACCAATTTCGGAGATCCAAAGTCAGGAATCGTAGACGATTTAAAAAAAATCCTTGATAATTTACAAAAATTGTACATGTAGTGTGTACATGTATCTGCTATTGGTTAATTTCTCAGTTATCGTGTTCTCAGAAAATTTGTTCATTACACCTGTAAAATATACAGAATTTAATTGTTTTTAATAGGGTTTTTGATAATGGTTACTAACTTCTCTCCATGTATGATGACAGGAAAACACCTAAAACGCAACATCCATTTCCATTTTCATGATTTTAGCTACTTTTGTCTGTTGCCACAAATGGAGGGTTAAATATGATAAAATAATGGATTCTTTAACAATTCTCAGATGTAAAATTACATTTTAGCACCTCATACCGGCATAATAATAATAAAAATCAGGAATATCTCCATGCAGTCATTGACAAAGTTATCTCAATACCATCAGATCCATTCAAATGTACTTTACAAATGTTAACTACATCTGCTGCAAAAAAGCATTTCCCTGTTTGATCACAAAAATCAAATTTTGTCTCAAATTTCTGATAGCGCAGTATCATTGACATTTCTGACAAGTATTAAACACAAAGGTAGCTGAACTCGGCCTCTGTGCGGAGCTGAATTAAGATGCACCTTCCTCGCTTGGAGGAAATGATATAATAGACTCTCACCCCCAGGGGGGTGGGGGAAGGGGGAGGGGTGTAGACTCACCTGCCTAATAAGGTCAGAGAGGGCAGGGTTCCATGACGACGGATAATGAGGATGCGTTGCCTGGTACAAGTGCATGATGTCCCCTATCGATGAGTTTGAATGGATGTCGTACGGTCTCTGCATGAAAACCACAGACAAAAAAACAACAAAGATGCAAATCAATCAGGTCTGGCACTCGTCTCGATTGATTCGGGACACCGGTGATTTATGCAAGGTACCGGGCGATACGGCAGGCTTGTGGGCACCCACTCGCCGGCTAAAAGCGATCAAGTGCACTAAAGGGGAAACTAAATCGTTGGAATATAAAACCGCCTCTGATATGCCTTGCGTGGGGTACTTGTTATTCTACACTGGGTTGAGTTGGTCGGACTATATACATAGGGAACTTGATGAATGTGGGAGAGTTTGGACAACAGAGCAGTTTTTGTGGGCTGTGAAAAGGACAGTCAACAGCCTGTATACATTCTGTGTTCCACAGCAACATGAGCAATGGATAATTTTAGCATCGTAATCGCGTCAACTTCATTTTTTTTTCTTGTGGATTTAGGAAGGTTTTAGGCCAAGAAGGCCTACATCTTAGCATGATACTTGTTTGACTTCACAGATGGTGCACTTTGTTGAAACTTAAAATGAATTGCTTTAAAAAAATGTTTTAGTGAATTACAAAATATAATTCAACAAAATCCCCCCCCCCCTTCTTTTCTGTCCCACCTGCATTCGTGTTTGATGTCAATTGTATGAAACTGCAACTATCCAGACTGTGGCAGATTACTTAATGGGCAAAGCGGGGTACATTTTAATGGCAAAACAAAAGTCAAAGTGGTAATTCTCTTAAAAAATTGTCATTTGAAGATTTGAAAAAGGAGAAATGTGTTGCATGCCCTTTACAGAACTTGCCTTACACATTTCCAGACGACGTTACACAATTCAAGCAGTTGGCAGCTTGGGTAAAAAAACCTAGGCCTCTTCAAGGAAAGAAAAACATCTTCCACACTTGAAAAGACAAAGTAGAATTTGTCTGTGTCCCTATAGTCAACCGTGTAAAACATTCGGCCCCTAACTCCACACTTTTCGCAGGACTAGGAAAACAGCAGCTTGTTATTGCAGTATCTAGTTATCTTGGGTTTTCGCTGATTGGTTCTTTCATGCATTTTGACTATAGACGCGTCAGTGTGTTTGAGACGCTTTAGTTTATGGGTTCACTCCAGGTTATATACGGCAATGAGCAGGCTAACATTGATGCATGTACTTGACTAGGTTCCGGACTTCTCAGCTGAAGTCACCGTAGGATAGGATAATCAGCGCAACGCTCACTAGAACTAATCCTTTAATCCAATTTAACAAGGAAATAAAGGTCTGAAATTGAATACTTTTCATACACATGTTTTTCACAATGTAAGAAAAAAAATCGTTCATAAGAATGAGGAAACAACAAATTAATTTTTTCCTTTTCATTTGTTGAAAGTCTTCATTCATATTCTGACGTGCACAATATCTAGCAACAAGAAAAATTAGTGAACCAGGAAAAATGGAAATTGAACAGGTATACTTCCATGTTTCTTGCTTATACTGAGGAACGGCTTAAATACCAGACAGTCGCTATAAAATAGGATTCTTTAAGAGAAAAACTAGAGTACATAGTACAAATTTGGAATTTAGATCTGAGAAAAATTTGAATAAAAAATGTGAGAATATTGCTTTCTGACCTTTCCTCTAAGCATCTCGTAGGCACAGACGCCCAGTGACCACCAATCTACAGGAAACGAGTAGCCCTTAGAATCTGCTGACGCTGTGTGGAGAATCTCAGGTGCTGGAGAGAGAAAGGAATGAGAAAGAATCATCATTGATGAAGTGACACAATCTGACACTGCGTACAAGTACAGGATATCTTGCCGTCTTTCCTGCTCAAGTGAAAGGAATTTGTGGGGGAACTTCACAGTTAAAATAATAGGAGGTTAAACTTTACCAGTTGTATTTAACCCTAACCTTCCCAAATCCTCCAAAATCTTCATTGCAAAATGGAGGATTTTGCAGGATTGAGGCTATATGGTAAAAGTGTGTGGCGGATTTCAGAGGATGCACTGTGTCAAGGTCTTGGGCTGGACCTTGTGTTGTTTATGCTCAGCCGTGTATACATTTATTCCTATTATTATACTTGAAATCCTCCACACTGCTCCAGGATGTCAATGGCTCTTCTTTAACATATTGGCAGTGATTGCTGGAGGATTTTGCAGGATTGAGGCAGTGGTCGCCCCTCCAAGGAACACATTCAAGAAATAACGGAGGATTTTCCATGATTGAGGCTGCATGCTATTTTTACATGGAGGCAGTTGGAGGATTTTGCAGGATTGAGTTATACATGTACATTGTAGCAAAAATGCCTAGAGAGTTTGGGTAAATGTAAAATATAAATAGACATACAAAAACAACTCTTGATCTTGGTGTAAAAATAGACTTCATGGTGTTCATCATTAACTGGTAAAAACTAAAGTTTAGCAAAGATGGATATTTTGATTTTCTTTGGAGGTAACGATTTTGCTGATTCCAAGTTGTTAGGAAGCTAAATACTTCCTTCCTATGGGGAATCAGCGCAATTAGTGGTTTGTTTTTAAGGTAGTTCATCGAATTTTGTCCGTTCTTGATGACTTCCCGCGATGCCATCCTGACTTCCTGCAATTAAGGGCCCTCCAAGATGACTCAGCGATCAGTTCCGTGCCGTTTTCGCGCAACGCTACATTATAAGCCAAGCATCTTTAGTCTGATTGCAGCGCACATCTCCCCCCTCCCCTCCCATCCCAAAAAAATAATAATACTAGAAAATGACATTTGAATGTCAAACGAGGTTGACTTTAATATCCCCAATGACGTTGGATTGGCGCAGTGCGTCTCCAGTCCGTACGTGGACATGACTGCACTTCCTGAGAACCAAGCCAAATTCAACCGTCTCCATCACAAAGGCAGCTTTTTCCCACTTTTTTTTCAATGAGAATCATATTATTTCCTGTCCTGCCTTTGACAAGAAATCCTGATTGTCTGCTCGTTGTTTTTCACAGACTCCTCAAAATTTTCGATTGTGGTTTCAGACAATACCGAGAACAATTGCCAGACTGAGAGAAATAATAGAACTCTGTTTAATTGAATAACAGTTGAGTTCTTAACATTTCAGAGCCACAACACAGCCCATTGTGACAACACACAGAGATTTAAAAAAAACATTTCTTAAGAAATACATCAGTTATCATCGAATCCAATTCAAGGTTAGGTTCACATGTAAGTACATGAAGTACATGCATGGAAGATTAAAAGACATCAAAGATGTACACTATGCAGTGGACGTAACTGAACCCTCATGTACATGTACACACATCCACATACCAGTACATGTATGTACATGTACATCCCGTGTAAAGGGAATAGGTATGGTGTACATGTAAAATGCACATGTACAACATATATTTTAAAAAATATTTTATCAATCCAAAAAAAAATTGAATATGCACATTGAACATCGGAGCAATTACGGTATAATTTATACAATTGCATGAACCGTTTCAAGTGCCTGCACATTGCTGTTCCTTTTTACACATGGATGGCTAATTTGTTTCGTTTCTCACTGTCAAATTGTCCAATTCTATGGCAGTTTGCATAGAATGTGTCTATTTTCAGTGCCAGTTCTGGCTATACATGTACATGCATCACAATGATTGATTAAACATGTCAAACAGTACTTGCTTTTATGAAAATGGTCAAGAGTTTGTTTAAAAATTAATCTGAAGATTCTGGGCAGTGAATATAAAACCCTTCTCCATGATGGATTTGGATTTGGTTAAACCATAGCTCCATGGTTAAACTGTCACCGTTTTCGCCAAATGATAAAAAGCATATTAGTGAAGGAAAGGAGACCTATCACTTTGTGAAACTTGGATGAAATATGTGATTTGTGATCCAAAAGCAGTGTTGAATCTGCAAGATACAAGTACTGGTAGGCTGCTTGGTTACAAGTACATTTACGTGTTCAAATACATATTTTTTTCAAGCTGAAATTATGATTCGAATTAAAGCTATGCAAATTCCACGTTCAGTTAAAATTTAGAACCCTAAAAGCAATGAGCTACATGGCTTCATTGGCTGTCCCAATGATTAGATTTTACCAATTTAATTTGTAGTATATGTTGTTGATGTAAACGATGTACATTGTAGCTGTTCACATGCAATTATAGGCCTACATTTTGGGTCCACTGTTTTTCTGTCCTTGTTACATCTGACGTCTAAGATTTTGTAATTCTGATGCACTCCTTAATGTAGTCGTCGTCCAAGAGTGATTATGAATAACAAACCACCCACATGTATCGTACCCATCCAATAAAAAAATCATTTCAAATCAATCTAAATGATCCTTGAATGGCAAATTACAATGCACCACGGTAAGTTCGGTAACAGGGACAGGAAAAATTCCACACTTTGGAACCCAAATGTATAGAGTGACCCATTTGCATAGGCTTTCTAATTAAAAAAAAACACCCTATTTTTACTTAATACTTAAAACAGACCAATTAGCACAAGCCTACAGTCAGGCCCGTCGCCAAGGGGGGGGGGGGGGGGGGGCTGGTGGGCCCGGCCCCCCTTGGCGAGCAATTGGCCCCCCTCCGCCAACGGCAAAAGCCATACATGTGTATTTTTATGATAGTGGGCCCCTCTAGTTGGTACTATGCTCCCCCCTGACGCTCAGGGCTGGCAACGGACCTGCCTACAGTACAGGTACATTTGTAATTCAGCCACATATGATTTAGGATGACTAATCATCCACCTTTTAGAAAATTGGTAAGAAATATTGATTTCAATCAAGTTACACAATGTTCATGTATATTATTTGTTGTAAAATGCATGGGAATATGGACACAAAAATTTATGACCCAATTATCGCAACGCACTTGTTAGCCAAAGGGCAAACACATGGGCCAAAGTAACATCTCTCTGATGATGAATGCAACGCTATGCAAGCACATTAATCAATAACCAGATAAACGCAGTTTTGTTGATGGTTGCTTGTACATGTACAAATATTTTTGCAAATGTTCTTTTTTTGGGGGGGGGGGGAGAAGTGAGTTTGATTTTTAAGAAAGTAATGGTTCGTGCTAAACATGACAATACTGATGATGAATAATAGGATACTGATGACGCTCGGATTATAACAAAAATATTTGGAGACAAGAATTTTGATTAAAAAAAATTGAAAATACCAAATTGATAATGATCATAAAAATACTCATATGAAAAAAAAAAGTAATTTACAAAGATATAAATAACTTAAACTTAAAACTTATGATCACAATGATGATGATGATGATGACGATATTTGTGATTACAAAATCGGTGTAAGCCATCTTAATGACTTCTTATCATGTATTTTTCATCAGCAGTTTTTGATCCGCGGCTTTCATGATGACGAGATACCCTACACGGGCAGGGCATGCTCACATTGTACACTTGTGTTTATGGAAAGGGTCCCAATCTGTGAGCAATCTTGCATCTTATGGCGTTTTGTTCAGGCAAGCAGAGAAAACACTGAGGCAATTTTGCAAAGGAATAGAAAGCGATTCACTAATCTTTACATAATAGTGAATTTTACAGACTTTAAAATCTCTGTTCGATTTGGAATAAGTTTGTGTTTTACTTTGATGGGTTTTTTTTTTATGGGTGCAGCACTGATTAAAGATTTTTAATCATTACACAGAAGTAATTTTATCAAATACCGAAACAAACTGAAGAAAGAAAATGTCCTTTACTCAAATTTGGCTCATTTTTGAGTGCGTGTTTAAAATTTGCCATCAGCACATACCTACATGTACATGTACATGATCTGCATCAAACAGTCACCAAAAAAATGAAAATAGCAGTTGATTTGCATTTTTCAGCATCACGGCAAATTGCTCCCAAGCGATGGACGTCATCAATCTGATATTTGGGACGTTAAGTGACTTAGACGTCAAGAAAAAAAAAAAAAAAAACTGGGGTGGGGGTATCTTGACGTATTGATCGCATTATCAACTTTGGCAGAAGAACTTTTTGTACGGGTGACCGGGAATCCTGTCTGAAAGGGAGAAGGATTCGGTGGGAGAGATAGAGAGGAAGGCTGGAGAGATGATGCCTCGAGGGCAAACCTGAAAGATGATGACGCGATCTTAAGGCTAGATTTCACAGAGCTAAAAAGGATGACGGTTGATTCCTTGTCCTGAATCAGGTCCTCATATTCTTAGAGTTGGGGGGGGGGGGGTCGAGATGTTGTCAAGTATGACATTTGACGATGGGAAAATTGCTCGAGAACCCCAAGTCATGATGACCATGATCCCATTAACAGAGCATGAAAGTAAGAATGATCAGCGCTGATGGGGAAGGGAAGTTAAACATTTTATCTCATTACGAGCTCTCATTTTGGATTTAGGGCGCAGAATGATGAATGCCTCGCTAATCCAATCACAGGAAGCAATTGTGTTTTGAGGACACCACATGAAAGAGAAAAATTGAAGCTGTGTAAGATTTCCAGTGTGATTCAGTTTGTAATTCATTTCTGGGAAAAAAAGGGGAAAAAATTGGCTTATCTGAGAAAAAGTTATAAGCCTCCTGAATGGTGGGATTTTTTTATCAAATGTAATGCACCTGAAAAATTGTCCAAGAAGCATGTCATTTTCAACCAGACGAACCAGAATATTTGAGACAACAAAAATTGTTTTTTTTTTTTTTACAAATATCAATGTTTGTACACTGAAGGTTACACGTATGTGTCAAAATGTGATTTTGTTTTCTTTTCATATTTTCAACCACAAACTGTAGACAATTTTAAATGATGCAACATTTTTTTTTTTGCTTCAATTTTCTTTTTTTTGTCCAGGGGAGGGTTGAGGCAAGGCTTGGGTCCCACAGCACTTTGCTTTCACGAAAGGGTGAGAAATTTGCCAATTTTCATCTAGTCATTCCAAGAGCACATGAACTCTCCCCCACTCCCTCCCCAGTCAGTATTTTTTACAGCAAATCAAATTATGTGCAGGGGAGGGATATTATTTCTTCTCTTGCTTGGAGGCAATTCAATGCAGAGCATCACAGGGGGGGGGGGGGGGGAAGGCCACCTCTGACTTCTGAAACACATTTTGTCAAGAAAAAAAAAAGAAAAATGGAGGGAAAAAAATTAAAGGGCGCCCATCCATCACATATTAATGTTTGCAATCAGATGCTTTTTTATTATTTTAAATGAGGAATACTTGAAAATCAAAAGTATTCAAAACCAAAAACAAACGATTTTGATTTTTTTAAATGAGGAAACTTTAAAATCAAAATATCCAAAACAAACAAACAAACAAACAAACAAACAAACAAACAAACAAACAACAAGAAATAAACAAAACCCAAATTCCCAAAACCAACCCCCAACCAAAACAAACAACAAAAAGCAAAAACGACCCCCCCCCCAAATAAAATTAATAAACAAAAACCAAAATAGGAATGTCAGGGTGATTTTCCTCGCCTGGCAAATTTATCATGACATAATGGTAATGAGTTAACGAGGGCGGACAATATCACAGACACAATATCACAGGGACTTTGAAGATTGAGCATGCCCCGACATAATTACTAGATGGCCCCTGCCGACTGAAGGAGGAATAAACAGGAAAAAAAGAAAAGAAAGATGTGCCTGATAAGAGAAGAGGATTTATCACACAGTCATCCTTGAGAATACCGTAACCATGGCGACCAACAACCATCAATTGATGTTGACAAGGTAGGATGGGCCTCCAGGGGGGAACAGAGCCGCAATTCCAGGGATTAATTAACAAGAAAAAAACAGAACGGTTAAATTGAATTCTGCTGCAGTATAGCCCGGCCTCGGCCATTTGGAGACACAGTGAAATAATTTATTGGAGGACGGCAAAGTAAACTTGACATGCGGTGGGTGGGTTTGGTGAGGGTTCAGGGAGATGGTTTTGAATAATACAATTTGGGATGTCAGTCCGCGATGCAGCGAGTCGACGGTTTATTTACTGTGCTTTCTAATTTCTTGAGGAGGTGCGGTCAGACGAGTCAAGCTTAAAACAAGATTACGTCTGAGAAATGCAATTTATATTTATGAAGGTGACAAATCTGTCAGGAGGATTTGTTGACATTACGGCTTTATTCACAAGAGGTCAAACTTTTGAACTGGAAAAATATTTGTCCTAAGTAGCCATATTTAACTTAATTACTGATTCCATCTGTCTATCTAAATAATGCAATATGCATGATATACATCTACATGTTGCAGTTTCTCCAAAATTTGAACAAAAAGGGCACATGTACTTTCATAAAAGTCACATTTTGTTTGGTGTGTCTATATTTGACCAGTTCTGTTTCTGTCCCGTTCTAAATGCAAACGTACACATGAATGTGACGTGAACTACATGCTTGGTAAGCAAATATCCTGTCCCGTCCTGTGTGATGATTTACAAACCAAGTCGCTGAGTAATTTATTTAACACACACCTGAGCGCAAACGGCGACGCTGTCGACACTTATGTGAAAAATAAACATTCTCTGAAGGGGACCGTAAATTGTGCGGTACATGAATTTATGCATGTGAATTCAGTCGGTCAATATGGTACTGGCATCACATGTGTAGACTGGAAGCATTTTAATGGCAAAATTACGATGCCCGACACTTGATTTGTTGATGTTATTACTCGACTCGATGCTTTCTTACAGAATTTTTCTTTTAATTATTGCACGTAGTTCATGCACAGCGCACGGCTGAAATTCCTGCCTGCTTTTAGAATGCACATTTAAAAAATTTGTACGCCAGAGGGTGTGAACATTATCAATAATATATCTTTGAGATTACATGTAGAGGTATGTGGATCACTCGATCGACAAATAATTTAGAGAGTACATGTTGTCAGCTTTTTAATTATTGGAGGTAATAAGCCATTTGACAAACAGGATAACTGGCACGTGATATGTATACATAACTCAAATTTCAAAAGCCTTTACCGATAAATGGTTCAGGATTTTTCCGTACTGCAGCTGCAATGACATGTATACTTTCAGTGTGTTAGGCCAAAAAAAAAAAGTCTCCGGTTTCTGGTATGGAGCTAGCCCCAAAAGTGGTGCGGCGACGCGGCTTTTTTTTTTTTTTACTTTATTTTTCTTCAAATGTCGGCTGATGACTGCAAATGGTGCCCGACTAAATTTAATGCAAAATATATGGGAGTCCAGAGAGGCCACATAAAGCTTATACACGATGGTAACCCCATCTAAAAACACGTTAAAATTGTGCAGCAGCAGGATTCCAGTCAAACCAGTGAGTTTGGCAGTTTTTGACATCATCTATAATACATTGAAAAAAAAAAGACGCGTATGGCTACAGCGACGCGCGCGCATACCAGAAACCGGAGACTTTTTTTTGGCCTTAATCACCTCTTTTCCTCTCTCAAAGAAAATATCATTAGATTTCCTGCTAAAACATTACTAACCTTTTTGGAAAATTAAAAAACTGAAAAAAATGGCACTGTTCTGAAAAATGCATGTACCACAGACTGAAAATCAATTTGTGACTGATTACGTGTAGATGGTACGCATCTTCTGACCTTTGGGTCCATGCAAAATGCATTCTCAAACAGTCAAAAAATTGACAAAATTGACGAGCGTTTATTTGTTCACTTTCAATTACACGTCCAGCTGTCAGCTAAATGGAATCAACGTACGATGGCGAAAAGAAGAAAAAAATCCATATCTGCCTGTCCAAAACAACACGCTGTTAAACATGCGGTAATTAATGTCAAACTGGCCTATTGACGTTGTCAATAAGTAAATACGTACAGTGGCCTGCGAAATCTAACAAGCCATTAGGCTTCTCAAAACCAAAACAACAGTGCATTTGTTTTGATTTGTTTCACATTTTCGGCTTTCTCAATGAACATCCGCATTGCTTTAGAATGGACTATGAACATGCAAACAAACTACATTGTACATGTATTTGAAGGAAAATGACAAAAAGACACAATTCTTTTTTTCCTTTTTTTACATCAACAGGAATTTGTTTTAAGTACATTAGGCCAAAAAAAAAGTCTCCGGTTACTGGTATGCGCGCGCGTCGCCGTAGCCATGCGCGTCGGCAAAATGAAATTTTTTTTTTTTCAATAAAAGATGACGTCTCAAAACCGCCAAACTCACTGGTTTGACTGGAATCCTGCTACTGCACGATTTTAACGTGATTTTAGATGGGGTTATGATCGAGAATAAGCTTTATGTGGCCTCTCTGGACTCCCATATATTTGCACTAAGTTTAGTCGGGCACCATTTGCAGTCATGAGCCGACATTTGAAGCAAAAAAAAACAGGTAAAAAAACTTTTTGGGCAAGCTCCATACCAGAAACCGGAGACTTTTTTTTTTTGGCCTTATATTGGTTGTCTTTGATTTAGTAAATCGCTTTCTTTGTTTTACAGCAATGTACATGTATACCAACCATACCAACCTGACCAACCTATATTACTCTTCTTCAAACCGCCATCATTGAACAAAGAAAAACAAAAATCAACATACATGTACCCTATCCTCTTTTCATGTACATGCAGATGTATCCAATGTATGTATGCTGGTACATGTACATGTGTATGCTAGTTTGCCACACGTATGAGAACTAATAAACATGTTTATTTTAGTCCAAGTGGCATAAATCTATTTTTGTACAAGCTTTTGCTTTGAGCTAAGCATTAAAAATAGCATTCTGATGCAAGGGTGGATCCAGAACACAATTTTTTGGGGGGCCAAAAAATAAAATTGTGTCTTCCAAAAAGTGGGTCAAAAATTTATGGCGTGGGGTTCATAAATCATTGCCTGCCTTTATTTAAATCATTGCCTGCCTTTATTGCGACGTCACATAAGAAAACAAACAATTGGTTTAGTTTTTTTTGGGGGGGGGCATGGCCTCCTTTACCCTCCCCCCCCCGATCCGCCCTTGTTCTGATGCAGTTCACGTGTTTATGCACAGCACAAGCTCTAGCTTTAATTCCATTTAAACTGGGTTGATACATGAAATTTTCGTCCGGGCACATTTTTAGAGCCGCTCGACCTACTTTAGTTTCTTGTTCGGCACGGTAAGAACATGTTTCTGCGTAGCAGACAAAATGTGCTGGATGCTCAGCCATTTGCCGTTCATTCCCCAAGGGAACACTGGAAAACAGTTAGAGACACGTTACCTAAAAAGCTTGAGTTACCTAAAAAGCTTTTGATATATTGCCGCAAGAAAAGCAGGCCATGACTTTCTTGTTCTTCTCGCGGTTGTAATCTTTTGTATGAAAGAGAAAGGTCTGTTTCGGTATCTTTCTGGGATGATTTGGTTAAGTTGAGTCCATCTGGTCTAATTCCGTTGGGATCTGAAACGGCGCTCGTTATTTGACAATAAAAAGAAAGAAGAAGGCCGCGAGAAATTGAGCCTCGCCGTGCGTTTCATTCTCAACCACACGAAAAAAAGAAAGACTGTCAAAGAACAGAATTACCCGGCCGGAAGCTGTGGACAGAATCAGAGCTGTCGGGCTGAAGGTCCAGTGGGAACCAGTTAGCACGGTTACCGGCGGGAAGGCAAACAGCGGAGGCACGAGCAAAACCATGAAGGATCATTGGAGGGGAGACTCGGGCAGGCAGGGAGAGAGAAATAAATGACTTAATCATGCCGCACTGCGGCCCCGTTAGCCTGAGCAGTCACAAATTAAATCAGGCCGGGGCTCGTCACTCACCCATGTACGGCTTGGTTCCGGACATGGAGGTGGCCAGACAGCCCTCTTGAAGCACCGTGGCTATGTTGAAGTCCGTTATGTGCACGTGACCTGCCAAACAAAAAAAGACAAAATATCGTGATTAATGTACCGTCCTTTGAACACATCACAATATTCCAGCGACGCCCACACTCTTTGCTGTATTACAGTTTTTGCATGTTTTAAGGAGAAAAAAATGGACTAACGTTTCAAATTACTTTCACCATCATTTTTTTCCTTCTCAAGTACGTCTACCCAACATGGCTTTTTTGAATAGTATTTCTGCACAGGCATTTGGGTTTTTTTGTGTAGGAGTGCATCAAAGTGCAACTCAATAAAAGTGTCCTTTTAAGCAACGTTGGCCAAGACCCAAGCTGCAAATATTGTACTTTGCTTTGACATTGTGTTGGCATGGTAATCCACTTATTGGTTGGCAAATATCTCCGATTTTAGAAAATATTAGAAAATACACAAACTGTACATGAAACACGTGAAAAGTATAAATTTGGGATTCACTTGTTTTTCCTGCCCCTGTTACATATGATTTTGTAATTTTTGATGCACTTCTTAAATTGTATTCTTCTTCCGAAATGTGAAGTGAATGGCCTGCATGTACCCAACATCCAGGGCCCCCGGGAGAACATTTATTGGACAACTCATGGGGCTACCCTGGTAAAATAAAACGATAACTTAAATGTGAAAAAAAAAACTAAAAAAAAAACGATAAATAAAAAATAAATAAAACAAATACAAATACATTTTTAATGACACTTGAATGGCATATTTCAATTTTTCAGAAGTAACAGGACAGGAAAATGTAACTCTTTGGAATGTAAATTTGTGTAAATTGTACAAATGTACGTATAAAATAAAACTACAATGTTTTCCCTCTTTTAAAACAAATTTCTTTTATACAAATATGAGGAAACGTCATCTGATTCAATAACAAAGCTTTACAGTTACCATGGCAACAGGGGGAGCTTTGATCACAAAGAAATCAAAACACATTCATAAAGAATTCATCTGTTCACCCAAGATGTTTTGCATAATGCTTGAAATTAATAATAAGACGCAATAATGAATTAGCTTCACGGGGGAAATTCACAGTAAATAAATAAGAAAGAATCGGGTTCACCATTAACAAACAAGTTAAAATAAAAAGTTCCAATGATTTATACTGCAATGCACGTTAAGTACAAACATATTGACAAAATGCCCCCCCCCCCCCCAAAAAAAAAGAGCATCAGAAAGCCAATCCAAGACACAAGAGGATTGAGCAAGAAGATGACCGTTCTAAAGTTTCAGGGAAACGGAAATGAGCCTGAATGATGATGATGATGAGACAAACATGTCCGACGCCCTTGAAGTATTCAGGAATGTGGCTGCAGTATTTGCTATTCAGAAAGCCGAGTGTCTCCACTCGAAAAGACGCCTGGCCTTATCAAACAAATCTGATGTTTGAATACATGTTACATCTTGAAATTTTAATTAAAATTTCATTTAAAGGGGTAGAAATGATTTTTTCCCCCTCCATTTGTGAAGCAAATATACAGTACATTTTATAACCATGATTTCACTTTTTAAATTTTTTTTATTATTATTTTTTTTTTTAATGTATTTTTAACATTTACCGGTACCTATTATCAATTGCTATTTATATCGGGATTCCAGTGATAAAAATAAATCTGCATATTGTATTGCCTTCATGAAAAGTACCCGAATGACTGCAATAATGTCAACCGGATGACTACAGTCAACAGAGCGTAGCGCGACACGCAGATGCAGCGCGCAGCACTAGCAGGGTATACGCGCACTGTTGTCAATAGCCACAATGGCAGCTACGAGCGGCGCAATAATTCAACAAAATTTTGAGAAATAAAGGCAGTGTCCTGAAATGTAATTCTTGCGGATCAAGCTAGTCAGCCTAATACAAATAATAATAATAATATTGGATGGCTTTTTTTTCCAGGGGATACACGAATATATTGCACTTGCTATGACAATATTGCACTCGTCTTCGACTCGTGCAATATTGTTATTGCTCGTGCAATATATTCTAGTATACCCCTCAAAGCCATCCAATATTATAGAATTGTTTGATATACATTTGTATACTGTAATCTGAATTGGATATTGATGATTCATATCTTTCAATTTAATTCATATAAACGTCATTATTTTGACCCGGGGTAGAAATTCCGGGACTCTCTAGTTTTCTCTTCGGGTGTGATGAACCTTGCACCCTATAAATACTTGAGGCGGTACGCTAGTGATTGTTTTTTTCATTTACACTCATTGTTCGGGAAATAAACTTTGAACCGGCCCGTTGAAAATGCCACTTGTGTTGTCTCTTTGGCGTTATTATAACAGCTGTCCTTTCTTCCTGGGGTATATTTGCCAAACCTTTTGTACCGTCGTCCCCGCCTCTCATTGGCTGATCGATTGGTAACCATGGGATACCGCCTCAAGTGGAGGCAGCGAGATACGATTACAGAGTACAATCCTAATACACCGATTAGGCAACAATTTCACACAAAAAAAAACCACCTTTTACAACCATGATACAATTTGGTCCAGATTCTGTGATTTTTCTCAACCTATATTTCCATTTACTGACGCAGGCTAAATCTTGTTGACCGCAGCATCCCTTTTAGGTGATGATTTCGGAGCTGAGGACAACATGTACAGAGCACATGTTTGCACAAAGATGCATGACCTAGATTTTCAGGGCATGTGCTCCTGAACCACTTAGTCCGTGCGGGCAAGGAGCAAGGAGCCATACATGTATCTGTTCTTAAATATGGCTGTGAGGTGTCCGATAGGCATCCGCCGAGAAATTCACGGCGGTGATTGTTCCCTTTTTTATACAACGGCCGAGGTGATCCAAAATTGATGGGAACAGCTTCTAAATGCCATCTTGTGAGCAAGGGGGTCTTCTGTGACAGCCAGGTAGCTACATGTACGTCTTACGAGACAAGATTTTTTGGATTACAGGCGCAGACTGATCAAAAGTTTACAAAAGAGAGGACGAGAGGGTTAAAAAAGACGGAAGGCCAAAATGTCGCACTTCCTAACCTTTTGCGGCCGGTCACTGTCTCATATTCATCCAAATGCACACTAAAAGAAGTGTCAGTGCACAGGTTACTGGTAGCAGAAACTTGCCAAAATGTTGGAGTCCCTTTTGAGCTCTGGATATATATAAATTTGTACAACTATATCAAATCAAAATTTCATTAGCCCAGTGGCTCAGGATCGGACACTTCCAAAAGATTCTCTCTCGCGACCTAAAAGTATGTACATGTACTAGAAGTCAGTCAGCCCTGCTTATCGCCAACCGTTTTTTTCAGATTTAGCCAGGAGAAAGATGCCCTACCGGTACATGTTTAGTTTGGGCTAGGTTACTTTCAACTAAGAATCTACCCAAATACTACAAAATGCATATGTAAGATTTGAGGCTTTGCATGGTGGAGATACTAAATAATGAAAGGTTTGCGGAAACACCGCAAAAGTTTATACCTCTGGTTCTTTTCAGAACCATTCTCTTAGCTGAGAAATTATTCGCACATTGTGTTTCCGCAAACCTTTCATTATTTAAAATGCATATGATAACCGGTGGCTGTACATTTTTAACTATGGATTGATAGGGGGGATTTTGAGAAAAAAATTGAACTTGATATGTAGGGGGGAAAAATTGAACTCGATATGTTTCCAGGGCAAATCCTAATGCTGATATCTGATGTTTCCACATCTCAAAATGTGAAGAATCAACGAAATGCATATCTGAACTAATTCAACACACACGTGTAAGGTGTCTAAAGTAAGGAAATTATACGAGCAATGTACATGTACCGGTACGCCTCATTACAAAACTACCAAAGGCATTAACACTAGCCACTCAACCCTGGAAATTTTTTTTTTTAAGCTTGAGCCAGAGACGACATGATAACAACCTCATCAATTATTCATCTGGTTAGAAATCGTTCATCTAGAACACCGGGTATCAAATTTATTACCCCTACCCCCTGCAAGCTGCATTTATTTGCTCAAGTCTTGTCTTTGTATTTCATTCGTTTTTCTTTCTTGACCGGCACGTGTGTGGGCACACATTAATAACGCCCGTTACAATTATTCATTGGTTTGGGGAGGGTCCATTCATTGTTCCACAAAAAAAGGAGAAAAGAAGGAAAAAGAAACATCTAGTCCATTTAGTTACCGGAGGCAGGCTGCAGCTATCAGCCCGACCAATTGAGCCACGTAGCCTGGTTTAATACCGAGTCAATATTGGCCCGCTGAACGCAAATTTCCTGCTGTAACTGATCGATACGGCAGGAAGCGATCCGTGTGGTCAAGATTCCAATGACTGCCCTCCCTGCTTTCATGTTTTTTTTTTTCCTTCTTAATTTCGTTTCTCGCTTTCTCAGCTCTGCCTTGCAGTCGCGTCTTTCAGCGGCTCCTTGTATTGGTTACTCTAATGGCTCGATCTCATCGTCTTCGTCTCACTGGCTGCAATTTTTTTTTCTTTTGCCCACGGCAGATGTACGGTTCATTTAATTCGTCATCAGGTGTTTCTCTTTGCACCTCATAATTGTGATAACTTCTCAAGATAAGACTACGAGAACAAGAAACCAGCTTCTTCAGTGGCTTAGCACGTCATGCATGAAGCATGAAGCGGGCCTCCGGGAAAAAAATAAGTACCCTGACTGTCCTCTTTGAGAAGATAATTTTTGAAATCCCTTGAACAAAACCATGAGCAACTGTCAGAGACTTCAACAGAGAAATGATTAGCTGGTGTCGTTTTGTATTGGTTGCTGGTTCGAATGCCACTTCAGTCAATGTTCTTTGTTGAACTGATGCAGACAAAAACCTCACAAATTATTCACCACAAAAGGCAGAATGTTATTGTTAAAATGTTGGGTAACAGCTACATGTTCATGTACTGTTAGAAATTACGGCACATTACACGTACGTATACGTTTGGCCAACTATCTCTGATCTAATGGTAGAACAACCTCCGTTAGAAATTAACACCTCACATGGTGAACATATACAGGATGAATAAAAAAAAAGCGAAACCCAAATGTCGGGACCATTGTTTTAGTGAAGTTCTGCATGTAACCCTTTGAAAATCTTGGATATGAAAGCCCAATTCATAGGCTGTCTTTTGGTACAAGAATCATTCAAATCCCTCATGCACTTTTTAAGTTACGGAATTTTCAACACATCCACCGTTTTAAAGTTCTATCCACGGATCACACGAAGGTAAGTGTTCTTTCAGCAAAACAAAAACAAATCACATAGGGATGTGTGTGAATTGTTTTCGTTTTGCTGAAAGAATGCACACCTTTTTTGCGATCCGTGGACAGAACTTTAAAACGGTGGTTGTGTTTAAAATTCCGTAACTTGAAAAGTACATGAGTGATTTGAAGGATTCTTGAACTAAAAGAAAGCTTATGAATTGGGCTTTCATATCCTAGATTTTCAAAGTGCTACATGAAGAACTTTACTAAAACAATAGTTCTGACATTTGGGTTTCGTTTTTTTTACTCACCCTGTATGTATAAACAACATACATGTGTAAAAATTTAAACAAAACAAAAGCACTAAGTTTGTCTTGATTTTACAGGTAACCCATCCAAGTTCGTTGCATGTACCGTATTACCCAACTCATCTTGCTGAAGCTATTTCGATGTGTCTATCCTGACATAGAACAAGGACCCTAAATTAATCAAAACTCAATGCTATTAATTATTTCTGGACTGTTCTTGATGCTACTTCTTACAGGTACCCTGTATGCTTCTCTAAGGCCATCTCAATGCTTCATTATTTATCGATATCACCCAGCCTTACTGATATTTATTACGCTAGACTGGAAAGACAGGCACAAATTAACAAGATCAGATACAATGACACGGTGGTACCGTCGGCAAGGTTATAAAATGTCACAAGCAAAGAATTTAATTAAAAAATGGGGAAAAAATAGAGGGAGTGATAAATTGTTTATTCCTTACCTTCCTCATCCAGTAATATGTTGTCTGGCTTGATGTCCCTGCAAAAAAAGGCGATATAAGATAAATGATTGCATCAGATCCTATCACGGGATTGACTGTTTTTGCTTTTTTAATAAAAACACGGGGTGAGGAGGCCTGATAAATGGAGTTATATCACGGAACCAGCGTCAGGTCCTGATGGATTCAGGAAGAGACTTTGAAGACAGCAAAGTGTGCTCCATCACAGTGCAGTTATGGGCTGGTTGGTTTAAACGAGAAAAAATGGTAGGACAGCAAAACAGGGGATTTCTAGTCATAGCATAGCTCGGCAAGCAATGACAAAATGATGATTCTTGAATCCTTCCGTTAAAGACGCGTTTTAGAGGGAAAAACCCACGGTACATGTACGTTTCTCAATAAATTTAATTCAGCAGAGACAGGACAGAGGAATTCTAGCCATAGCATAGCTTGACAACCAATAACAAGATGACAATTTAAAAAAAAAAATTTAACTTTGAAGACCCGTTTTGGGAAAAAGGAAAACAATTTTGGGTTTTCCCAATCCAATTGATTCAGCAGAGAGTGAAGACATGAACAGAGGAATTCTAGCCATAGCATAGCTCGACAACCAATGACAAAATGACAATTTGTTGTCTTCTTCTGTTGAAGGCCCGTATAAGGAAAAGAAAAACAATTGAAGGCTCCCCGATCCATTTAATTCAGCAGAGAAAGAACGACAGAAACAGAGGAATTCTAGTCATGGCATTTAGCCTGGCAACAAATGGCAAAGTGATTAGTTTTTTTCTTCCGTTGAAGACATGTCTTGGGAAAAGGAAAACAAGTGTGGGTTCTTTAATTCATTTGCAGGGGAGAGAGGATGAGAAGGAAGATTTCTTGCCACGAATACCTATGTAGCAAGCAAAAGGGAGCATTAGAACCCTCCTATGCAAACATGCATTCTGAGCCAAGTAGTCCTTTCAGTCAAAATCAATCAAGTGACTGTTTTCAACAGTTAAGAATTCCAAGCCTACCCAGTACATCAGGATTGACTGGCTGAGACTGTTTAAGTATGGTAAATTGCTACAGCTATGCTTTGACTCTGGGTGAGTCAAAAAACAGCTGTCAGACCACAACTTGCTTGCTTTGTCTGTTGACCCAGTTTGACTAGTCACAGTGCTTGCTTGAGATATGATCTGACTGCTGGTGACTAGCCTTCGTTAAAAGTACAATGTACATGTATAGCAGGGGAAGTTTTGACTTGTCTGGGTGGGACTGTTTATATTAGCAGAAGGGTTAACTACAATATTTTTTCGTAAAGAAAAAAGTGTTCCTTGCTCCATTTAAATACATTTATTCAAACAGGCACTTCTTTGAAACAATTTGTGAAAGTCTGAGGTAGTGTAAACATTCTTAAAATCAATTTGTCAGACTGAGGGAGTGAACGCGATACTGTTTCTTTTTTGGGGGGGGGGGGGGGGAGGGGGTTTGAGGAAAGTTAATACAGCGACAAGATACGATTAAGTTACAGAGCTGCACGTCGTTTGTTATGACTCCACCGAACTCCCACTCGAGCCCGTTATTGGCCCCGTAAATATTTGGCTGAATTTTTTCAAACCTTTGCGGAGAGTGCATAAATTGAAAACAGTCCAACACTTTGTTGGGTTGGTGGGAGCTGCACTGCATGTAATGTACACTTGCAGTACTCAACATGCAGATTACCTACCGTACGCAACGTATCGATTTCTGGGGTGAAAGTTGGGTTATGTACACATACTCAGAAGAAAAAGGCAAACTTTGGCGGGTAGACTTGCAGAAGGAGGTATTTTCAAAAATTAGATTATGGCCAGTAACCTACATGTTGTAGTGCAGCGGTGTAGAGTGAGTGTTTTTTTCGGCTCAAGTGCAATAATGTTTTGGAAGTATGTTCTCCATAAATTAAGAGGAAATCTGACAAACAGATCTGTAAGAGCAAGAGATTTATTCAGGTCATTCCGAGGAACTAACAGTATGCTGGTACATTGTTTGGACTTTATGGAACTCAAGGACAAAAAATCTTCAGGAGAAATGGGGCTTGAGCCAGACTCATATGTAACTTTACATATTATATCGGTACGACATCTTGCACCAAACCACATTTCTGAATTCCAATTTGTAACCGCCGTGTTATCAGAACAAACACCTCAGCGCAACAGGGCAGCGCAGGAAAAGAAACTGATCGATCAAAATGAAGAACATGGCCGGCGGGCTATGGTGAAGACCGGGCGCTGACTGCTCAGACAATGGGAACAAAAGACAAGAGATTGACTGGTCTGTTTGAGGCAAGTGCTGAAGAAATTAACGAGTGCCTCTGGACGGAGAGCAGAAACTCGTCCTGCTCAGCCCATTCTCAGACAAGTGAAGTCGTTAATTTCCCCAGAGGATTAGAAATAATGACCGGTTCTACATTTCCCTGCAAATCAGACTTACTCCTCCCCATACGGTTGCTCGTTACATTGAGACCTGTATCACGGTATCAGCCCCAAGTCTGATTTCACTTTCGTGCTTGAGATCCTTTTCATTATAAGAAATTGGAAATCAATGGAGCTTTTTCCTTTTCTTGAGTGGTAGAGAAGACAAAGATTTAATACATTTGGAGCACTTGCAAGTTTACCGTAGAATGAACGAACAAGTAGCTTTCAGTTTCAAACAGTGTTTTGTTTTTCATTTTGATTTTGAATGGGTGCTTTACAAACATGTACCAGTATTTTCATCGAATCTGTATACTAATCCAATAAAGTGGTCGGTAATGCAATCGATTTAACATTTACACCCAACTATCACAAAGTCAATCAAAATGAGCTTGAGGATTGCCGATGCCAAAAATAAAGTAATTTTTTTTTCCGTTATTAATAAAACATGGAAATTGAGATTCCTTAGTCTGAGAGAAAAAAATGGAATTTGCTATAGACGTGGGTGGCATTACGTCATCCATCTTTTCATTAGCACGTGCAGTTTAATCGGTTGCCATGTGTTACCATTCAGCACTCCAGACTCAAGAACCATTGAAATTTAAGTAAATATGTCTGGGAGCTGGATAAGCCCATGTAAAAAAATTCCCGGATGTCCCTGCCCGCCGATACAGCATGGACAGTATAGATACCTTTGAAATGTTATTAGTTTTTATCTTTAAATATTGATCTTTGATTCCAAAACTTACCTATGAATGATGCGGTGAGCATTGAGATAATCTAATGCCAGCGCAATCTCACACAGGTACATCTTGACCCTCTCCGCATCAAACTTGACCCCTTGCTGGATGTGATAGCGCAGGTCCCCGCCTAGCAACAAGTCCACCACCATGAACATGTCTTCCTCGTCTTGGAACGTGAACCAGAGGTTGACCAGGAACGGATGCTCAAGCTGCTGGAGGATTTCTTGTTCCTTCAAGACGTTCCGGACCGCGTCCTTGCGGATGCACATGGACTTGTTCATGTATTTCATGGCAAACATCTTCTTGGTGTCTTTCTTCTGCACGATGCACACCTGAGGAATAATTGCAAAGCAAAGTCAACGGATAACAGCAGGATCAAATCTTCCATGTTAATCAGAATCATTAACACATTAGCATCTAATAATAATAATAATAGCGTCTTGTATAGCGCTCATGTCCGTCACAAAGTGACGCTCCTGGCGCTCTTATTATTACCCTGGCTTTAGAACTGCTGCCATTACGGCGCTCAAGCATTGAAGGAATTTCTTCCTACATTTGTACTAGGTACCCATTTACTACACCTGGGTGGAGAGAGGCAATCGTAGTAAAGTGCCTTGCCCAAGCGCACAAGCGCCATGTTCCCCGTCAGGATTCGAACCCATTGTACCACGGCACACGAGTCAAACACCGTACCACTGGACCACAGCACCCCGAATTAACAATTACAATCTACATTGTATACATTGTATTAATTACAGTGTATTACATTGTATTTATTCCCTGATGAGCGAACCCTTAAATCCAGACAGTGCTGGGGTGTTTCTGGGTGGTACAGTGAGAAACAGGCAGGGCAGTTTGGGACAGTGCAGGGAACGTGTCAACAATAAGATGACAATCTACATTTATGTGATTCACTGTGGAAAATACTCGTTCTCAATCTGTGTGGTGCATTGTGCTGTATTTGTACCCAACAGTTTAGAGTGCGAATTACAGAATGTAGTGGCATGTACACTGTACCCTGTTTGTGAAGATCAAGACAAGGCCCTTCAACCTCTAAATTTGTGATGCGATCAAGCTACATGCGTCGTTTGTCGGGAATTTTCATTTGGAGATACAGGCCAAAATAGGGCCACTTCATCACATCACTTCCTCACATTTCTTGGTGTTCCGACTTCCATAATTTGTGTAACTAAAGATGGTATCAGGATGTGGATTTCACAGCAGTAATGCTGAGATTGTGCTCTTTTCAAATCTGTAATTAACCAAATTTTGACCGGGATTGACAAACGACTCATTTAGCTTGATCGCATCACATTTGCTGTTATTTCCAAAATACAGTGTCCAAACTTTGTACTTTACTTAGCAACAAGATGACCATTTAAAATATGTACAGTGTTCATAGTTTCTTTGTTATGGCTGCCTACCGGAGTATTTAAATTCAACATTTGGGGCTCACTACGATCTACATCGTAATTAAACATCTGGGTACCACTGACCAATCAAAGAAGTGAATTGGCTCATAAATATGCATGAGGTATTGTAACATATGGCGCTGCATACACCCTGGGAAGTAATGCCACATTACACTTCATCCAGTTGACATTCTTTAGCACGAGTTTCTTAAAAAAAATTGGGTTACAATTTTTCCTCATGGATATTTTTTGTTTTGTCTGGGCTCAGTTTCGAGTAAACACTTGAAACTACAGGCATCTGCATTTAACAATCTCCACTCCATCGGAATTCTTGTCCGTAGGCATTATCGCGCGTTAGGTGATCACAGTGTTTATTGTAGAGCGCCGATATATTCCTCGATACCATAATGGCTGGCCATACAGCAGTGGGCATGCAAGCGCACGTTTGTACATGTAGGCATGCCCTTCAAGCCAACAGCTCCATTACAATTCAATTTAGACGGTGTGAACATGCAATTTTTGTGTAAATGATACCGACGCACATTAGTTTGTGTGCGCGGGTTTACGTGAATACTAATGAGCAGGGATTTCGCAAACGAAAGTGTGATGACTGGACAGAATTTCGAGCTACAATTTTAGCTTAGCAAAAAAATACATTGTACTGATCCAGGGCATAATGTAAGCTAATGATCAATATGTCATATGATAAACATCCATGTCAATAAGCTTCATATACATACATTGTATGTATACATGAATGTAATTAATGAAATATTCACTCATTACATTTGCTGGAGGTTTAGCAATGCTTGATCCGAGGCCAGCTTGATCATTGGCTGTTATTTTGAAATGCTGGTTCAGGGGCCCTGTTTATGAAATCACTTCATGATCTTGATTCGCTGCCTCTCTTAAATGCTGGTTCAGGGGCCACATCATGAGATCCTCTCTGTACTGATTGGCTGTTTTATTCTGAACACTGGCTATGTGGCAACATAATTTTCTTCATGTTCATTGGATGTTTACTGTATCAATGCTAACCAATCAATGTCCCCACAATTCCTGGGAATGTCAAAGTGCATTGAATATCAATCAGTGTTGTTCAAAATGCTCACAATTGAAAAACAAAAGTGGCTTCCTAGTTATCCAATCAGAAAAAAAGGTGTGAACAATTTCAAATTGTCTGTAGTGTCAGCCTTGGAGGGCAAATAATGATAATCAACTGTAAGGCCTTCCTAATTTTCCAAACTCAAACTGATAAAAAACCCCATGCAGATATATTTTTGAATCAAGAAATGTGGAGAGTGATGCAAAAATCTACTTGCTTCCCGTCACAATCTGCCGGCAATATTCCCCGCGACCCTTCATCATGTCTACCGTAAGAAATAATCCTCTCCTGCCCCCATATCCGGATTGCCCATTCAGATACTGAACGTCAAGAAGTCGACGTGCAGATATTTCACTGACATTTTGCCTTCTGAGGAAAATTGACCGGATTTAAGCCGCATGGCTTGGCCCGATGTCATGTCGAATTTGGTATGGGTTAGGACAAGAGGATTTTTTTTTTCACTGCGCTCTTGTCAACCGACACTGAGAGAATTTCCTTATTTATTGGCAGTTATTGAAGAGCAGTTTGGAGGCGGGGGGTGCATGTATTTCAAGGAGATGCTGTAGGAGTGAATGATGACGAAGGACAAATCATGCTTAATCATATATATGAAAGGTGGGATTTTATTATTCGGGGACATTGCGCACATCCTGTTGAGGAACCTCATGTACACGTACATTGTACACGTACACTGTACCTGTACGCAAAATGCATTTCAGATAACGATGGTGGTTCGGTGAATATGCACGCCGTGGAAAAAAGCAATTAACTTTTGATGTGTTTCATTTCTTTACCACTGCCAATAAAAAACATGCACAGGGTTACCAGCCGGAACCGGGTGAGCTCGTATAATGCAAATGAACAGTGCATACATACATTAGGAAGATATTAATGTGTTCCCTATTATTAAGCCCGTAACGGTCTGCATACCCCCACACAAATTACTCGTGTATCCTATCAGGATTTTTGCAAGCACTCATTCTGGGCAGATATTAACGACGCCCTGAAGGTAGACTTTACGGGTTTTGTCTGGTTGCCTTTGATGAGAAGGATGGTTGTCTCATCTATTTTAATGATGACATGGTAACCTAATGAGCATAAAGGATTGGCGGGTAGCAAGCAGAACATAATAACACTAGTCGCTGTTTCATGTTTCACAAAAATAAGCTACCAAGCAATAGTTTAACTGCATGTGATGATCTCTTGGTGCTTTTTCCTGATGAAATCAGCTCAAGTTTTTTTTTTTTTTGGCAATCATATTTTTTCTTTTTACATGTTTAAAGCAAACATTCGTTATTTTATTTTCTTCTAAATCCTACATCAGAGTAGTGTTTGGAGAATTTGCTAGTGTCGGCTCAAGTCTGATGGGTGATGGAAACATTTATGCCATGTAATGAAACTGTTAGTCTCCCTGGAAATTATGTTTACTTGGAAATTAGACACTGACGGATGCCCAATATGTATGTATTCCCCAATGTATATTAGCAACCAGTACCAGTACATGCACCGGTATACAGTGTACACATTGTGTGCCATTGAAAATAGAAATACACTGTACAAAGTCAGGGAAAAATTTGAATTTCCTCTTTTTTTGTGTGATTTCCCAGTTGCATGCCTGAGTTTAATGTTCAAGTGTATATTTCAAGGTGAAAAGGCAAATTTTCAGATTTTTTTACAGGTTGCAGTGGGGCCAAAGATAGATACAGAGGCAGTCTAGTACATGTATCCAGGCCCTATGGGCTAGGCCAGCTAGCCGATCATACATGTACATTGTATAGAGAAAAGAAAAAAAAGACCGTCTTCCACGCATTCTCAAATTGAATGGCTACATGTGCCGATACGTGCCTCACTCATTCCAGTCATAATAGCCGTGCATTCTGCCTTCTTTCTTTGTGACTTTGGAAAATGTCCTTGTCCGCCTACCGGATCCCGACATCTTAAACTCATTTGTTACTGCCTTCCCTCGTGAAAAAGGCCAATCTATCCCAGCTGACTGGATCAGATCTGGCCATCATTTGTTCTGGCCTTCCTGAACGCTATAAGACTGTTGGAGTGTTCTGACGTTTGCGACGTTCACTTGCATGATACGTGTAGTCTGCATGCTCATGTGTTGCCTCATCTTCTGCCACTGTTCTCCCTGGCCCTCTACCTAAGAAAATATCGTCCTTTCATTGTTTTGGCATTCCTAGTTCACATCGATGATTACCAAATTGAGCTTTTCACAGAGTCAGGTTGACGCAGTGGTTGCTTTCCTTGCCTTCCACCGCTGTGGCCTGGGTTCGATTCCTGCCTGGGTTCGATTCCTGCCTGGACAACATGTGGATTGGGTTTCCAGTCCCTGCCTGATTCCGTGGGTTTCCCCAGAATATTCTTCTGGGGTTTTTCTCCCACCTCTAAAAACTGTAATTTCTTCTCACTGTCTTCTCTCTATAGGTTTCTTCAGGCTTTCGAGCTACAGTGCCTAGGGCACTTTTGAGGAATCCTTGGTTTTATCACCAGAGAGAAATTCTTAAAAAGGCTTTCAGTGTAATTTAACAAATGGATAATTAGGAAATAACAAAAAATAAATAAATGCATGTACTTGAACAAAATAAAGAAACTTGTTTTACAAGCTGTGCTGTTCTTAAAGTAAGATTAGAATTGTAAACTAGGTCCATGTTTCATGACAATCCAGGCTATGAATCATTATCTAGTGGTCCAGGAATAACTTCCAAAACACGTGTTGGCAAGTTCAGCTGGAAATGTAAAGAATGATAATGTTTTTCAGAGAGATTTGCCAGGGGCATGTTGTGTTGGTAAACGTGTCGGTGTCAAACACCTGGCTTTTTTTTTTCGCCTTGATGTCGGAGAATTCAGAGAATTTGGATCATCTACACCGGCATTTCTCCGAAGACTAGACCGCATCAAGAATTTGGCAATTAGGGATCTTAGATAGAATATGACTATGAGAAGCTCTCAACTTGAGAGAAACAAACTTGAAAGACCCTGAGTAACCCTGAATATCACTCCACTGTTTGATGGCTTTTGACTAAGACCGGAAAAGTGGCATTCCTTTTCACCTCGGCTTGTACAATCTACGGTCCGGCCTCCAAATTAAATTTGCGGTTATCTACTGGATGTTGTGGGCCTCCACGCAGGAAGAGGTGCAGTTCAGCTTTCAAAACCGATACTCCAAGTCGGAAACCGGATTTCACGTTTACTTGGAAGTGCGGAGGATAAGAAAGAACAGCGGAGGTTTTAGTTTAAGGAAGATAGACAGCAATTGTAATTAAATGGTAACACTCATCCTCGCCACACGCTACGTCTCCGTGAGCTGAAACCTGTAAACAGATGTACAATTAACAACTGCACTTTGTGGAAATTGGAGCACGGAATGTATAGCTGTAAAAAGGACAGCGAGGAATTCAAAGGGTTTCAGTTCATTACATTGGAAAAGTGACCCCAACCACTAAGGGCTGAACGCTCATTCTATCACTTGGTGTTGAGTGATAAGAAATGATTTGAGAATGAGAAGGTCTCACAGGCCGGGCAATAATATCGGTCAAGGATCAGGCATGGTATTCTGACACTGTTTACAGACAGCAGTACAACAAACATAAATGAAAAACAAAAAGGCACATGTACTTATAAGGGTACCAGGAGAAATGACTTAATGGCCGGGCTGTTTTTTTAAGCTCGTTATGATTGGCTTATAAAAATGCATGAGATGTACATGTCATAATGTACGCCCCATCCCATAAGGCCGTAACCATCATCATTTACAAATTTACAGGTTCATAAAAAAGTGCACTGCTTTGCAAGTTGTAAAGTTACGTTTGGTTGGCAGGGAGCCAACTATTTGTAATCAGTCAACCAGGGACTACAGCCAGCTACTTAAATCCATTCTACCAGCCGTTCTGCCAGCCATTCTGCCAGCCATTCTGCTAGCCATTCTGCCAGCCGTTCTGCCAGCCATTCTGCCAGCCATTCTGCTAGCCATTCTGCCAGCCATTCTGCCAGCCATTCTGCCAGCCATTCTGCCAGCCATTCTGCCAGCCATTCTGCCAGCCATTCTGCCAGCCATTATGCCAGCCATTATGCCAACCATTCTGCCAGCCATTCTGCCAGCCATTCTGCCAGCCATTCTGCCAGCCATTCTGCCAGCCATTCTGTTTAGGACATTAGGTTTAGCAAGCAAACAGATGCGATTAATGCACCGGATAGGTCATCAGCTTGTGTCACTCATTCAGTCTGTCGGTCACAGGGTTGAGGACAACCAAGAGATTAAAATTTACAATTTTTATGCAACTCAAAGGAACATGGATCTGTTGCATTTGCAGCACACTTATCCAATGTTTTCCATACGATGAAAGTGTAAAAAAATTTTAAAATGACGTTAAATATGTAATCATCAAGAGAATCAAAGACCTTAATATGACACATCCTGAAAACATGTTGAAAAACAGGAACTAATTTCTTAACAGATGATTCAGCGTGGCACACCTGCAAGCACTTAACTCCACAAAATTAGGAGGCAATGGTCCAAATCAGCCTGACATTAGATGTATCACCTATTAGTCCCTGACGAAGACTATTTTCTACGTGTCTCGGAAACCTCACCGAGACGAAACTGCTCAGCCACGGTTGGTTTCATTTCAGAGTTTCCCAACATGGCTTATAAATTTTCAAACGGATTATTGCACGAGGCAATGAGCCGGGGCGAATATGATACCTTCAAATACATCTTTAAATAATGTTGGCCCAGTTAGATTTACCCCTGTGCGCGCGTATGCCAATGAACAGTGCATGTGATCTGTGTGAGTTAAGCACTACGGGTATGTCGCTCGCTCATGTCAGATCTTTGTATATTGCGAGCAAGGATTTATTATCATTTGCACAGGGCTGACCCAAATAAAAGGCCTCATTTGTTTGCGCTGGCTTATTTGAAGTGGGTAAAATATGGCTGCCCCATCACAGCAATCAATGAGCGGACCAAAAGAAAGGGGTAAAAACATCACCCAGACACTAAAGTATGCTGCTTAGATGACTGTACAGTATGAGGAATTCTAGGGTGCCAAGTCTCATTTAAACAACCTGTTATTAAAGCCAGAGTCTATCATTTGCAGCTATCCAAAAAGTAACTGGCGTAATTATTGTTGAAAAACATACTTGGTTGAAAGATAGTAAGGGGATTAAATTTACACTCCCTGTGAAATTATTCTTTCTGGCAAGCTGTCATTTTGAAGTAATCAACAAAAGAAGGCCTTTCCAACAGTGCGTCTTAAGACGCACTGTTGGAAATTTCCGTTAGTAGTTCGTTTTTTAATGCGGCAAAGCGCGCACAAGCGTTGATACGACGCACACACGGTTGCTATAATTCGGCGGATCAGTGCGCGACATCGCGTAGATGCAATCAGCTCAGTGAAAATGTGTCTCAGATGCTGAATTCAGGCCCAATTCAAAACATGATACAGCAACTTTTGATTTGAAATCGAGATCCTAGAATGCTGTTTTTCTCAAAATATACAGCTGAAGCTGAGCTGAAACTTCATCAGGTTAGTTGTTCAGTACCCTTCTTTAGATTTTGAGCACTTTTGTTGCTTCAAACGAACAAAATGCACAAATTACAAATGATGGACTATATCTTTAATGGCTGCGTCTGATCTATAGGGCTATGGCTAGTGGTAACACATGTCTATGGGGAGTGGATTCAGTGGCTTCCATAGGTGCATGTGTAATGTCAGCCGTAGCCAGGTAAATCGGACGCATCTGAAGTCTGGCCGAGTAGTGTATGGTTAAAGATGCATGCACAATTAGTAATAACAAAAAGAAAAAAAATGGTGTTAGTTAACTCACCTTACCAAAGCTACCTTTGCCAATGGCCCGCAAGATCTGGAAGTGGTCAAAATCAACTGCAAACAGAAATAAACAAAAAAAGAAAAAGGATATCTTTTTTAAAAAACTCAATAGAAAGTCCTGAGTATCGTACATGTAGGTATCCAACAAGGGGAAGGAGAGGTGAAATTTGACAGTTTGATAGTACATGTAAGTAAAGTCTGTCATGAGCCAATGTGGCCAATCAGGCCGGCGTTTATCTCCGGTTTCAGAAGCATGAAATGACTGAGAACATTTCTATTCCCCGGGACGGGATGCTAGTCCATCGCAGGTTACTTCCCAGATTAATGCCGGTACTCATTTGTACTCCTGGGTGGACATGGGTGGAGAGAGGCAAGTGGGGGTGAAGTGGCTTGCCCAAGGACACAATATACATGTATAGCCAGCAGCTGGATTCGAACCCCTGACCCTCTGATTATGACCCATATGAGTCAAACATCCTAACCAATAGGCAACATCCCCCCCCAGGTTGATATGCAAATGAACTTGAAAGAGAGTCTACCGTACATTGTAGATAGCATTGGCTACTTGAAAAATGTTCCTACAAGATAAGGCCAAAAACAAAAATAGTCGGTCTCTGGTCAGACCGAAGTTCCGGAATTGATGCGGCGACGCGTTTTGTTTTTGTTTTTTTTGGTGGCCTTCTTTTTTTTTTTCAAGTTTGTATTGTACAGACAAGGTGGGTACTATTTTGCTTTTTTCGTGTCCTCATTATACATTGGTGTTCTCCATAATTTGCCTTGGTGCCCTTTATCATTTGCCTTGGTGCAATTTCCCCATTCCTTGGTGCTCCTTGGTACAAAAACTTGAGGAGGTGCGGCAGTAGAGGGTGCTGTTGTAGCTTCCGTGTTAATTTGAAGAAGAAAAAAAAGGTTGACGCGCATGATTAAAATCGACGCGCGCGCTGACCAGAGACCGAGTATTTTTTTTTTGGCCTAAGTGAGGTTTGACATTAAACGGTCACCCACTACAACCACCAGCAAGTTCAATTTAACATGATCAAATCCTGCTCAGCAAAGGCGAATGGGTTCATATTACAATTAAAACCAATAGTTGGCATGGCAACTGTTGAGTTGAAAAAGAGCCCCTTGATTTTTTATCATGAGTTAATTTTAACGAAAAGAAGCACCGAAAAGGAAAGGGAACGCATCTTTTACATGCCCTTTTGTTGCAGCCAAATTGGGTAGCCTTTACTTGGGCACGCTCAGACGGCAGGACCTCGTTTGTCTGACAGTCTGAGCTCCGAGGCAGACGTATACAATTTGCCAAACGCCATGGCAACGGTAAAGCCTAAAGATATTGCTCCTGTCAACCTGGCTCGCTGAGTGCCTTAAGCTGGCCAGAAACGACAGGGAATAGTCGAAATGATTGTATCATATCGTGTAACCAATTTTGCACCAATTGTTGCAATTGTGTTAGGGATGCCATTTTTGATGAAAAAAAAAACGACGTGCCAGTGAAACGATCAGTACTACATGTACATGTATGTGTTAAAAATATTTTTAAAAGCCGCACACATACATGTACATTTTATAATAAGCAAAAGAACGTGTATGTACCGGTGCGGTAAGCATACAAGGTACAGAGTACAAAAACTCAAAAAAAAATTGTCATAACTGCATACAGACTTGGAAAACTGGCAACAGAAGAGTGATAGATTTGATGGGTTTAACTGAGTGAGTTGGGCGGTCCGTAACTATGGCAACCAGCCAAGAAATCAGCACTGACATTTATTTTATAATTATTCAAATGCTAAGAGTGGGTAGGTGGAAGGTACCAGTAAGTATCCTTCCATCATTAAATGTTTTACTTTGTTTTTCCCTTTTTTTCTCTGACCTTTTAAAAAAATGTCTTTTTCGTGTATACTGGGTCATTATTAATTGGAACCTTACATGTTCACATTTTTCTTGCTAGAGCCACATTAGCATTGGGCAAGTTCCCATAACAACCGTTAGTCAACAGTTGGTTGGTGTCAAACAGTGTGCATGCGCTGTAACATCTAGTCGAACCATTGTCAACATATGGCGGTCACGAGTATGTTTGGATTGTTTATGTTCTTTGACCTGTTGAATGAACCGGAAGATACAGGTACATGTAACTCCGAGGCCCGCCAGCAAACAGTAAAAGTTCGCTCCGTTTAATCTCTGGCCAATGGTTCCCTCTGCATTTAAGCAATGAAACTAGGCTATTGGTAACCAGCGATGTGATCAGGCCCAGTAGGCTGGTTCCAAATAGTCGACTAGCGCAGTCTTACCATCGTCGACTAGACAGAGTTCAGGCTAACTTAGTCGAACTATGGTTAACAATAGTTCTTGCGCAAACTTGCCCATTGATTTTGTGTTCCTGTTCATGGGCCATATTTTAACTTATGCGTGGTACCCTGTCTCTTCGATAAGCGTTGTTATAAACATGTACACCACAGCCGGGCCCAGGCTGCGCTGGACAACGTCTTCATTGCGTGCGCGTAAGACATCCAAGGTTTGGACTTCTGCTGCCGTAGCGAAACAAAGTTACAACAATGTTTTCATATTTTTACCTGATGGAGGAAGCTGAAATTTCGTTTACACATTCCTTGTGTCCAGAATTACAAAGATGCTTGGTTTAGGAAAGGTAAATATGTCGATGGGCGAAGTGTTTAAAGAAAATAAATCGAAGATCTACGCTTTCGTCGTAAACATCCTCAGTACATGTATACTGCACTGCTGTACGATGTCGTTTTAAAACTTCCTTACGCGCGCGCACCCATAGCAACTGTGTTGCGTACGCGCGCGTCAGTCTCACGCGAAGGTGGTAGAGCGTATATGTGCAGTGCTGTATTGTTACAAGCTGCCGTATGACTGTTGTAAATTTGGCCAATCATTGCCTTCCATGGGGCTGGATCAATGCTGGTTCAGGGGCCATGTTTTCGCTTGTTCTTTGAAGCCGGTCTTTATATCACCGTTAATACATCCCCACGTGACCGAGTCTCGACCAATCAGAAACCATCAACTCTCCAAGGTATAATGTGCATTATGTTTGACAATTTCAATATAGACACATTAATGCCACATTATTGTGGTATGTACATATACGTGTACCTGTGCAGGAACATGAGGTCGGGCTAAACATGCTGAATGTGGCTAGTTACCGATAGATTATATGCCGGCATTTGAGAAACACTCATTGTCGCTTTGCGTGGCGTCACAGAGTCTACGACCAAACCGACCTTTAATGGTTTGAAGTTGTTATATCCTCACGTGATGCATTGAATGTGACAGACCCCTACTTCCATGAATTTAAAAGTGAGAGAAAAACAATCTCCGATAGAGCACAATGACAAAGAGTAAATCTGCTGGCGCTTTGGCATGAATACAGTTAGGGAGCATCACCAATTCATCATGTTCAGATGTTGGATGGAAATTTGGTTTGGATGAAACAGAAAGCGAATGGCCGAGTTGGAAATATTGAAGAAAAAAAAAACCAAATCAAACAAAGACGTTTTTAACCGTTTGTAATGTACCGGTAAATGACCGATTTACATTCTAAAATGGGCTGCCGTGATGTCAAGAGACAAATCATTATTGAGATTCTGGGATTTCAATGAATTCCTGTAAAAAAAAATGCAAAAAAAACCCCACCCCCCCCCAAAAAAAATTAACAACCCAAGTAACCAATAAACAAAAAAAACCTCATTCAACATATAGACCTGTAGTGTATTTAAATTTCAGGTACATGTAGTTGTACCATGGATCTAGCCCCATAAATGTGGCCTATTTACTGGAATACCTCCGTAAACTAAGGCCACTCTTGGAACATGTACCAAAACCTGTAGAACTTTGTCAAATTTTGATTTTCACATTTAGGCTTTAATAGTTTGTAGTTTATTTTTGCTTTAGAAGCATACTCACCCTCTTTATAGGCTAATCAGAAAGTGCTGCCTTTTTCAGTCTTTTTTTGTGAAATTTCATGTTGAAATTTTGATACGCAAACGTGTGCAAACGAATCTGGAAATTAGCATGAAAAATAGACGTCTGAAAAAGGCAGCACTTTCTGATTCTAAAGCCTATAAAGAGGGTGAGTATGTTTCTAAAGCAAAAATAAACTACAAACTAAGCCTAAATGTGAAAATCAAAAATTAACAAAGTTCTACATGTTTTTGTACATGTTCCAAGTGTGGACGTAGTTTACAGAGGTACCGGTAGTCCAGTAAATAGGCCACATTTATGGCACTACCATGGATCCAGCACGATTGAACGTTTTTACCCAAAACAATATGGCAAATCAGTGTACTATCTGACATAAAGTACACGTACATGTACATGTCTGTAACCTAACCGCTAAACTTATCACTGCGGACCACTGGGACTCACTACGGGTCACCAGCCGAGGTATGCTTCAAAGTGCTCCTTAACGGGGCAGGGGACCGGTGACCAATAGAGACTGGCCCCGCTGGTATTCCAATTTAATTAGCAGGACAGAACTCATATGTACAGTTGCCAAGTGACACGTCCGCGTTGCGTTGTTGCCGACGGAAACAAAATGGAGACCAGAACGTAGGCCTACAAGTTTCTGAATGCAATTAATGGTCAAGCAAAGTTGAGCAAATTGTGGATAAATCATTGACTGATTGCGACGCCAGGTACCAAATTAGCGATGATTAAGGGAAACCTTCAGGTACTGCCTGAAAATGAACAATGATGTGTATGTTCACGGACGTACATTAAAAATCCAGCATCCGTTTTCAATCAATTCTGATGGATAAACTGATTACTGGTACGAGTACATGTACCAGTAGGACTGTAATGCAGATCGGTCCAACCCGTATCCAAAGTCTTTAGGTATTAATGCGTACATCTATTGATAAATTTTTGCAAACATTTTGATTATTAAAAATTGACTATTTAAAGTCTGATGATAACACAGGGTTCACGTTGAATCCAGGTCATCAATATTCAGACAAATTCAGAATTGGACAAGAAATCCCTTAACGAAAGAAATCAAATTGAAGCTACGCTTATCCTTTTTAATCTAGGATTTG